TAGTTTGGAGAGGCAGAGAGAGAGGCAGAGAGAGAGAGAGAAAGAGAAACAGGGAGAGAGAGAAAGAGAGAGTGCACTCTGTCTTCCATCAGTTGGTTTACTCCCAAAATGCTGGGGCTGGTCTGGGCTAAAGCCAGAGGCCTGGAACTCCATCCAGGTCTCCCACCTGTGTGGCAGAGATGCATGCATTTGAGCCATCCTCTATTCCTTCCCCATTGCATCAGCAAGGAGCCGGATCAGAAGTAGAGTAGCTGGGACTGGAGTTGGCTCTCCAGTGTGTGGTGCCAGGGTCACCAGCCGCAGCTCAAGCCCTGTGTCCAGTTCCAGGAAAGCTCCTTCTAAGCTATTTCTAAAGCCCTTCATCATGCATCTCAAGCTTTTGTGAAACACCTGCCAGGGAAGCATATGGTCCAAACCTTTCCCCCAGGTCTGCATCTAGATTTATGTCCAAGATGTGGGCAGGAGCCAGATGCAAGCCCAGAGGACGCTTGACTCCATCCCGGCCCGGGCAGCAAGCAGACACCATGCAGTGCCAGCCAATTCCTGGATAAGGAGTTGGGAAGTACTGAGGAAATCTCGGAGGGAATGAGGCTGCCGCTCATGGTGACGTCATCAGCTCAGTTCTGGACTGTCAAGGACGCTGTGCACATAGGAAGGTGGCAGCTCAGGCCCACGGGCAAACCATTTTTCCCATCTCTGGGCTCCCAGAAACCCAGCACCTTGGTGCTTCCACTCGCTCTCTGTTCCCAGAATGTCCCCCAGCAAGGGCCCAACTCAGATTGCAACTCTCTTCGTTAAAGATAGGCTAATGTATATGATATTAGCCACAATCAGGTCTGTGCTGACAATCTTTTTATATGTATTTTCTATACATTTTTAATATTTTATATACTTGAAAGGCAGAGAGATAGACAGAGGAAGAGAGGGAGAAAAAGAGAAAGACAGAGAGAACTTCCATCTGCTGGTTCACTCTCCTAAGTGGCCACGATTGTCAGAGCTAGACCAATCTGAAACCAGGAGCTTATTCCAGGTCTCCCATGTGGATGCAGAGACCCAAGCATTTGGGCCATTTTCTGCTGCTTTTCCAGATTACTAGCAGGGAGCATTATCAGAAGTGGAATAGTCAGGACATTAACCTGTGTCCATATAGGATGCCTGCATTGTAGGGCAGCAGCTTTGCTTGCTATGCCACAAACTTTATAAACCACTTTGTAGCCTAAGTTTGCTTTTCACTAAAGATAACAAAAACATCCATCTTCTTGTTTCCTATCTCTATCCCTTCCTATGTAACACATGCTTCTTGATTTATAATCACACTACAGCCTGGTAATTCCATCATAAGTATTGAGGGTCAAAAATACACTTAATAGGGCCCAGCACAGTAGCCTATTGGCTCGGGTCCTCACCTTGAATACACTGGCATCCCAGGTGGATGCTGGTATGTGTCCCGGCTGCTCCACTTGCCTTCCAGCTCCCTGCCTGTGGCCTGGGAAAGCAGTCAAGGACGGGCCAGAGCCTTGGGACCTGAACTCACATGGGAGACCCAGAGGAGGCTCCCATCTTCAGATCAGTTCAGCTGATGGAAGCTTTTTCTCTCTGCCTCTCCTTCTTTGTAAACCTTACTTTCCAATAAACAAATAAATCTTACTTTTAAATATACTTAATACACTGAAACCATTTTTTGTTTTGTTTTTCTTAATTTTTACTTATTTATTGAGATGCAGAAACAGAGAAAGAGCTTCCATATGCTGTTTCTCTTCCAAATGCTTGGTCCAACACCTAGGTCTGGAGCAGGTCCAGGCCAGAAGCCAGGAGCACAATCCCGGTTCCTCGCAGGGCGGCAGGAATCTGACCACTGGTGCCATCACTTGTGTCTGGCAGAGCCTGCCGTAGTGGGAGGCCAGTCAGGAGCCGGAGCTAAGGATCCACCAGGTACTAACTAGGAGACTAAGCATCTTCCCATGGCAGTGCTGAACACCTGCCCCACCTCTCCCTAAACAGCATAGCCAGGTGTGTGTTCTCAGGCTCTCGTGATTCCTCCTGCTGCCCAGCCGCACAAGAGGATCTTACTGCACGTCTCTAGCTTGGAGAAAAATCAAAACTCAGAGTGTGTGACCCCTACAGACACCTATTACTTTTCTGCCAATGGCAATGATAATAGTAATAATAAATTGGACTTTCCTGAGTTGGGGACATCTAATCTGTATAGCCCACATATCTGGCCAGGAAATGTATGACCGGAGATCAAATCCAGTCCATGAGGCACTTGACTTCCTCACTGATCTTAAAGGCATCAATTTAGAGCAGCATAAGGAAAGCGAGACTATTTACAGCGTCACCAGGGATGTCTTTAACGGTGGTACCTGTTCCCCAGATATCTTTGACAATTATATAGGCAGCTGTAAAGCAAGAGTGAATAGATTGTTACAAAACCCTAACACCTTGAAATACTAAACTGAATTACGTTCAAGAGCCTAGTCCCTGGGATGGCAGTGGTGTCGTGGGAGGCTGGGAGGGCAGTAATGGATGACAACAAGACAGGAACAAAACATAAAGCAACATGATAGCACCAATAAAATGCTCACAAAGAAACAGTTATGGACATGAAACGGACTGTTAAAAAAAGACAGGTAAGAAGCAAACGAGAATGGCAGAGAAGGGAGTGATTCTTGACTCATGATACTTTAAGTGAAACCAGGAGATTTATGAAACAATATTAGGATAAAATCCTTTTAAGGGAACTGTCGTGAATTTTTGACATGCTTACAAGTTGGAGACACTCCAAAGGTAGAAAAATTAGCTAGAGTTTGCATTAAAAATAGCTAAGTCTATAGGAGCAGGCATTTGGCCTAACGTGTAAGACATCTCCTGGGGGGCCCAGCACAATAGCCTAATGGGCAAAGCCTCACCTTGCCTGGCATGGGGGGATCCCACATGGGCTCTCTGCATTTCCTTCTCTCTACAAAACTCCCTTTCCAATAGAAATAAATACTTAAAAAAAAAAAGCAAATATGATAGAGATGACCACTATCATTGCACTAAATGTCTTAACACTAAACTTAGGACGCTAAAGGTCTTAACCAGATCAGTAAAATAGGAAATAGTATAAAATAAGTTCTAAACCCCAAAAATTCATTACTTGGTTGTAATCCTAGAGACACTCCGAAATATGTTCCCAAGGAGACATATACATCAAAATTCTTCACTATCATGTTTAAAATGATACAAAATTAGAAACCACCAAAAGGCCCACCAACAGATAAATGCATTATAGTAGAGACGCACTAGAATACTCAAAAATTATCAAGATGGATACATGGCTAAATCTCAAAACCATCAAGGAAGTGGAAAACAAAAGCAGCTAGAGTGTCCACATAAGGTACCATTTGCATACTTTGTTTGGAAAAAAAAAATGTTATTTGAAAGTCACAGAGAGGAGGAGAAACTAAGAGACTTCTTTGGCCTGATTGTATAGACCGCTGCAGCAGCCAAGGCTGGCCAGGCTAACCAGGAGCCTGGAACTCCGCTCTGGCCTGCCACGGGCGGGGCAGCGACCTTCCAGTGCTTTTCCCAGAGCGCTGACAAGGAGCTAGATCAGAGGTGGAGCGACTACAACATGAAGCAGCACCCATGCAGAATGCCAGTGTCACTTTACCCCTTTATGCCGTAACACCAGACCACATTTCTAAATTCCAAAAAGAATATTTTACATCGTAACAGATACCTGCAAATATAGAAAAAGGTGCCCAGAGGGCAGAGATTACCTCTAGGGACAAATGAAAAAAAAAAAAAAGCATTTAGGGAAAGCATTTAATGGGGAGTAGAGGTATGGTACTTTAACAGCACCTATACTTATTTCTTTGAGGAAAATGTAAAGCAAAAATTACAAAATGTTTATTTTGATAAGCTATGTAGAGGATATAAAGGTGTCTATTATATTATTTATATTATTTGCTATCCTTTGTATATATTAAATATATGTCATAATTTAAACATTTCTATAGAAAAGGTCAAGCTGCATGGTGTATCTGTTTTAAAGGCCTATACCTTAAAATAAGGCATAAGAAAGTACTCATCTATAATGACAAAAAATTAAAAACAAGATTAGTAAAATAAAATGTTGTATAGTTATAGAATGAACTGGCATACAATCATAAATAAGTGACTGTTCAAAGTATGGTTATTGATTTGGAAAGATGCTGATGAAACATTAAGTGGGAAAAAAAACAAGCTTTCAACAAATGCATCAAATGGTTAACACAAACTTCTCCTGTAAGCACAAACAGGCCAAAGTTCCATTAATGCACCTGTCATATTTTAATCTCTTATCAACTTGGATCCACAAAAACAAGTTAGCTATAAGGAGGCTAATCATAGCAATGAATGCAATACATTAATTCTGGAGTTTTGAACAGGAAAGATAGTGCTATAAATACTTATGCAGAGCAGTTGCATTTGAAGCCAAAAACAATTATTTCCCAGACTTGGTGCCAACAATGCCCACTTTTCCCGATGAGCCCTGCTCTGTACTTTACCATCAAGTCAGAAAGCTGCCAGAGCTAGAACAGTAATTTTGGTTGTTGATCTAACTAAAAGGAGCCAGGCAGAACATAAGCAGCTACTTACAAAATAAACTAAGCCAGGTTTGGAAATCAACACAACTCAAAGTTGTACTCACAAAGCCAGGCCATATTTACAAGGGGAAAAAAAGTGACTACAAGGTGTTACCGAAAGAATTTTGAAGGAGAATAAAGTATTTGTGCCCTCTGACAAATTGAAAATTGGATGTGTGCTCTAAGACCTGTATTCCATATTTTGTTAATTTAAAGTTGCCCCCAAAGATCTAAGAATCACAACAGGTTCTATTTTATGAAACTGTAATATCATACAATAAGGGATGGGGAAATGAGAGTGTTAGAGAAAGTATTTCTGTTATCATTCCTTTATTGTGAAAAGATCTGGGTGTTCTTTACGATGCAGTACTGCTAAGACGGAAAGTTATAAACTTCACTATTATGTTAAAATTAGGCCTGGCCCAAGCCATACAGTAGCAATTTGGATATAAGGTGTATTAAATCACATCTTCCAGAAGAGCTGATTCTGAATTCAATTACCCTTTGAGAGAAGACATCCCAGCTCGCATAATTTCATCAACCAGGAGAATGTTGGTAGCAATCATTGTGCTAAGAAGGAAGATGAGAGACTGAGTCGAGCCTGCTAAGCCATCCTCACCTTCTCCTCCCCTGCCCCAAATAATCTTCAGCAATGAAGGCAATTACTTCTAAAAATACATATATTTTTATTTTAATTAAAGATTTGCACAGAGCAATGCAAACATCACTTCTTGTATTATAATTTCACTTCCTTTGCTGATAAGGTAGAAGACTGGCTTAAATTCCAGCAAAACTGAATTTGTTTTTAAGCATGTCATCTGATTTTTCTGCACTATACGCATGGTGCTATTTCAGAAAACATTCCTCTTCCCCTGTCCTCTCAAATAAACAATAAAACTAATCTTCCTATAATTCACACCTATTAGAATTAAATATAAAGAGGATAAGAAAATGACAGAAGTTAATTTTTTTAGCTGGATAGAAAAATTTTAATGGTATCAATTATATCCTCCAAATCTTTCTCTTCATGGTACTAAAAACTTACCAAGAATGAAGAAGTTGTTTTTTCACACAATAATTATCCCAGACTCTTGCATCTGCTGCTACCATTGGTTCACCTGCAAAATACAAACCATTTAAATACTGCAATCTTGATAGACTGTATTAACATGGATTATATATTCTAATAATAATTTTAACATAATCCCAAAGCTACTTTTGCCCAAGGTCCTCAATGACCTCCACACTGTTAAATCCAATGATCAATTGGCAGGTCTCACCCATGAGTAGCCCTTAACACCACCCATCACACCCTCTGACCACTGCTTCCTCACTTGTCTGCCACGACCCCACACTCCCAGGGCCCATTTGTGCTAGTGGCTCCTCTTCTCCCTTGAACTCTTGATGGTTTTCAGTCCTAGATTTTCTATATATACTTATTCTCCCGACATAATCTCATCCTGACATCTGAATTTAAATTATATATATATATTATATGTATATATATATTATACGTATATATAATATATATATAGTGTATATATATATATATATATATAGTGTGTATATATATATATATAGTGTGTGTGTGTGTATACATACATACCCAGGCAACTCTCAAGGTTGGATCTCCACCCCAGACCTCTTTCTTCAACTCTAGACACAACTTTATTACTTGGATGACTATGGACATTTCAAACTTGACTTCACTGACAACTGTAAGTTCCTCTTACGCACAACCTGGTCTACCAACAGTCGTTTTCATGTTTCAACCTTCTGTTTGTTCAGCTGACTCTTCTCCATGAGGTGTAGGATAGCCAGAGTGAACCTGTTAGACCATGTCACCCCTCAGTCCCAACAGCTTACTGTTCCTCTACAGCACACATGCCTCCATGTGACCCTCAGTCACTGCTCTTGCTCCTCGCCTCCTAGGAAGCATCACACAGCGGCTGCCCCGCTGGCTGCTCCCTGTACCCATGACACCAGTCCCGTTCCCAGTGCTCGCCTCCTCCCTCTTCCTTTGCCAGCACTGGTCCTCCCAGTGAGGCTGGCTCTGACCAACCCCCTCCCCACCCTCCTACCCATGATCACCTTCACACTATTTTAATTTTTCATAAAATCTGTTACTTTCTCAAATCTCAGAATAACTTATTAAGGTTATTACTTATCGCCTATCTTCCCCCACTATAACATAAGCTCCCAAGGGCAGATATTTCTGTCTCTTTTGTTCTGTGTGAATCCCAAGTAGCAAACTGTAACCACTCTGTAACTGTTTCCTAAAGGAATGGATATATTTTTAAGATTTATTTATTTTTATTGGAAAGTCAGACATGCAGAGAGGAGGAGAGACAGAGAAGAAGATCTTCCATCCGACAATTCACTCCCCAAGTGACCGCAACGGCCGGTGCTGCGCTAATCAGAAGCCAGGAGCCAGGAACTTCCTCCAGGTCTCCCATGTGGGTGCAGGGTCCCAAGGCATTGGGCCGTCCTTGAGTGTTTTCCCAGGCCACAAGCAGGGAGCTGGATGGAAAGTGGAGCTGCCGGGATTAGAACCGGCGTCCATATGGGATCCTGGTGCATTCAAGGCGAGAACTTTAGCCACTTGGCCACCACACCGGGCCCAGGAATGGATATTTTTAACAAGGTTAAAAGTAAAGGCACCCAGGGCCCAATGCAAAGTGTAGTGGCTAAAGTCCTTGTTTTGAATGCACCTGGATCCCATACGGGTGCTGGTTCTAATCCTGGAGGTCCTGTGGAGTAAACCATCGGATGGAAGATCTTCCTCTCTGTCACCCCTCCTCTGTATATATAGGCCTTTCCAATAAAAATAGATAACTCTTTACCAAAAAAAAAAAAGAAAAGGTACCCAAAATTTAAATAATAACAATGATAAGGCTACCCAAACCTTCAGCCCCTCACTGTAAGAAATGGATCACTAAAGAGTAGCCTGTTTATTAATCACATCATTTGTCTTAACTTACCAGTATTCAAATCTATGCCAACAAGTTGTTTGGATCCTACGTGCTCAGCCTGAACTTTTACCAGTGTTTCCTGCATGTCATAACCAGAATTCTGAGCAAGAACCTTCATGAATAAAAATAATAATATATATATGTATGAAATATCCTCACATACATATTTTAACATCAACATAAAAATAAGGCATTATTCTTTTGTCTTGTGAAAATACAACTTTAGTGTAGTTGTCATCTTTTGAAGAATTCCATTGTTAATCTATATCAAATTATCATCTATCTAGTATTCCTGTAGATGCTTAAACCTACTTAAACAAATACTATGAATATCACACCGAATTCTGAGGACATCAGAGCTCCTGACTACATCAATCTCCCTTCTACCTTTTTTTTTTTTTCTGTGTATGTCATGTGGTTTTTGCTAGCCTACTTTTTCCTAGGCCCCTATTGAAGGACACTGCCATGCTGGCAGCCTTCTGTGTCCTTCACCTTCAGGGAATAATGACCTTTGGCAACAGGGATGGAGAAACGTGCACCCAGCCAGGCTCATTTGCACATGTCCCCCAAACCACCCTCTGAGGAGAAAGAGGTACCACCAGTGCACATCCACACCGGGCTCCCAGCTCATGGGGAGAGAGGAACTAGATATCTGATTCACAATGGGTCCACAAACTGAGTACTTTTAATTGAATTAGCTTTTTTCTAAAAGATTTATTTTTCTTTTTACTTGAAAGATAGCATCACAGAGAGAGAAAGAAATCTTCCATCTGCTGGTTCACTCCCCCAAATGGCTGCAATAACTGCAGCTGAGCCTGCGCAGAGCCAGGGACTTCTGGGTGACCCACGTGGGCACAGGGGTCCAAGGACTCGGGTACTCTTCCTCTGCCATTAGCAGTGAGCTGGGTCAGAAGCAGAGCCACCAGAACTCAAACTGGCACCCAGATAGGATGCTGGTGCCTCAGGCAGAGGCTTAGCCTGCAATGCAATAGCGCCAGCCCTAACTGTGATTATCAGAGACTTGGCTGGCTTCGTTAGTACTGTTTTAATGCATGGTAATAACATATTAGAAATTTGGGGGGTGGGGCAGCGTGATAGCCTAAGGGCTAAAGTCCTCACCTTGCATGCACCGGAATCCCATTCGGGTACCGGTTTGTATCCTGGCCGCTCCACTCCCCATCTAGCTCCCTGCTTGAGGCCTAGGAAAGTAGTCCAGGATGGCTCAGAGCCTTGGGATTTTACACATGTGGGAGAGACCCAGAAGAAGCCTCTGGCTCCTGGTTTCAGATCAGCTCAGCTCCGGCTGTTGTGACCACTTAGGGAGCGAGCCAGCAGATGGAAGATCTTTCTCTCCTCTCTCTGACTTTCCAATAAAAATAAATAAATCTTTTAAGAATACATAAAAAATGGTTTTTGTGTTTCTAAGAGAAAAATAGTAGTTTTCTATCATCAAATGAAAAAAAAAATCTGATTTCTCTCCTTTTCTATGAATTATAATGACAATGACAACTGCAAACTGGCAGTATTTGAAATGTTAAACAGCCCGAAGTCCTCCCTTTTCACAACTTAAAGTGACTACATTTTGGATACTATCAACAAGATGAAAATCTATCCTAAAATCTAATTAAATTTTAAGTCTTAAACATTTCAAACTCAGAAAAGGACCCAAGGGGGTGCTTTGGCTGTTTCATAAAACTCCTGATAGGATTCTGGGCTGTTCTATCAAGAATTTCCCTGGTACAGTTGTAAAATATCTAAAAAAAAGTAAAGAAAATTATGCAAGGAAATGTGAATACATGCCCATCTTTCTACTCTGCTGCTGCATAATACAAACCATGTGTAATTAAATGCCTTTATGCCTAAGCATTTCTTCAGCATTAGCATAGTTCTACCTTGGGAATAATGAGTAAGGCGTCCGCAAAAGCCTGCACTCCAAGACGAGCTCTTCCTTCTATTTTGTGTTTATATTTAACAAGGGCTTCGGCCAGTGCTACTTCAACTGCACCTGCCCCTGGAACTACACAGCCTGTTGAAAAAAAAAATGACTAGCAAGACATGCATACAAGGAAAGGAGTTGTGGTGGTGGGCAGGTGGGGACAATTAGCTCTTCAAGCGTGTTCTGCTATCAAGCCTCATTGTAGAATGCATTGAAATATATGCAGAATCAGATCGGTGGCCCAGCTCAGTAACTACCCAGTTGTCCCGTGAAGCCCAGGAAGCTTCCTGAAGTTAAACCACGAAGCAGGTGCAGGTAACTAACTGTAATCGGCTTATTACGTTGGCAAATAGGACTGGACGTTTCTTTCATCGTACTTTATCTTATTCTTACATGACTACATTTACAAAGTAGTTATTTATAATTCATAGTGGCACGTGACTGCTTGCAATACTGATATGAAAACCTTTAAGACTGTAAGAATTTAGCAGGACCCAGCTCAATGGCGCAGTGGTTAAGGTCCTCGCCTTGCACACCCGGGATCCCATATGAGCGCCGGTTCTAATCCCGCGACCCCGCTTCCCATCCAGCTCCCTGCCTGTGGCCTGGGAAAGCAGTCGAGGACGGCCCAAAGCTTTGGGAACCTGCACCTGCGCGTGGGAGACCAGGAAGAGGCTCCTGGCTTCGGATCGGCATAGTATCGGCCCGTTGCGCTCACTTGGGGAGTGAATCATCGGACGGAAGATCTTCCTCTCTGTCTCTCCTCTCTGTATATCTGCCTTTTCAATAAAAATAAAATAAATCTTTAAAAAAAAAAAAGAATTTAGCCACTGCTTTCGGTATGGAATATTTGAGACTCAACAGCATTGTTTTCTGTACTGGAGCAGAATGTGGGTGGTCATATCATTATAAGGTCAGAGTTTTATTTAAACCCATTATTTTTCACAACAGGGCACAAACTTTTATATCTGCTAGCATGTTTTATACAGCATATGACACTTCTTTGAGTCATTGTGAACATGCTCTGAAATCATCTATTTTTAAAACAAAATCACTTAAAAGTAATCACTCTCTTTAGCATATCACGTTTTACTTATTTCCCCTTCCCGACCTCACTTCACGGCAAAATTGTTGAAACTGTTGTTTACCCACAATATGATGATATGATTATGTCCTATTTGCAGTGTTTAAGTCTCTTGTTGGGGCCAGTGTTTCACACAAGCACTCAGGCACTGCTTTAGGAGCCCGCATTCCTTGTTAGACTGCCTGGGTTCAAGTCCTGGCTCTGCTCTCCATTCCAGCTTCCTAGGAATGCACCCCCAGGAGGCAAATGCCAGCCTATCCATTGCAGCACACCAGTGGTCAGTAGGGAGATTCCTTGGACAGCTAAAGACACATCTACCATCAGACCCAGCCATCTCACTCCTGGGAATATAGTCAGATGAAATGAAACCTGCATGCAAGAGAGGCACTGCAAGCCCAGGTTATTAGTAGTACAATTCAGAATAGCTAAGACGTGGAAACAACCCACATACCCATCAACAGATAGGGTCCAGTGTAGTAGCCTAGTGGCTAAAATCCTCCTTGCATGTGCCAGGATCCCATATGGGCGCTGGTTCTAATCCCGGCAGCTCCACTTCCCATCCAACTCCCTGCTTGTGGCCTGGGAAAGCAGTCGAGCACGGCCCAAAGTCTTGGGACCCTGCACCCGTGTGGGAGACCTAGAAGAAGCTCCTGGCTCCTGGCTTCAGATTGGCTCAGTGTTGGCCACTTGGAGAGTGAATCAATGGGTGGAAGATCTTCCTCTCTGTCTTCCTCTCTGTATTAACTAATTTTCAAATAAAAACAAATACAAATCTTTAAATAAATGGATAAATAAATCTTTAAAAATTAAAGAGAGAAAATGTGATACATTTACTCCATGGAATACTGCTCAGCCTTTTGCTACATTTGTAATGTCATGATTCACTTATATATCTCTCTGCTTCCCCAGACACAAGACGAAACAAAGAGAATGTGAAAGTAATGATCTCACCCACCTTCCTGTAGCCCTTGACCCTTATCACCCTAATTAACACTGCAAAAATCATCAAAATAAATTAATTTTAAAAAGAAAGAAAGTTAAGCCTCGTAACAGTAAAATGAAGATTATGCCATTGTAACAACTTGGAGACAAGTTATAAGAGGAGATGCTGGGGAGGAGGAGAGGGAGGGAAGAGGAGGGACAATCCCCATGCATATAAATACATACATATATAATATACACACTGGAAAACAGCTGAATGCTTTCTTTCTTTCTTTTTTTAAGATTTATTTTTATTATTTTTTCATTGGAAAGGCGGATATACAGAGAGGAGAGACAGAGAGGAAGATCTTCCGTCCGATGATTCACTCCCCAAGTGAGCACAACAGCCGATACTATGCCGATCCGAAGCCAGGAGCCTCTTCCGGGTCTCCCACGCGGGTGCAGGGTCCTAAAGCTTTGGGCCGTCCTCGACTGCTTTCCCAGGCCACAGGCAGGGAGCTGGATGGGAAGCGGGGCTGCTGGGATTAGAACCGGCGCCCATATGGGATCCCGGGCATGCTAGGCGAGGACCTTTAACCACTTGCGCCACCGCGCCGGGCCCAGAATGCTTTCTTTCTAAGATCAAGAGTAAAGAATGGATTCCACCCTCATTACTTTTATACAACACTGTATTGGAGCTTCTCGCCCATGAAAGGAGAAAATAGAAATTAAAAAATTCATATTTGAATAAAAGTAAAACTACATCAGTATACAACATGTTCACTTATATAGAAAAGTCAATGAAATTTAGTTGGCAGAGCAAGAAATCAATAAAATGTACTTGGCAGAGCTAGTAGAACTAGTAAGTATAGCAAGGCTGCAGAATTTAAGATCAAGACAAAAAAATCAGCTATATTTCCAAAACATTACAAAATTAAGGAGCCAACATAATGGTTCATTCACAACCTGCACACACCAGGATCCCATGTGGGCACCAGTTCATGTCCCAGCTGCTCCACTTCCCATCCAGCTCCCTGCTTGTGGCCTGGGAAAGCAGTTAAGGACGGCCCAAAGCTTTGGGACCCTGCACCCACATGGGAGACCTGGAGGAAGCTCCTGGCTCCTGGCTTTGGATTGGCGCAGCACCGGCCGTTGCAGTCACTTGGGGAGTGAATCAAAGGATGGAGGATCTTCCTCTCTGTCTCTCCTCCTCTCTGTATATCTGAATTTCCAATAAAAATAAACCTTTTTTTTTTAAAAAAAAAAAAAACCAATAAGAATATCTGTGCTGGATAGCAAAAAGGCAGTGGCTACACATGCAAAAAAAAAAAAAGTGAAAACTCATTTATAGTGACAGAAAAATAGGGCAACATGAGGAATGTCAAGAAGAAAGGATTGCCAAGGCACTGAGCAAACATTTGGGGGCACTGGGTATGTCCATTATCGTGACTGAACTTCTGGTCAGGGATATTGAAATGAGCTCATTATATATCAGTTAGTTTTGATGACACCAAAGTGGCTGCAGTGACTTTAAGTAATCTGTTCATTCTTCTATAGATTCTAAATTCTTTTGTAGAAACAAATCGTTGCCTTCTTTCATTTTATTTGGAAGGCAGAGAGAGAGAGAGAGAGAGAGAGATTTTTCACCCAGTAATTCACTCCCCCAATGGCTGTAATAGCCACAGCTGGGCTGAGTCAAAGCCCAGAGCCTCATCCAGGGCCCCAACTCCTTGGCCATCCCCCTGCTGTACCCGCAGGTACACCTCAGCAGGATGCTGGCTCATGAGCAGAGGAGTCAGCGCCTGAACCAGGCCCCGCATGTGAACGCCAGAATTTGCAAGAGCATCTTCACCACTGCACCAGATGCCCACTCCCAGCTCTTAGAACCATTAGTAATAATTTATTTATTCTATTGCCAGAGAGAAAAAGCCAGATTGACAACGAGCCTTCCGAACTTGATCAGGCTGAAGCCAGGAGCCTGGAACTCATCAACCTGCGTCTCCTCCATGGGCAGCAAGAAGCCAGTTACTCGGCCCATCGTCTGCTGCCTTCCAGGATTTGCAAAAGCAGGAAGCTGCAATCAAAAACATGAGCTGTGCATCAAACCCAGGCACTCTGACACAGGATGTGAGTATCTTGCCACCAGGCTAAAAGCCTACCCCCAGCTTTGTATTACAGACATTCTAGAGGTCTGAAATGGTGTCCTTTGTTGTTGTTATTCTAAAAAATTATAGAGCGAGGGAGAAAGAGAGACCTTCCATCCACTGGATTAATCCCCAAATGATCCCAGTGGCGGGAGCTGGTTCAGACTGCAGCCAGGATCCTAGAGTTCCATCCAAATTTCTCATATGGGTGCAGTGCAGGTGTCCAAGGATCTGCCTGATCTTTCATTACTTTCTCAGGCACATTAGCAGAAAACTGACATCAGTAAGAGATGCTGGTGTTGGACCCAGTGCAATAGCCTAGTGGCTAAATCCTCACTTTGCATCACCAGGATCTCATGTGGGTGCTGATTTGTATCCCAGCTGTTCCACTTCCTATCCAGCTCCTGCTTGTGGCCTGGGATAGCAGTGGAGCATGGCCCAGAGCCTTGGGGCTCTGCACCCACATAGGAGACCCAGAGGAAGCTCCTGCCTCCTGGCTTCGGATCAGCTCAGCTCTGGCTATTTCAAGAGTCTTCATTTGGGGAGTGAACCTGCAGAAAGGAAATCTTACTCTCTGTATCTACTTCTTTCTGTGCACTTTCCTTTCCAATAAAATAAATAAATCCTGAAGAAAAAGAGAGAGAAAGAGCGAGCGAGAGAGAGATGCTGGTGTTACCAGTGGTGGCTCAGTGCGCTGCGCCACAATGCTGACCCCGAAATACTATTTTATTGTAGTTTTGATTTTCATTTCCCTAATGACTAATGATGTAGGGCATCTTTTCATGTGCCTATTATTCTTTTAAAAATAGGCATGGTTTTTATTGGCTTATCCTAAATGTTTATAGAAGGAAGTTGGCTATGAACTCCCAACAAAGTTCTTATTCTTTTCTAATCTTTCTACAAATCATACTATATCTGAGGTAATAGAATTTTAATAAAGCCTTTCAAAGGTTTAAAAACAAACTTCTAAAAGTAAAAGAAACCACACATCATCATTAAGTTAGCTGTGTTTTCATTTCATGAATACAAATTAACTTAAAAGGCACACCATAATAAGAACATTTCAAAGGAAAAAATTTATAATCCAAACTATAAATTGTCTAAAATAAAGAGAAAATGCTAATTACTTGTTTTTTTAAAACCATTTAAAAACATTATGACAGACTTACTGCTTCAAAAGGATTTTGTGGCGAACGTTTTGATGCAGCAGGTTAAGCCACCACTTGGGACATCCACACTCCATGTTGGAGTGCCTGGGATCAAGTCCTGGCTCCTCCTTTTATGAACCAACTTCCTGTTAATATACTTGGAACGCAGCTCAGGACAGACCAGAATTCCTGCTATGAACCAGGAAGACCCAGATGCAGTTCCTGCCTCCTGTCCTTGGCCTAGTCCAGCCCCAACTATTGTGTTTGTGGAGTAAGTCAATGAATTGAAGACCTTTTTACCTCTGTCTCTTCTGTCACTCTGCCTATTTAAACAAGCATATAAGCACATATTTTTAAATGTTTGTAAATATTTGAGATTCAAAGCCGTCACAACAAAAGGGCTTACCATCCTCAATGGCGTTTTTGATGGCACGAAGTCCATCTCTTATGGCGTCCTTGGTTTGTGTTAGCGTATGCTTATTAGGTCCTTTGACCAACAGGGTAACAGAGCGAGGGTTAATACAGTTCTCAATAAAAGTAAACTTTTCTTCACCCTAAATATAATACAAGAAATATGCTTATCTTCAGTTTTGTTAAAAATCAAGAACATATTGGAATACGATTTTCATGTGAAGAGCACTTGTTATCAAATATGACTAAAAGTATGTCTAAAACTAGAAAATATGTACCCGAAATGTTAACTAACATTTAGGCAAATAAATTATAAATGTTTTCCAATGGGATTAGTCAGATCTCAAAATGCAACGCATGAATTAAAAGCTTAATGAGATCTGTGGGGTTTTTTCCTCAAAAAGAAGCCTAGGGTACATTCACAGAAATACTCACTAATGTATGCTCGTACACAAGACCAGCATAGCCCAGGCACTCCACACTGAGATCTTCCAGAGAATTCACAGCCATTCCACCACAAGCAAGAGAGAGTCTGAAATTACATGTCGCCATAAATTCTGATTATAGAAAACATAAAGGCTAATGAAGAAGATATTTAACACAAAGGACTGCATTGTGACTCTTTTATGTTCGTATTGCTTGGGCAAAGCTTTTTAATTTTTTAGTTAACAAACTATATGTTTATCATGTTTAATATGATATTTTAAAATATACGTACAGGTTGTGAAAAACTAGATCAAGCTAATTAACATGCATTACCTCAGCATTATAGTGGTCAGAACACATAAAATCTATTCTGCATTTTTTAAGAATATATTCATTATGGTGATCATATTGTACATGTTTTGAACTTATTCCTCCTACCTGGAATTTCATATCAATTAACCAACATCTCCCCAATGCTTCAACCCCTATCACGGTTAGTCACCTTTCTCCTACCTACTTCTGAGCTCAATGTTAAGATCATGTGGTATCGTCTTGCTTTAAAAATCTCTTTTAGGGGCCAGGGTTGTAGCACAGCATGCTAAGCCACTATTTATAACTTGGCATCATATGTTGGAGTGCCAGTTCAACAATTCTCTGCTGCTCCTCTTCTGATCCAGCTCCTTGCTAATGTACCTGGGAGAGCAGCAAGGGGTGGCCTGAAAACGTGTGACTCTGCCACCCATGTTGGAGACCTGGATGAAACACCTGCCTTCTGGTTGCAGCTTAGTTTAGCCCCAGCCATCACAGACATTTCAGAAATGAACCAGTGGATGGAAGATATCTCTTTCTCTAGCTTTCACTCTTTCTCTCTCTCTCAAACTGCTTTTCAAATACATAATTTTAAAATTTTTTTATATAGTTGACTAGGGCTCAAAGGATCAAGGGCTACAGGAAAGTGGGTTAGACCTTTATTTCCACATTCTCTTTTTTCCTTCCTGAATTTGGGGGAAGGGGAGAGATAAAGGGAGAAGCCACAACTACCTTCCCAACCGTCCCAGAGTCCCAATGTGGGGCATGTTCCAAGGGCACTGCTCAAGTGGTTTCAGTAGTTCAGCAGTTCTGTATTGCTGCCAGTATTGCCACTCCAATCATGATGAAATCTCTTCAGAATCCACCAACTGACATAGTCCACCTTAGAATCTCTGTTTGCCCAGGTATTCACTGCCAACACATGGCTGGGACAGTTAATTGATTATCCTCTGTCCTCTGTTCCGGTACCAGGGGTCTCATGCAGGCTCCAATGTACTGCCATATCTATCCTCCATGTGCACCTGGATATGCTGTCCACTGCTCCATCTGAGCCACTGAGGAGGCTCAGCTTTGATACATGCACTCCATGGTCAGAAAATGGAACCTGCAATTATCTTCATGGTTGGGTTTCTGAGTCCAGCAGTACAATTGGGGGCTGGGGGGAGACTCCCCAAAGAAACTTTGTCTGAGGTGATCCCCAACCAGATGCTTGGGTGTGCTTGCCAGGACAGAGTCTGGCACAGTCTTTCGCCCAAATCATGTTATGCATATGCTGGTGGTTGCAATTGTTGGGTCAGTTCTGCCTCCAACTTTGTCTTCTACACAAACCAATGGGTGTTGCAGCCAATCCCAATCCTGCCCACTACACACTTGGCCACATAAACCAGTGGGAGCTGCAGCCTAGTTGGGGCGACTCCCCATAACCCCCACCAGGCCCATTCCCTGCCTGGTTCCCATGCTTGCCAGTATGTACAGCAGACTGGTCCAGTATGTCCCACATCCCATTCAGCTCACATATATGAGAATGGGCATTGAATCCTAGTTCAACCCAACCAGCCCCACTATTAAGTCCACACACCTGCTGATGGGTACCACTCTCTGACTAGCCATGCCTGCCCCAGTCCTGGTTCTCATGCACACAGATGGAGTGGCAACCCAGGAGGGAGGTGCCCAATGGTTCCCTACTGGGCCCACTTCCACTCCCAGATCATGCACTCTCCAAGTGGTTCCGCAGTTTGGCTTGACAGAATTAGCACCCCATGCCAGCATCTGCCTGCTGATGCTGTGGCAGAACTCAAACAACCCACAGCCACTCTGGCTTATGCATGCACTAGTAGGAACAATCAACACAGCCTGGCTTTTTCCTGGTCCAGCTCACATGAGGCCAACAGGTGTTGTAGCTCTGCCTGGTCTGTCTGGTCTTCCCCCATCCCAACTCATGCTCTCTAGTTCCCCAAAAGTCTGCACCTAACTGGGCTAGATCAAGGTGTGGACAGGAGCCAGGAACGCAATCCAGTTCTGCCACTTGGATGGCAGGAGCCATCATTGCTGCCTTCAAGTCATTATTGATGGGAAGATAGAATTAGGAGCCAGAACTAAGAATCTCACCAAGCACTCTGACGTGGAACATGGATATCTTGAACACGATGCCAAATGCCTATTCCTACAATTCTGATTTTCAGCAGTTCAATATTTACTGCAATTAAGAACTAAACTTGGGATATGTATACTACTAGTTTATTCTGTGGTGCTTACATATAAGCTAAAAGGACTAGATTATATGGGATAATTTTAATTTAATCTGATAAAAATATGAAAATACCTACTTATATGAAAGTTTACCTTTCCATATTTCTTCTTTTTGCTCTGCGAAGAGCTACAATTCCATGTTTTGCCAGAGTTTCTAAGGAAAATGGATCAATTCCCTGTAATCGAATTAACATGAAAGTTACAGGCATTTGAAAAACATATTGTTTGGTCTTGTTTTAGTTTTTTTAAGTTGACTTATTTACTGGAAAGGCGAGTGACACACAGAGAAAGAGAGCGGGAGAGAGATTTTGCAATGGCTGGTTCACTCTACATATGCCACTGAGAGCGAGAGCAAGGCCAGGAACCTAGAACTCCATCTAGGCCTCTCACATGGGTGGCAGAGAACCAAGCACTTTTACCATTATCTGCTGCCTCTCCGGGTGCACATCAGAGAAAGCTGGAGGAAGCAGCCGTGACACTTCATCACAGGCACTTTGAGATAGAATGCAGACATCCCAAATAGCACTTTAACCCACCTTTCCATAAAATCTGCCCCTATAAACATGCTTCAAATTAGTATTCCTCACTTGTAAATTACCACACAGCTTTAAAAATTCTTAAGTACTCATGAGCTTTTTGTTTATATAAGTTGTATCTATACTTTTTATCATGTTAAAATATTCATTAACCTACTATAAATAATGAACCCATTTTATGTTCAGAATGCTAACATCTACAAAAGAAAATTTAGTATACTTTCCAAAACAAGAATGCATATAGTGAGAGTGGCATCATTATTTTATGTTTGTAAACCTCTTTAATACCCATCATAATAGAAAACAAGTAGAATTTCCTATCAGTATTTGCATTCATTGTGGTGTGATAAATTATCTTGTTTCATGTATATTAAGAAAATGCATCCCCACACAGATATCTACTGAAAAGGAAGGAATATTTTAATAATCTAGTTTGGATAACTGTAGATAATCTTCTTCCATATTACATTTTTACAAAATGAAACAACTAGTCATTCTTAAATAATTAGTTTCAACATGGAACTGCATAAATGAACTTCTTGCTATTTTCTCATTTTAAAATCTGGTCCATTTTACATTTCATTTTTAAACTTATTTTTTAAAAAGATTTATTTTTATTTGAAAGGCAGATTTTACAGAGACAGAAAGAGAGGTCTGGTTCACCGGTCCATTCACCAAATGGCCACAATAGCCAGAACTAAGCTGACCCAAAGCTGGGAACCAGGAGCTTCTTCTGAGTCCCCCACAAGGGTACAGGAGTCAAGGACTTGGTCCACCATCCGGTGCTTTCCCAGGCCAAATGAAGAGAGCTGGATCAGAACTGGAGCAGCCAGGACATGAACTGGCCACGCATTTGGGTTGCTGGTACTAACTACTAGCCACCATGTCAGCTCCTTTAGTGTTTATTTTCTTCTGTTTGAAAGGCAGAGTGAGAGAGAGACAGACAAACAATATTTTTCATCTGCTAGTTTACTTACCAAATTCCCAGTTAGGACTAGGCTAGGTTGAAGCTAGGAACCTGGGAGTTCATGTGCGTCTCCCACATACGTATCAAGGGCCCAAGCACTTGAGTTATGATCTGTTGCTTCCCAAGACATTAACAGGAAACTGGACTGGATTTGGGGACCTGGGACTCAAACTGATACTCCAATATGGGATGCCAGTGTTGCAAAAGGCAGTTTGATCCACAGTCCCCTATTTTGCATTTTAGCCTTGCACAATTTTGTTAAAATAGCTAGTCAGGCTCAGCACAATGGCTCAATGCCTAAATCCTCACCTTGCAAGTGCTGGAATCCCATATGAGTATCACTTCGTGTCTCAGCTGCTCTGCTTCCCATCCAGCTCCCTGCTTGTGGCCTGGGAAAACAGTCAAGGACAGCCCAAAGCTTTGGGACCCTGCACTCTGTGGGAGACCTGGAAAAAGCTCCTGGCTCCTGGCTTCAGATCAGCTCAGCTCCAGTCATTACAGCCATTCAGGAAGTGATCCAGAAGATGGACGATCTTTCTGTATTTCCTTCCCTCTATAAATTACTTTTTCAATAAAAATAATAAATCTTTGTTTAAAAAAATAGCTAGTCTAGCCACTTCTTTGATATTTAGAAAATACTGGCTCATCAAGTTAAGCAACACTTCCAAATGTTAATGTATTTCATAGTTGTACAATATTTAGAAAACCCAGATTTGCTAATATTATCACTATCAGAAAAGTAGTAAGTACTGGGAAGCAGTCAAGCCCACAGTAGCAGATGTGAAATTTCTGAAATTGTAATTTTTGTTTGAAAGCCAAAATGTTGCCATACGGATAGTATTTGTTGCAGTGACAGAATTACCTCACTCATTTTTGAGAAAATATACCAGATATCAAAATCTAAATCACTACATTTTGTCTGTCAGTCATTCTTTCAAGTAAAAAAAAGTCTTTCCATGAAAAAAAAAAGTGGAGAGTTTAGCTCACAACTCAAGTACATGAGACATTGTCTTATTTTGGCATTTGGTAGAAATGCATTGTGTGTGCTTCATTTTTTATGACACAAAATTTTTAAGGGCAATATGTTTAAGGCCCAAATTTTAATGAAAGAGTTGGTTTTACTGCTTCATCAAGACATGCTGAAAACTGTATCTCTGCAATTTCTTTACTTTTTCATTCTTTCTTTCTTTCTTTTAACTGTAAGAGTGAGATGGTATGGCAATAAAGAATGTGAGAGACAGACCGAGGCAGACATTTGGGTTAAGATTCATCCTGGGGCACTTGCATCCTATATTGAAATGCCTGTCCGGGCTCCCAGCTCCTCTTCCGGCTAACGCCCAACCTTGGGAGGTAGCAGATGATGGTTCAAGTACACGGGTCCCTGCCACCTGCACAGAACACGAAGATTGAGTTCTAGCTTTAGCCTGGTGCAACAATGGCTGTTACTGCCACTTGGGAAGTGAACCAGTAGATGGAAGATCTTTCCTTGTCTGCCTCTCTCTGTGTTTTTCAAAGGAAAACAAATAAATAAAAATACTTTTGAAAGAATATGGTGACTAGTGGTATAGTTTGCTGCTGCTGCTTTGAACACACTGAGGTGTCAACTGTTTTACCTCTCATTGCCTTTGTGCCATTACTGTAAATGGCAACGCACACAAAAGGCTTGATGATGGTGATGAAGAAAACAGTTTTGACCTCAGGCTCCCCAAAAGGATCTTAGAAACTCTTGGGAGCCAAAGACTACCTTTTCAGAAATGCTAAAAAAAAAAATAAGTTTACAAATAACTTAAACCTACAGTTTGTTTCTCACCTTTTGATTAATAACAACAAATCCTTTATGGGACTTATCGCAAACTTTGTTTTTCAAGTCTATGATCTTTTGTACTCTGTCCTCAATAAATTTCCTTTCAGCTTTTACTAATTTTTCTCTTTCTTCTGCAGTCTTATAAAAGAAGCCAGAGTTCACCTCTCTGAAAGGTTAATTTAAAAAAAATCAGTAAAGGTATAGGGAGAGGGAGGAGAAAACCAAGAAGGACTCTACGCTAATCAACGTTTGTGAACAAAGAAAAAGATTACAAAACATTTTCAAAAATTCTGAGAATAAATTGACACATACGTTTTTTCATATTCTAGTGATACATTGCAAGTAAAAATAAATGCATCTTCTACTAGTTTCTTCATATCTGGATGACGGGCACCATGATCCAAAACCAATCCTTTGATTAACCTATTAACACATAATGTGTCTTAATCAGAATAGACACTCTAAAATTTGGTATACAATTAGAATCATACTCTTTAAAATTAGAACAAAATTGCCAGGGCACACAATGTTTCCTTGCACCAACTTGAAATCTAACTTATAATTAGTAGAATTAGGAAGAAGAATCTACTTCAACTGGAAAGTCACAATGAAAAGTCAAACCAAAATTATTCTCTGAGTTATCCGGCTCAAAAACAGGATGTAGCTAACTAGGAAAAGAAAAGCTGGATCATGTCAGTTTCTTAGGAACATGTGTTCAAAATTTAATTATGTGAAAAAAAAAACTGCTAACCTAAATGCCCAACAAAAGAGAATTCTTTAGCAAATAATGACCTAACCATTTTATAGTCATGAAAACTATGTAATAACACAGAAAAAAACAATTACAGGATAATAGTTACATGGTAGAGGTTATGGAATGGGTTCGGTTTCCCAAATATCCTTGCAAAAGTATATTTTTTATTACTTTATAAAGTTCATTTATAACATTAGAGGATGACATTTCTAGTAATGAATCTTTTTAAACTAATATTTGTTAGACATTAAATAATTATTTTAAGTAGTACAATAAAATAAAATTTTTTAGTTTTTAAAAAAGATTCATTTGTTTTTATGGAAAAGGCATATTTTACAGAGAAGGAGAGGGACAGAGAGAGAGAGGGAAATGGTGTAATGGTTGGAGCTGAGCTGGTCCAAAGGCAGGAATCAGGAACACTTTCCAGTCTCTCATATAGGTGCAGGGTCCCAAGCCTTTGATTCATCCTGTGCTGCTTTCCCAGGCTACAGGCAGGAGCCAGATGGGAACTGGAGCAGCCACAAATTGAAACCCATATGGGATGTCATTTCTTGTAGGTAAAAGATTAGCCAATTGAACCATCGCACCAGCCCCAGGAATTTTTCAATTTTCAAGATAACCAGGGGGCTGGGATAGTGGTATAGCATGATAATCCTCTACCTGTGGTACTGGCATCCCATATGGACACTGGCACGTATCTCAGTTGCTCTACTTCCAATCCAGTTCCCTGCTAACGACCTGAGAGTACAGCAGAGGACAGACCAAAGCCTTGGGCCCATGTGGCACACCCCAAGAAGCTCCTGGCTCTCAGCTTCAGACTGGTCTAGTTATGGCCATGGCAACCATTTGGGGAATGAAGCATCAGATGCAAGATCTCCCTCTCTGTCCTTTCCTCTCTCTTTCCTTGTATTTTTGCCTTTCAAGTAAAAATAAACAAAATCCTTTAAAAAAAAAAAAAAGACAACCAGATTACTTCCCTTTGAAGATATTCAAGGACAAGAAAACTGTACTGTCATATTCTTTTTAAGCCCCCCTCATTCTCACTAAGTGACCTTGCTTTGAGAACGCAGGATGGTTGCTCCTTCACTACCCCTACCAATCCACAGGCACTTGACCTAGAGCCTCCTACTGCTGTGAATGAGCTGCTCATGCTCTTTTTTGGCATTCTTTCTTCTCTCGGCTGCTGGGACACTACTCTCCCGGCTCTCCTACTTTGCTGACCTGCCTTTTCAGTCTCCTTTGCTGAACCGTCTCTGACCTAACACTGGAGCTCCCCATGCTCAATCTTTATAGTCATAGGAATTTCACACTCATTTCCCACCTGATCTCAGTAGTTCTTACCATGTTCAGTTCTAGACATGATGACTCACAATATTTAACAGTCCAGATCCCTATTCTGTACTCCACAAACATCTCTCCTACTCCTCGACATTTCCATGAGGATGTCTAACAGACATCTCAAACATGATATTCTACAAGTTCAATTCTTGGTTTACTTCCTTGTTCTTCCTTTCTTCTCCATTCCAACAAATGATACCGGCACTTTTCTAGTTGATCATGCAAAATTCCCAAAACACCCTTGACTCCTCTATTTGTCATGTTTCTCATTGAATGATTGCTTCCCTTCCTTCTAAATAGACCCTGATCTAAACCATTTTCATTTCTCACCTGGACTATAACAAAAACTTCCTAATCAGTCTCCTGTTGCTTCCTTTTCCCACTCTTCCACCTCCCAACATGTTCTATGGGGTGTTTGCCATGCATCGCATATAGTCTTCTAAAATATAAAACAACCTGTCACTATTGTATAAGTTAATGTGGACCAAAACTACTACCCAAATTAACTGAACATGCTGGATTAAAAACAACAACAACAACAAAAAATGTTGGAGAGCTATAAAATATCAAAGACTCATTAGACAAAATTTGAAAATACTATAAGAACTCCAAAAAGGGAAACTGAGGTACTTTTCTGTTTGCCTGGTTATTTGACAAAACCAGGCAAATCTGAACTTGAATTTCAATGAATTCATGATGAGATTGGGAAAAAATTAAAACCCCAGGACTCATCCAAAGTGGAGACTCTGATGAGCTGCTCTCCACATTAAGCTCAAACCACAAAGGATTACATATTCAGGGTCATCCAGAAGGATGAACTAGAAATTACCATCCTTCACATGGTCTTGAAATCATAATTCTTACTGAAAAACTGTTTTAAAGAAAACCTCAAGCTCTAAGTTTAATTTAAAGTGGTCCCTGGGCTCCTGAAACCTTAATGCAGATAGGTACCTTCATCCCAAGATCTCAACTACTTCGACAAACACTTTTCCCAAGCACAATGAATCGTGCAGATGAGTACAAACTAGAAAAATACAATAAACACCAGAAACAGACAAGCTGGGGCCAGTGTGGTGGCTCACAGGCTGGTCCTCTAACTGCAGTGCTGGGATCCCATATGCGTGCCAATTCTAGTCCTGGCTGCTCCACTTCTGATCCAGTTCCATTCTTATGGCCTGAGAAGGCCGCAGAGGATGGCCCAAGTCCTTGAGCCCCTGCATCCAGGTGGGAGGCCTGGAGGAAGCTCCTGCTTTTTGACTGGCTCAGCTCAAGCCATTATGGCCCCTTGGGAGGTGAGTCAGTAAATGGAAGATCTCTCTCTGTCTCTCCTCTCTATAATTCTGTCTTTCAAATAAAAATAAATAAATAAATTTTAAAATCATAAAAAAGAAATGTAAGATTGAAAAAAAGAAATGCAAGATTATTGAACGATAAATTATTTTTGCTTACCTAGAGCAGTGACATGCTCAGTTAATTGATATATGTCAAATAAATAAATTAATGTTAAATAAAAGAAACTAATGGAATTAATCCAAGTGTATCTTAACAAAACCACATATCCTCAAATAATGACTTTTTTTAAAAAAAAGGAAAGCACATATTCTAATGTCTCCGTATTGTCAAAGTGTATGTCATTTACTTTGTATCTGTCTCTGATTTATGCTTCATCTCCATGATTTCTATCATGAAGAGATCAATTGGGTGACCTGGTCTTCTAACAGCCAAAACAGAATCCACCACAGCCTGAAAGAGAAGTGAACAAGAAGGGTGTGTTATTTGAACTGCGAGAAGAAGCTATTGACTCAAGTAATCTATCATCACCAGACAAAATATGTTAAGGGATTCAGGCTTCAAAACACAGGATGAGACCAAGAGATACCAATCTGCTATGGTCACTAACAATAACCAATGCCTTTAGAATCCAAAGGCACTCAGAGTGCATCAGATCTAAACCCACTATTTTACAGGAAAGGACTCTGAGATAGCTTAAGAAGCCACAGTCTTGAAGAGGGTGTTTGGCATTGTGGATAAGTCAGTGGTTGGGATGCTTGCATATCAGGGTGCCTGGCTGCAGTCCCATTCCTCTGCTTCTGATCCAGCTTCCTAGTAGCGCATGCCCTGGGAAGTCACAGTTGATACCACACACATAGGAAGCCAGATGGAATTCCTGGCTCCTGGCTTAGGCCTGGCCTGGCCCCAGCTGTTACAGGCATTTGAGGAGCAAACCAGTACACGGAGGATCTCTGTCTGTCTGTCTTTTGAATCAGATGAAAGTAATTTTTAATTCATTAACAAATCTAAGATCTAATGGCCAATGGTAAATACCAGGATTCAGATTAATTTTTTATAATATTTATTAATTTTTATGTATTTGAGAGGCAGAGGAGAAAAGAGAGAAGTAGGCAAATAGAGTTCCATGCACTGGTTCACCCCCTAAATGCTAACAATGGCTGGGGCTGGGCCAGAATGAAGTCAGGAGTAAAGAATTCAACCCAGTTCTCCCATGTAGATGACAGGGAGCCAACCACCTGAGCCTTCCCATGGTGTGCACCAGCAGGGATATGGAATTAGGAGTAGAGCTAGACTTAAATCTCAGACACTCTGATATGGAATGCAGGCCTCCTAACCAGAATCTTCACCAGGCAAATACTACACTACATTCAAGTCTTTTTAAGTGCTAAGCTACAAATATTTTAAATTATTTGTTTAAAGATTTATTTACTTACTTAATGTAAAGTTATAGAGTGAACCTGCTGATTCCTTCACTCAAATGCTTCAACAGCCAGGGTTGGACCAAGGCAAAGCCAAGAGCTTGGAATTCCATCCCGGTCCTCCACATGGTGGCAACAGCCCAGGCACTTGGGGCATCATCCACTGCCTTCCCAGGCGCACTAGCAGGAGCAAGATGGGAAGCAGAGCAGCCAGGACTGGAAGTGGTGCTCACATGGCATGCAGGCAATGCACTGCACACAATGCAGATCCTTGTGCATGTTTTTTTCAATGGGAAAATAATGCTTTCCCCAAAAATTGGCATTCCAGAAATATTTGTCTCATTTATTCTATCACATCTCCCCAAGAATATATAAAATTTAAGAAGTAGAGCACAGGATGCCCACATCCTATATCGGGGTCCCTAGGTTCAAATCACTGCTTCTGGTCCAGCAGCCTGCTCGTGCCCGTCCTGGGAGGCAGCAGGCCACAGCTGCACTGGAAGACTCTTCACTTCAACCTGGCTGCTGTGGGCGAAGCAGCGAATGAATCTGACTCTTTCCATCTCTGCCTTTCAAATAAATAAATTTTTTTTAAAGATTTGTTTTTATTAGAAAGGCAGATACACAGAGAGAAGGAGAGACAGAGAGGAAGATCTTCCATCCAATGATTCACTCCCCAAGTGACTGCAATGGCCAGTGCTGCGCTGATCTGAAGCCAGAAGCCAGGAGCTCTTCCGAATCTCCCATGCGGGTGCAGGGTCCCAAAGCTTTGGGCCGTCCTCGACTGCTTTCCCAGGCCACAGGCAGGGAGCTGGATGGGAAGCTGGGCCGCCAGGATTAGAAACGGCGCCCATATGGGATCCCGGAGCGTGCAAGGCGAAGACTTTACCCACTATGCTATCATGCTAGGCCCCAAATAAATAAATTTATCAGAAGAAACATTTACCAAAAAAAAAAAGAAAGAAAAAAAAAAAAGGCAGACCACAACATCTCTTAGTGCTTAGCTCAGAAAAAATAAAATGAAAAAACTCACTATGTAAATTTTAAAAAGGGCCTGGTGGCGTGCCTAGTGGCTAAAGTCCTCACCTTGAACATGCCCAGGATCCCATATGGGCACTGGTTCTAATCCTGGTAGCTCCACTTCCCATCCAGCTCCCTGCCTGTGGCCTGGGAAAGCAGTCGAGGACGGCACAAAGCCTTGGGACCCTGCACCCACATGGGAGACCTGGAGGAGGTTCCTGGCTCCCGGCTTCGGATCAGCGCAGCTCCGACGTTGCGGTCACTTGGGGAGTGATTCTCGGGAGAACGATCTTCCTCTCTGTCTCTCCTCCTCTCTGTATATCTGACTTTGTAATAAAAATAAATAAATAAATCTTTTTTAAAAAGTTTAAAAAATAAACACTATGTCTTAGACAAGTTTACCTGAGGTAGCGTACACTCAATTTCAGAGCCTAATAGAGAATAAGACAAAGTCCGTTGGATAGTAGAATATCAGTATTTCTCTAGTTCTGAAACAGAATGGCTGGTTTAGCCACAGAGGTGTAAAATGGTCCATCTCCCATTTTGAAGCTCCCAGGTTCCACATATGTCTCCAGCTCCTGATTCGAGCCTTCTGCTAAAACAGACCCTGGAGACACGGCTACAGCTCGAGGGGCTGGGTTCCTGGCACGCATGTGGGAGAACTGGATTGAGGTTCTGGCTTCTGTCCCGCCCAGTCGCAGGCATGCAGGGAGTGAGCCAAGAGATGGGAACTCTTTCTCTGTCTTTCAAATAGCTAAATTAAAATTTTAAAATATAATGAAATATAAAATTTTAAATATATAATGAAATATACTCTAAAAGAAACAGTATAATACCCACAGGCTTCCACAGGAAATGATCCACAGGCAGCCACGCTTCTCTCAAATTTCAAGTTATGTAAAAGAAGGTTTAAAAACACTTTTGAAGAATTACGAATACTAGCGTGGCCTAACAAATCTTGCTTATAGGTAAGCCATGGCATTTGTCTTCTCTGTTTCCTCTCATGTTGGCGTATGTAATACTTGGTTATCTTAAAAAATAACTTCACCACGTGTTAGGTTCTATTCATTGTAAGAGTTTAATCACATACCTTTGTTAACACATCAGCCAATTCAGCATGAACTTTAGTTTGTAAAGATGTTCTAGCCACATCTAAAAGAATTTCTCTTTTCATCTCCTTTTCTACTTTTATTTTCTCCAAAACTTCCAGGGCTTTTATCTTTGCAGTTTCAAAGCCTTCAGCTATTATTCTAGGGTGTAGACCCTGTTGTATGCAAAAAAATAAAGTCACCCAGAGTGAAATAATTGATAAGTAGTCTAAAAACATTATCTATATTAATGTCACTAAATATGAGCTACATATAAAATTTATAAAAGTCTTTTTTTTTCCCCAGGGCTTCAACTCTGAAACAATCTCAAATATACAGGAAATTGTCACATCTAGCACAAAGATATTACTTCCAAAACTTTTTGTGTCCTTCTGAATGGGCACAAAAGAAGATTTCTTAGAGGGCCTGGTACAATAGCCTGGTAGCTAAACCCTCAGCTTACATCCGCCGAGATCCCATTTGGGCATCAGGTTCATGTCCTGGCTGCTCCACTTCCTACCTAGCTCCTTACTTGTGGCCTGGGAAAGCAGTTGAGGATAGCCCAATACCTTGGGACCTGAACACATTTGGGAGATCCAAAGAAAGCTCCTGGTTCCTGGCTTCAAATCAGATCAAGTCAGGTCTGGCCACTGAAGCCATTTGGGGAGTTAACCAGAGGAGCAATGATCTTTCTCTCTGTCTCTCCTTCTCTTTGTAGATCTGCCTTTCCAATAAAGATCAGGAAAAAAATGTTTAAAAAGATTTCTTAGAATTAAAAACAAAAATCAGTGATTCAGCACTGATTTAGAGATGAGAGAAACCACGTCACCAAGTGATTAAAGTTTATCTCCCAAGTCCTGGGACAGACAGATGCCACCTGCTCCTGACACGATGCTATGACATTCCTGCAAAACTAAACACCTGAATTGAATTGTGAGGAGACAGACAAACCCAAACGGAGGGATTGGTGCTGAATGACTGAAGCGTACTCCTTAGTGTGGTAATATCATGAGGCACAAAAAGGCAACTAAGGAACGATTCTAACTAAAGGGATGTGACAACCGAATCCATGGCCCTACATTTTCTTCTATAAAGAACACCATCGGGACATATGATAAATAAAATCTGAAGATCATGTAGTAGTGCTGTATGAATCTGTCAGTGTTGATATTCTGCTTTACGTACTTACTATATTGTGGTAACGTAAGAGAATTCTAACAAAAAATACACATTGGGGCCTGGTGCAGTGGCCTAGCAGCTAAAGTCCTTTCTTCAAAGGCACTAGGATCCCATATGAGCACCAGTTCTAATCCTGGCAGCTCCACTTCCCATCTAACTCCCTGCTTGTGGCCTGGGAAAGCAGTCGAGGACAGCTTTCCTCTCTTATTGGTTTTTTGTTTTGTTTTGTTATTTATTTATTTATTTCTATTGCAAAGTCAGATATACAGAGAGGAGGAGAGACAGAGAGGAAGATCTTCCATCCAATGATTCACTCCCCAAGTGAGCACAACGTCTGGAGCTGAGCCAATCTGAAGCCAGGAGCCAGAAGCTTCTTCCGGGTCTCCCATGCGGGTGCAGGGTCCCAAAGCTTTGGGTGTGCTCAAATGCTTTTCCAGGCCACAAGCAGGGAGCTGGATGGGAAGTGGAGCTGCCAGGATTAGAACCAGCACCCATATGGGATCCTGGATGTGCCAGGTGAGGACCTTAACCACTACGGTATTGTGCCGGGCCCCTCTCCTGCTCTTGTAAATCTGTCTTTGCAATAAAAATAAGATAAATCTTAAAACAAAAAAAAAAAAAAAAGAAAGAAAGAAAAGGAAAGAAATACACACTGAGTTGGTACTGTCGGCAGCACATTAAGCTACTGCTTGCCATGCTGGTAACCAATTAGGATTGTTGGTTGAAGTCACATTGCTTGACTGCTCTACTTCCAATCAGGGTTCCTGCTAATACATCTGGGAAGGCAGAAATAGATGCCCAAATATTTGAACACCTGACCACATGTGGAAGAAGAGGATGGAGTTCCTGACTTCTGGCTTCAGGGCAAGCCGGCCTTGACTGTTGTGGCCATTTCGGGGTACAGTGATGTAACTACAAAGAATAACAACAGATGGAAATCCTCCCTGGGGCTGACACTGTGTTGGAGCTGGTTGAACAGCCACTTGCGACACCAGCATCCTGTATTAGCACCTGTTCATGTCTCAACTGTTCTGCTTCTGAACCACCTCCCTGCTGAAGGCCTGGGAAAGCAGCAAAGACAACTCAAGAGCTTGGAGCCCTGCTACTCACATGGGAGACCCAGAAGAAGCTCCTAGCTTCAGCCTGGCCCCACCCCATCGCTTGAAGCCATTGGGGAGTAAACCAGCAGACGGGATGGAATCAATCTCTCTCTCTCCCTTCCTCTCTCTCTGCCTTTCAAATAGGTAAATATTTTTTTTTTTAAATTCTGTGTGTGTCTATCCCTATTTGTGTTGTTCTGACTTCCAAATATAAATATATATATTTTTAAATTTTAAATAATATTATTTTATTTGAAAGGCCGAGTTAACAGAGAAAAGCAGGACAGAGGTCTTCCATCCACTGCTTCACTCCCCATATGGCTACACTGGCCACAGCTGAGCTTGTCTGAAGCCAGGAGCCAGGAATTTCCGTGGGTGCAGGGACACAACCACCACTTGGGCGGCCCTCCACTTCTGTCCCAGGCCGTTAGCAGAGAGCTCCGGGAGCAGTGGAGCAAACAGGAAGTGAACGCTGTTCTGCAGGTGGCAGCTTAAGCCTCTCATCCTTTCATCTGGCTCACTTCAGCCCAAAGACTTAACCCTGGCCTTACCTCATCCTGAGTGCTTCCTTACTGCTGGCTACGTTAGCAATTTCGCCCCCTCCCATAGTTTAGCCTGGTTTTATTACTATGCAGCCAGTTTCATAATTAGGAACATATTTGTCAGCATCCCACCCTGCCTGAACTTCTTTCTTCCTAATCCAACTCTCAACATGTTAGCCTGTCCCTTTTCTACCCACTGTGCCCAGGAAGAGACCCGACCCAAAGCTCAAGAAGTAGATCCAAATTGGTCTGTCAGCCGCCCTAAAACTGTTACTGGTTGGACATAAGACTAAAGTTGATCCAGTCATACTAAATGAGGGATTCATATTCCATGCCTTTCTCTTGCCCCATCCTGCTGATTATTAGTAAGGTGGGCAAGCAGCCCTAGTTTCCTCCAAAGGTTTTGCATTCAAGATGGCAATTAGTCTTAGGGGGAAAACAGAAATAAGAAGGAAAGAGCTAGAAGACAAAGGCACTTGATGACTGATTGAACTTTTTCATCAACCAACTCTGGAGTCAGCCTTATCTCTCCATGTTCTATTATAGGAGATAATAATTTCCTGGTTGTTTAAGTGACTTTTCATCAAGTTTTTACAAAGGCATCCTAACTGAGATAAATTGCAGGTACTTAATTAATAGACAATTCCCAATACTAGACGAAATACAAAGAAGTAATAATTTTAGCAGTTCTACCACATTATACTTCACTGAAATGACCCCGGAATGTGAAGAAAAAAATTCAGATACTTAATTAGAAAAAAAGCGATAAGTAATGCCAGGAGAAGAAAAAGGCACAAAGGCAAACATGTGCAGGATGACTTTGGAGGCTGCAGACGTGCAGGGGACTGAGTGCGGCGGGCAGTGCGGAGGGACATGCAACTAGGAAAGTAGCTACTTTCACAACGTGGAAAACCTTCATGAATTCTTCACCTGATCTTAGCCAAAAAGCCAAGAAGCAATCATTAATTTTTCTCCAGTTATTTTTTTAAGGTACATAAATTGGTATCAATGTTACCAGTGGTGTTTTCTTCCATAGGCCATTACTCATGGGTAATAATCCATTTTTTCTAAGAGGCACATCATTCCAAACAGGAATTATTTTGGCAAAAGCTTCATTCTCATTTCTTTTATTTAATTGTCCAAGAATATCTTGATGGCAATTAATGTTTACCCTCTAAAATTAAACCACTGAAACTTTCCATTCAAAATAAAACATACATTTGTGAAATTCTAATACCTCAGAGATGTAAAGATCAGCTTGCTTTAGTAACTCTCCAATAATTAGAACGTTGGAAGTGGTACCATCTCCGGTGATATCGTCCTGGGCTGTTGCTACTTTGGCTATTAACGAAGCTGCTGGGTGTTGAATTTGCTGGAAAAAAAAGTTAAAGTAACCAATGCATTAAAAAATAAAAAATAATTAGCCCATGAAACACAAGATAACCTAGGGGTCATTAATAAAACCAAAACACAAAAGCAGCTTCGTTTTACAGGTTTGTAAGTTTTACATTATAAATACTTAACAAATGTCAAGCCTAGGATTTAAAAACTGAGAACTAATGAGCTTTGAACACTATATACAAGTCTGTGATTCATAACGCAGTGACATTTCCAAAAGAAAATTAAATCCTTCAGTCTCAAAGATTAAAACATTTAAGATAACTGCAAAGGATTTTTAATTTTCCTATTACGAAGACTAGAGAGCTATGCCTTTTAAAAGGTGTTATAAATCTGCAAGCATTCCTAAGTTAATGCTTGAACTACACAGACTTGAATATAGAAAACTTCTCATTGAAGTTTAATACAACAAGCACATCTCAAGACAGCGGCTCTTACCTGACAACCTTGGCCTTAAGATAAACAAGTTGCACTATATTTTTAATTAAATCTTACTAAAGTCAGCAGCAGCAGGGACTCACCATCTCACGGAGCAGCACGTTACCATCTTTGGTGAGCTTGATGTCACCTGCACCAGAAACGAGCCTGTTCAGAGAACACTGACGTTATTTGCTTGGCAAATGCTGAGCAGGACACTCCCAGTACTTGGTACTCTGGTATCTCTTTAAGATGTATTTATTTTTCTTATTGGAAAGGCATAATTACAGAGAGGAAGATTTTCCATTCAGTGATTCACTCCCCAAGCGACCACAACAGCCAGAGCTGAGCTGATCTGAAACCAGGAACCTGGAGCCTCTTCTAGGTCTCCCACGCAGGTGCAGGGTCCCAAGGCTTCAGGTTGCCCTCGACTGCTTTCCCAGGCCACAGGCAGGAAGCTGGATAGGAAGCTGTGCCACTGGGACACAAACTGGCACCCATATGGGATCCCAGTGTATGCAAGGCAAGGACTTCAGTAGCTGCTAGGCTACCGCACCAGGCCCACTCCAGTATCTTTAATACAGATACAAAGGCTTGCAAAACTTCACTTGTTCCACAGGGAGATACCACAGTAATTACCACCACTCACAGCTCACAGAATTCTTTTATTCCAAGTGGTTATATGTGGTTATATGTCTACAAGACACAAATCTGAAACTTTCATTGCATATTTTTAATTTTGGTGACTACTATTACTCCCTTCAGTAGATGACCAAGTCCTGTCGATTCTGGAACCTGAGCATCATTTGACACTTCTCCCTTTGCTCTCCTTTTCTACTACCATCGTCAACCCTGCTGCGGGCTGCTTAGCATCCTGATTCGAATGTGAATCTACCCTCCACACTACATTTATCACTCGAAAAGTCAGTGTGACTCAGTCATTTCCCTGACCCAAAATTCTGCAATGATTCTTATGTTCCCCATCACATTCAGCCCAATGAGACACACAGGGAATGTATTTCATCTTTCCTAACCTGGCCTACGTCTATCTCCCCCGCCTCATCTACCCCCTTCCAACAAGCTTGTGGGAAGGTCTTGTTTCTGTTGTGTTTGCATCACTGGGATTTCTTATTCATGAAATTACTCTAACCAGGAGCCTTTATTCCTTCCTCCAATTCCTGCTTTCAAGACTCTGATGAGGGATAGAGATCTGGCCCATTGGTTAAGATGCCACTAGGAATGCCGCTGGCATCTCCTAGTGGAGCACCCGGGTTGGAGTTCTGCAGTGCTGGCTCTGGCCTTGCTTCCAGCATGCCTGCTAAGGCGTGTCCTGGAGGCAGCAGGAGCCGGCTCCTCGACTTGGATTCCTGTCACCCTCACATAGCACATCCAGACTGAATCCCTGGTTTCTGACTTTGGCCTGGCTCAGTCCCAACTGTTGTAAGCTCAATTTGCAGATGGAAGATTTCTCTCTCTGCCTTTAAACAAATTAAACAACTTCAAAGACTTATCAAACATCATCTGTTCAGAGGCTTCTGTCATCAGTAATTGGCCCCTTTGCTTGCTATAATCATATGCATCTATATATAATTAGCACATCTGTCTCTACCAGATCTCCGTAAGAACTGTATCTTGATTATCCGGTGTTCTGGCATTCACTGGTTCATCGTTAATATTATCTTGCTTATGGGCCTGACGGCATGGCCTAGCGGCTAAAGTCCTCGCCTTGAATGCACCAGGAAACCATATGAGCACCGGTTCTAATCCGGGCAGCTCCACTTCCCATCTAGCTCCCTGCTTGTGGCTTGGGAAAGCAGTCGAGCACACCCAAAGCTTTGGGATCCTGCACCCGTGTGGGAGACCTGGAGGAGACTCCTGGCTCCTGACTTTGGATTGGCACAGCGCCGGCCGTTGCGCTCACTTGGGGACAGAAGATTTTCCTCTCTATCTCTCCTCCTCTCTGTATATCTGACTTTGTAATAAATATACACATATATTATCTTGCTTATTCTGGTAAGGATGTTATTGCTCCTCTACACCCTCTGGCCCTTATCAGTCTTTCCCTCACTCTGGTCTCAATACAATTGGCACTAAATAAATCCATGTCGAATGAACAAATATATACGAAGAATCTGCCCAAGTACCCACGAGTAGATTATGGCCTCGAACCCGTGTCTGCCTGGCTCCGTGCATTCTTCTACAACGTACCACCACACAAAACCAGAACAGCTGACACATTTATAAGCAAAGGTCACTGTCGTCTTTGCAAAATCCCACGAGACACTAATGGACCTGATTTCTGAAATTTCATCAACTTTTAACAACGAAGGGGGTGGGGGGTTGACAGCACCGAGCTCCAGAATGCTGGGCGGGAATGGGGCTCGGGGACACAGCCTGCTGATGCACCCTCATCGCTCAGAGAGGCTTTTGTGAGACTTGTGTCTCGTAGGGCGCCCTAACCGCCGCTCCAACCGCCGCCTCACATTTTCATGGTGCCCTTAGGACCCAAGTTGGTCCGCAGCACATCCTGCAGCCCTCGCGCAGCGCATATGTTCACAGCCAGAGCCGCCCGGGCCCGAGCCACCTCCGCCTTGGTGTTCACGGACTTTATCGAAGCCATGGCAAGCCGACCGACAGCAGAAAAAAAATTTACAAATTCCTCTCGCGTTTGAAGTGGGAGCCTTGGAGCCACGCCCATCTCTCCGGAATTTCGACCAATCACTGTCCTGGAAGGAAGTGACGTTCTCAGGCCTCGCCGAGACGGAAGCCACAAAGTCGCCTTGGCGTCTGGTCGCCAACATGGCGTCCTCCGCCCCCGGCCGGGCTCCGGCGGGCAAGCGAGTGGTCAACCAGGACGAGCTGCGGCGGCTGATGAAGGAGAAACAGCGTCAGAGCACTAACCGGAAGCGGATAGAGTCTCCTTTCGCCAAGTATAACCGTTTGGGGCAGCTGAGCTGTGCCCTGTGCAACACTCCGGTCAAGAGCGAGCTCCTGTGGCAGACTCACGTCCTGGGCAAGCAGCACCGAGAGAGAGTGGCCAAGCTGAAAGGCGCCAAGGAGGCCACGCAGAGCCCGTCTGCCAAGAGGAAGGCGCCGGACGCGGACAGCCCCGACGTCAAGAGGGCGAGGGCGACATCGGGACCCCAGGTACAGCCCTCCACCTCGGCTCTGCCTGACAGTGAGACCGCGGGAGGGCCTCCCAAAAGGCTTTCGGGGCTCGGTTTACTCCCCGATTACGAGGACGAGGAGGAAGAGGAGGAGGAGGACGGAGTACCAGAAGGAAAGGGGAGGGACCCTAGCAAGCAGACCCCCGACGCGCAGGGTCTAGAACCTTCCTCGCGAGAGGCAGCGAGTAGTGTGCGGCCAAAGGATGCCTTTCATGCGAATCCTCCTAAGACCCCCTTAGTTCCTCACTCGGGGTCCATCGAGAAAGCAGAAATACAGGAGAAAGTGGTGGAAAGGCGAGAGAACACCGCCGAAGCGTTACCGGAAGGTTTCTTTGACGACCCAGAGGTCGATGCCAAAGTACGAAAAGTGGACGCCCCGAAGGACCAGATGGACAAAGAGTGGGACGAATTCCAAAAAGCCATGCGGCAGGTCAACACGATCTCCGAGGCCATCGTGGCCGAAGAGGATGAGGAGGGACGGTTGGACCGCCAGATCGGGGAGATCGATGAGCAAATCGAGTGTTACCGTCGGGTGGAAAAGCTGCGGAATCGCCAGGATGAAATCAAAAATAAGCTTAAAGAAGTTCTGACCATCAAAGAACTGCAGAAAAAGGAAGAGGAGAACGCTGACAGCGATGATGAGGGGGAGTTGCAAGACCTGTTGTCTCAGGATTGGCGGGTGAAGGGGGCTTTGTTGTAAGGCTCAGGAAGGATGCAAGCAAGACGGCGGCGAGAGCAGTGGCATGAAGAGCTGCACCTGTTACTTACCTGCAGCCTGGAGATTCTGACACCCAACCGGGTTACTGAGATAAACTGAGCCAGTGAACGGCAGCATTTTGGGAAAGGTGTGAAATAGTTTAGAAGACAAGTTGTTTTTTGTTACATTTTTAAAGTTTATATACCAAAATGCCAATTTTTTTTCACACATTTCCTATTTAACTGTATACTTTGGAGTTGTATATCTGTAAGTTGTACATAGTTAAATATATATTTACTTAAGTAATTTGTTTTGAAATTTATAAATTAGTAGAGGTCAGAACAAGAGGCGAGCATTTACACGGATACTCAGTGCATTTAGTATGTATTTCTTCTCTGACCCCTAAATCAGACTCAGACAGTTGGTGCTCTCTGTTTTGTTTTTGCAATACGATTCATAAACATAAGTCATTCTAGGTTGGTCATTTCTCTAGCTGAGTTTTCTGCTTTCTAGACATGCTTTAGATTACAGAAGTGAAGAATGTTTTTACTGTGAAGGGCTATTTGAATATTTATATCGTTGACAGACCATATCGAATTAACAGTTTAAAAAGATGAGTCTGCTAGGGCCTGGCACGGTAGCCTAGTGGCTGAGGTCCTTGCCTTGCATGTCCAGATCCCATATGGGTCCCAATTCTAATCCCGGTAGACTATACCCATCCAGCTCCCTGCTTGTGGCCTAGAAAAGCAGATGAAGACAGCCCAGGGCCTTGGGATCCTGCACCCGTATGGGAGACACAGAGGAGGCTCCTGGTTTCAGATCTGCTCAGCTCCAGCCGTTGCGGCAGCTTGGGGATTGAACCAGCAAATGGAAGATCTTAAAAAAAAAAAAAAGACTGCTAAAAAAAAAATAGAATTTTCAAGTCTCACCTGTGGTTGCCCTGACAGGACCAAACCAAATGATTTCCTCAGCCTTGCATGGCTTGTGAGTCAGACATCTTCCACCCCTGCTTTAACAGAATCCCCAGAAAAATATATGCCAGACAGGTCTAACCACCTTAAAGCTTCCCTTGACTAGACCAATAGACTGGATTAAGAGGGATTGTCTTAAACTCAGAACCCACACATCTTTTGGAGGGCTTTGGATTTTTATTCCATGATAAATGAATGCTCATGGTTACAGATTGTGTCAGTTGTAAGACAGGATGTTTAAGTTGTTTTCCCAGTAGAAACAGTTGCCACGTGATGCTGGTGCATAGTTTATCACTCCCCCCTTTGGAAATGGTGATATTCAAATAGGAAAATGGGGCTGTGGTGTTACAGCTACAGATGACATATTCTAATAGAGGTGGCATCCCTTATGGGTGCTGGCTGAAGTCCTGGCTGCCCCATTTTGGATGCAGCTCCCTACTAATGCACCTGGGAACACAGCAAAAGCTGGCATGAGTACTTGGGCCCCTGCCACCCACGTGGGAAACCTGAAGCAGCCCCTGGCTCCTGGCTTTGGCTGGGGCCAGCCCCACCCTTTGTGGTCATTAGGAAAGTGAACCAGCGGACAAAAGCTCTGTCTCCCTAACTGCCTGTTAAGTAAATAAAATACCAAAAATTAGCAGGTAGAGTGGGTGAGAAGATACCCTCATAGCAATTATGACAATTTTATACTGTGATGTTGGCTGAATTACAGGGCTAAAAAAAGCGGGGGGAAAGAAGGCCATAGGACCAGTTCTTAAAATGTGGAAACAACGGTGGCATTCACCAATGCCAAAACAAATATGACTCAGCTCAAAGAACATATAAAGGAGCTCTTACAGAATAGAGGGTCAGGAAGGAGCCACTAAGCCCTCTAGTTACAGACCCTGACCTCTACCTCCATGGGCACGGTCATGGTCAGGGCTGCCTCTAATGCTCTGTGATAGAGAACAGCGGGTGAGATCTTGTAACCCTCCTGAAACCTGAATGAAGCTTCAGATTAGTAATTGCACACACATGACACTCCTTAAGTCTCTTTATTTTTTTACACTCTTTAAGGGTAAATTCTTAACTTAGGTACCAATACAGCAGAGAGTCACATTGCTCAAATCTTTCTTCCCAATCCTAACTCTGTTAGCAGAATTAGCTTTTTACTTCAATTGGCCTGTGTGCTTACTACCTCCTGGGCATGTTTTATTTTTCTCTTTAAATCTTGCTGACCTTTTTGGTAGTCAGTAGTCCCATATGGCTATTAAGCACTTGAAGCGTGGCCAATCTAAACTGAGGTGTGTGATATATTGATTTCAAAATGTAGCACCCAAAATAATATAAAATGTCTTGGTAATTGGGACTCGCACAGTGACACAGAGGGAAAAGCTGCTCCTTGCGATGCTGGCTTCCCATATGGGCACTGGTTTCAGTCCTGGCTGTTCCATTCCCAGTTCAGCTCCCTGCTAACTGGGAAAAGCAGCAAAGGATGAGCCAAGTCTTTGGCCTCCTGCCACCCACGTGGGAGACCCAGAGTAGACTCCTGGCTTTGCCATGGCCCAGCCCCAGCTGAGATTTACTTATTCTTATTGGAAAGACCACTATACAGAGAAAAGGAGAAACCGAGAGGAAGAACTTCCATTCAGTGGTTCACTCCCCAAGCTGCCGCAACAGCTGGAATTGAGCCCATCCAAAGTCAGGAGCCAGGAACTTCTTCCAGGTCTCTCATGTGGGTGTAGGGTCCCAAGACTTAGGGCTGTCCTTGACTACTTTCCCAGGCCACAAGCAAGGATTTGGATGGGAAGCAGGGCTGCTGGGATTAGAACCAGTGCCCATATGGGATCCCGGAACATTCAAGGCGAAGACGAGCAACTAGGCTACCATGCTGGGCTTGAAATGCTATTATTTTGTACATATTAAAATTAATTTTATTTTAAACTTCATTCCCTATGAGAAAATTCTCTTTCTTTTTAAGATCTATTTTTATTGGAAAGGCACATCAAATTTACTGAGATGAGAAAGATCTTGCATCTTCTGGTTAACTCCCCATATGGCCTCAATGGCTGGAGCTGAGCCAATTCAAAGCTAGAAACCAGGAGCTTCTTCCCAATCTCCCATGTGGGTGCAGGGGCACAAGGTCTTGGGACACCCTCCACTGTTTCCCAGACCACAATCGGGGAAGCGAAGCAGCTGGGACACAAACCAGACACAAATAGAAAAATAAGGAATCCCAGTGCTTTCAAGGTGAGGATTTAGCCACTAAAAAAGTGCAGTGCTGGGTCCTCCACTATTTTTTTTTTCAAGTTTATTTAAAATGCAGAATTAAGAGGCACAGAATTTTTCATTTGCTGGTTACTCCCCAAATGGCCAGGCATCTAGACCTCCATCCGTGTGGATGGGACCCACAGACTCGGGCCATCTTCTGTTACTTACCCAGCTGCATTAGCAGGGAGCTAGAGAGGAGGTATAGAAGGCAAGCCTTGAACTGGGGCTCATGTGGGATGCTGGCATCGCAAGTGGCAGCTTAACCCATCACATAACACCAGCCCCCGGAACTTGTTATATGCTGAAGTAATAGCAATGAATGAGAGAATTCTGTGTGGGTTACATATGTCTGTCTATATATGGAGGGAGACTATGTGTATAGGATGTATACCAAACTTGTCTTTTCCTCTAAGCTTTAGTTCACCTACCTACGTAATACTCTATTTAAATGTTTATCCTAAGTTTATGAATCTCAGGCAGCTTTTTCTTCCTGAAATTTGCCCACCTTGTTTCAGTAAATGGTACCACCTCCCACCTACGAGTATAAAGCAAATGCTGGGAGTCATCTTTCCTTTCCTTTAGGTCCTGTTGCCCTACCTCTTTTTTTTTCAAGATTTATTTTTATTTATTTTTATTGCAGAGGCAGATATACAGAGGAGGAGACAGAGAGGAAGATCTTCTGTCCAATGATTCTTTCCCTAAGAGACTGCAATGGCTGGTGCAGCGCTGATCCGAAGCCAGGAGCTAGGAGCTCTTCCAGGTCTCCCACACGGGTGCAGGGTCCCAAGGCTTTTTGGGTCATCCTTGACTGCTTTCCCAGGCCGCAAGCAGGGAGCTGGATGGGAAGTGGAGCTGCCGGGATTAGAACCGGTGCTCATATGCTTTCCTGGTGCGTTCGCGGTGAGGACTTTAGCTGCTAGGCCACCGCGCCAGGTCCCTGCTCTACCTCTTTAGTGTCCCGGAACCTATCCACTTCTCCACTGGCCACATCTCACTGCTACTTATCCCTCAACTGTAGGTCAACAAAGTAGTCAGAATGAACTTTAAAACATTTAGATCAAGTGTTTGTCACTTAGAGCCCTTCATTATGTACTTCTGTCACACCGAGATAAAAATACAAGTGCTTATTAAGTCTACATGGTGCTCAGCGTGGCTAATTCAAATGCCTACCATGTATGAACTGACGACACAGCCCCATCAAGGGCGATGGAAGGAAACAGGAGATCCTAAGTGCTCTGTGTTGGAGGCAGTTGGGAATCACGCCCTGGCATGGAGGCATGACCAGGCTTTGCTCACTTTGGAAGAACAATGCAAGTTAAGGTCGTTGAATGTTACCCACAGGCGCCCACATGGAGAGTGACCTAACTGCATCTGCTGGCTAGGTTCCTCCTGTTCTCTGGGTCTCCGACTTTGGCTTCCTTTTGTTCCCTGGATTCTGACTTCAGGTATCACAGCAGTCTTCCTCATTCAGTCCTAATGTTCCCTCCTCAAGTGATTCTCCTTGGAGTGAAGGATGGAGCAGCCATCCTCCACTTCTGTCACTTATGAAAACATTAAACTTACCATTAGCTACAGTTGGCTTGTTCTTGTCTTTTTAAGTTATAGAGAGAAGGTGAAGCAGAGATTTTCTGTGTGTTGGTTCATTCCCCAAATGGCTGCAACAGCCAGAGCTGAGCTAATCTGACGCCAGAAACCAGGTCTAGGAGCCTCTGAGCCGGATCAGAAGTGGCGCAACTGGGACCCTGATCGGCATTCATGCAAGGTGTTAGCGCTGAAGGCAGAAGCTTAGCCGGCTGCGTAATGCCAGGGCTTGTCTGTACTGAGTTAAGGTCCCTTTCCATCAGAAAGTGGGCCCCATGAGGGAGGAACTTATCTTTTTTTTTTTTTAAGATTTATTTTATTTTTATTGGAAAGTCAGATATACAGAGAGCAGAGACAGAGAGGAACATCTTCCATCTGCTGATTCACTCCCCAAGTGGCTGCAATGGTTGGAACTGAGCCAATCCGAAGACAGCAGCCTCTTTCCTCCCACATGGTACAGGGTCTCAGGACTTTGGGCCGTCCTCGACTGCTTTCCACAAGCAGGGAGCTGGATGGGAAATGGAACAGCAGGATGTGAACTGATGCCCTAATGGGATCCTGGTGCATGCAAGGCAGGGACTCCAGCCACTAGGCTACTGCATCAGACCCGGAATTTATCTTAATCACAACCTAAAATAATGCCAGTCCCATCACAGGGCTCCACAGGGCTCTGTTGGATAATACCTACATAACTGAAGCTGGCTTCTCAAGGTAGTGAAAACAGCAGGCTGCCCTTGGTGGGATAAAAGTGGCTGGCACAAAGGGCTGAGCATCTTTCTTTTGTGTCTTCCTTTCTCGGCTAGCATGCCAAGCCCTCAAGCTTTTCAGGGCACACAGGGCAGGAGGGATACACAACAACCTCTCTAGTGCATCGCTGCATCTAGCAGCTAACAAGAAGCCAGGAACCACACAAATCAAGTGACATCTCTATGTCAGCGGGAGCCCCTGGGCAGTTCTGATTGCCCATCACCCAGAGGCCGCTCACGTGGAGAAGAGGAAGAAAGTGATTCAAGAGCAGAGTGAGATCAAAGAGCCAGCAAGTTCACACAACCTCCCAGCTGCAGGGCCGGCACCCTTTCATTCGGTTTGCTCTGCCTGTCACTTAGCAGTTAAAGCCATGGCCAAGTGCATCTTTGCAGTCAGCCATCCCTTGCTGAAAGCACTCCCAAGCTCTCAGCGGAGAAAGGGATTTCCATCTGGCTGCACCTCCATTGTGCTAACAGTATTTGGCAGGCTTCATGCACACCTGGGAGCCAGCAGTCACCTCTCAGAGAATGGCAGGGGAAACCCAGAGGGTGGTTGATGACCATCATGGTTGTTTGCGTTCTGTATGTTGCCGTCTGCCTATCTTGCCAAGTGTGTTTATAGCGTGCATCAAGCTGGGTAGTCCACGTGTCTGCATGATGTTAGGGCTCGGCAGGTACCACCTCTAGTCCTATGAAGTACAGGTAAGGAAACAGGTTCACAAGTAAGGCAACTTTCCAAGGCCAAAATCCTAAAGCCCCCGTTCTTCCCACTATTCCTGTTATTATTTAATATGAATGGATATTTGCATGTGGAGACTATTTTTGTTCTCACTGGTCATCACGTACCTTTTCTCCAACTGTCAACACCACGGGAGAGGTGAACTGACACCATTTTAGATGCCTAAGGATTGGTCCAAGGTCACTCAGGAAGTTAGTTGCTAAAACAAGACTAGTTGTGACTTAATTCCTATCCCAATATTCTTTCTATATTTAATAATGGAATGCAGGAAATGGGAGGGTATTACCCAAAATGGCAGGAATTAAGATTAGGGAAGTTTGTGGTCAAAGTTAAAGGAACAAGTGCTCTGCAGAAATTTTGGCTGGACTGGGCAGCCCTGCCTGAATTCTGCATTTTGTTATCTGATTCTCTTCACACTCCACATGTTCCAGATTCATCCCATCTCACTGATAGTTTTACTCCTTAGTGGTCTCTGATGGAAGGAGCACATCGTTTCCCAGACAATCCAGCTGCGAAACACAGTGTCTGTGGTGCTCCACTTTTTAGTAAGATAACCTTGGGCAAGCTACTGACCCTTAGTTTTCTGAGCTACAAAATTGGGAAAGTTAACAGTTCCTTATATGCCAAGATTAAATAAAACAAGTGCATGTGAATGCTTTAGTACAGCATATGGCAAATACAGTACACACTAGGCATAAGCTATTTTTAAAAAAGGGTTTATTTTTACTTGGAAGACAGAGTTATGGAGGGAAGGAGAGATAGAATTGTTTCATTCACCATTCACTCCACACATGGTCACATGGCTGGAGCTGCGCCGATCCGAAGCCAGGAACCAGGAGCTTCTCCTTGGTCTACCAGGTGAGTGCAGGATCCCAAGGACTTGGGCCAACCTTGGCTGCTTTCCCAGGCCATAGGCAGGGAGCTAGATCAGAAGTGGAGCAGCCAGAACTCAACGCAGACACTGCAGTCTAAAGGCTAAACTGGCTATGCCAAAACACCTTGTCTCATCTGATTTTCTTTTTTTCCCCTTTTCTTGGAAGGTAGAGTTAAAGAGACAGGGGCCCAGAGTTCTAGCGTGAGGAGTAAACTGCTGCCTGTGACTCCAGAATCCCATAAGGGTGCCATTTTGAGTCCAAGCTGTTCTACTTCTAATCCAGCCCCCTGCAGATGCACCTAGAAACACAGTGCAAGACTGCCCAAGCACTTGGGTTCCTGCACCCACACGGGACACCTGGAAGAAGCCTCCTGGATCTTGGCTTTTGACCAGCCCAGCTTTGGCTGTTGCAGCCATTTGGAGAGTAAACCAGTGAAAGATCTGTGCCTCTCCCTTTCTAACTGTGCCTTTCAAATAAATAATACAAATAAATCGTCTCAGGAACAAGCCTTCAGAAACGCTGTGTGATGAAAGTTCATCTTCCTGTGCTCGCTTCAGCAGCACATGAACCATAACTGGAACAAAAGTTCACCATCCTTTAAAAAAAAAATCAATTAATCTTTAAAAAAAAAAGCAATAATAAAAAAAAAAAATTTAAATAAGCAAATGCAGTTGTAGTGGTATGCTCAGAGGAACTCCACTCCTAGAATCCGAGCTTCCCCTGAGCTTCCAGTCCTGAGGCCTTGCTCACTCCGCTGCCCTTAGAGAAAGCACAGGGAGGGGTCAGCTGACCATGTGGTCCAGGGGAGCTATGGCTGAGGATGCCTGCATTCCATAGCCGGCTCCCAGCAATGCTTCTGATTGAGCTTCTTACCAATGCGCGCTCCAGGAAGGCCAGAGGGGACGGCTCCAGGTTCCCTGCCATCCACATGGGAGATCTGGATTCAGTCGCTGGCTCTGGGCTTCACCCTGGCCCAGAGGTTTGTAGGTATTTGGGGGCTGAACCAAGTAGATGGATGGTCCTTCTCAGTGTGTGTTTCAAATTAAAAATGAATTTAAAAAATTTAAATTACAACAGAGGCTTTACCCCACTTAAAATAATGGTGTCAGGGTTGTTTGATGGAGATCAAACATTACATCCTAAATAAAAACTCTCCTTTTTACTCCAATACCTCTTCCTCCCATACTTTCTATTTTGAATGGTAGCATTAACGGCTTACTCTGAACAGTGTGATCCAAGAACCCAGGGGGAAGACTACCCTGCCTGGGTCTCGGTCTCAACTCTCCTGGCAGGAATGGGGCAATCTTTCTTCTGACAAGGGCCATTTGGATATTGACAACATTCAGGTGCCATCACAAAAACATCATCTTGAAAATCGACCTGTTGGGCCCTGGCAGGATGGTTTCAAAAGCTACCTGTTCACCTTGCAAGCGCCAGGATCCCCTAAGGGTATCAGTTCTGGTCCCAGCTGCTCCACTTCCCATCCAGCTCCCTGCCTGTGGCCTGGGAAAGCAGTCGAGGACGGCCCAAAGCCTTGGGACCCTGCACCCGCATGGGAGACCTGGAGGAAGCTCCTGGGTTTGGATCAGCTCAGTTCTGGCCTTTGCAGCCACTTAGGGAGTGAACCAACGAACTGAAGGTCTTTGTTTCTCCTCTCCGTAAATCTTTCCTGCATTTCCCATAAAAAAATAAATCTTAAAAAGGAGAGAGAGAGAGAGAAAAAAAGGATATCCAGCTGCTATCCGTTTATTGAGCCTGGGTAAAGCCACCAGTGCTACAAAAGAAGAACCGAAGTCTTCCTCACGGAGCTCACAGTTCAGAAGGGTCTGCACCTGCCAGGGCCGTCCCAGTTGTAATCCGGCGGCCTGCGCTCCAGAACCCGCCTTACTGCCCTTTCACTTCCTTCACCCACTACCCCTTTTCAACTCAAAAGACGTGCAGGCACCCTGCGACACCTCAGCAGGAAACACGGACCAACGGGCCATCTTTGCCTTCCCCAAGCTCACCATAAACCAGTTTCTCAACCAACGTTTTTAAAAGACTAGATAACCCGCTAGCAGCAGGAAGGCAAACCTGGCGCTCCGGGGCCCGAAGCCACCTGGGCCCCATCAGGCCCCGGAACCGAGCGCCGCGCACGTGGCCGCGAGGGGGCGGAGATCGCTGGAGCGCGCGGACCGCGGCCTGTGTGCGCCTGCGCACCGCCTCCGGCCTGAGGACCCGGATTTAAAGAGACAGGCCCTCCAACCGTCGCGGGGAGCTCGCGGCCTGCAGGCGCCCGGTCCGAGGCCTGCGGCGGGCGCCGGAGCCGGGGAGGCAGGTGAGGGGCGGCGCGGCGCCGGGTGGGCAGGGGCCGGGGCCCGAGCTCGGCGCGGCCCTGGGGGCCAGCCCGCGGCTCCTCCCCCGCCCGCCCGCCCGCCGAGCCTGGGGGCACACCCTCCGTGACGTGGCGGGGAGACTCGCGGCTCCCGGGACACCCACCGCCCTTGACGGGGCCGCTCCGGGGGAGGACCCGTCCTCCTCCGAGGCCTGCGGGAGCGGCCATGGCGCGCTGCAGGGCCGAGCTGGGCAGGCCGTGTCGCCCCCCGACCTGCGGCCCGCGGGAGCCGCGCTCACTCGCGACCCCAGCCCACTTCCCCCCGGCGCCGCGGCGGCCGTTGGGAGCGGGAGACCCGCGGTGTCCTCGTCGCCCTGGGGGTTTCGGGGGCCGCGGAGGAAGCCGTGTAAGGGGAGGGGGGCGACCCAGCCGGCACTGAGCTCCTGAGCCTCCTCACCCCCATCCTGTCCCCGACTTTGGGGTGTCTGGGGAGTCAGGAAGCTCTCATCTTTGTATAGGTTGGCAAGGGTTTCAGAACCCGCCGCCGCCGGCAGCCCGTCCTGGGCTTCTCCCCAGCCTGCCCAGCAGGTAGCAGTGAGGGGTGAGCGGGTCTCCCCGGAGCTGGTCTAGAGTGGAAAGCAGCTGTGCTTTTACAGCCACCGTCGGGGAGGGTGCAGAGGGGGTTGCTGTTTGCCTTGGGATCGGTCTGTCAGTGTCCCCCCCAACCCCCCATTGCTGGATTCGGAGCAAGTTCACCGACCAAGGAGTTCTCCCTGTGTGAGAGGCGGCTCTGTGCTGACGGCTCCTGCCCTGCCGTGTAGTGCTGTGATTGGCCACATTTTACAGCTGAGAAACGGAGGCAAAGCATAAATAACGCACCAACTCAATGCAGCTATTAAAGTGGCTGAGCTAGGATTTGAACTCTGGACAGGCAGCTTCCAGGCTCTGCTTCCTTGCCTTTCAGGGTAGAGCTATAATTAAAGCTTCTGAGGGTGGTGCGTATGTGCTACTTAACAGGAAAAATGTTTTAAATGTAGTGTGTTTTCCTTAGTAACTAGAAAAACTTCAGGCTCTGGTAATATTTAAAGGGCATCATCCGTTATTGTCACGATTTGCTGATGGCTTGGAAAAGAAAACTTGCAGGTTGTTTGAATTCTCTTGGTTGTGACTCACTAAATATGCGAGTGTACATTAGATAATTGAACACCCCTTGGGAACTGGATTTTCCTGAATTAGAGCTCTTTCTTCTGTAGGCAGTACATCTGTAGTACTTGGGAAAGTGTTTGATCAGTCAGCACGGCTTGTGTGAGAGCCTGGCAGTGGACAGATCGGCAGGATGGTCGCCCATTTCTCTCTCTCTTTTTTGGTCTTTTCCTAGCAGCTGCATGACTTTGGCTCTCAAGATCCTCTTCCCACAAAGGCTCCGTGCCCTTGTCCGCGAAGAGCTGTGCCTGTTCCGAGACCAACGCCACCGGCCCCACATCAGACAGTTCAGCTGCTGGTTGGAAGCAGGTCTTCATGGGCACCGCCTCCTCCAGGGAAGCAGGCCTGTTCTGTCCTTTGGGGGAGGCCCTCTAAGACCACGTGCCACCTGCCTGGTTTTCCCGTCTGGGTCGCATGTGGGACTGTGCAGTGGCCCCTGGGAGATGGCTGAGCAACGGTTCTGCGTGGACTACGCCAAGCGTGGCACAGCTGGCTGCAAAAAATGCAAGGAAAAGATCGTGAAGGGCGTTTGCCGAATTGGCAAAGTGGTCCCCAATCCCTTCTCAGAATCCGGAGGGGAGATGAAAGAGTGGTACCACATTAAATGCATGTTTGAGAAGCTGGAGCGCGCCCGGGCCACGACCAAAAAAATCGAGGACCTCACAGAGCTGGAAGGCTGGGAAGAGCTGGAAGACAACGAGAAGGAGCAGATAGCCCAGCACATCGCAGGTAGGATGAGAACGGGGCTGAGGAGAGGAATGAGAACGTTAGGGTAGAGGCCAGTTTTTTTTGTTTTGATTTGTATTTTAGCTTTATCTTACTTTATTTTTTATTGGAAGGGTAGGTATACAGAGAGGAGATACAGACAGGTTCACTCCCCACTGGCTGCAGTGGCCAGAGCTGAGCCGATGCAAAGCCAGGAGCACGGAGCTTCTTCCAGGTCTCCCACACCGGTGCAGGGTCCCAAGGCTTTGGGCTGTCCTTGACTACTTTCCCAGGCCACAAGCAGGGAGCTGGATGGGAAGTGGAGCAGCTGGGGTATGAACCAGTGCCCATATGAGATCCTGGCAAGTGCAAGGCAAGGACTTTAGCCACTAGGCTACTGCGGCAGGCCCCAGGCATTTTTTTTTTTCCAGACTTATTTATCTGAAAAGCAGAATTGGAAGGAAATCGGAGGGACATAGAGATCTTCCATCCATTGGTTCACTCCCCAAATGATGGTAAGAGATAGGACTGGGCCAGGCTAAAGCCAGGAGCCTAGAACTCCATCAGGATCATCCGCGCAGGAGCTGGGGTCCAGCTCTCTGGGCCAGCCAATGCCACCCTCCCAGGTGCGGCAGCAGGAGCTGACTGGAAGCAGAGCGGCTGGGGCTGTTACAGGCCATCAGCCTAACTCAGTCTGTCACAATGCTAAGCCCCGGCCCAGACTTTCACTTTTTTTCTTTTTATTTGAAAATAGTTTCACCCTCACAGCGGTTTTAAGAATAATTGAAAGTAATGATTGATTATGAAGAATAGCCCAATTCTTATAGCTTATTAGTCCTATTCCTGTAGCTTGGCAACATTGCACTCTGGTTTGTCTCCATGTACTGGTGTACTGTCCTTCCCCACACCGAGACACACCTTGTTCTGAGTCACGTGGGAGTACACCGCATGCACCTTCTAAGGACTCGGGGTGCTTACTTGGGCAATAATAGTATTCTCTCACCTAACCGTAACACAGCTGTCAATTTCAGTAAATCTATCCTTGATAAAATGCTTTATTCCATGCCATTTAATCTAGTGAGTGAATAATATTTAATAACTTTTAAAAAAGATTTACTTATTTTTATTGGAAAGGCAAGTTATATAGCAAGACCTTCCACGCACTAGTTCACTTTCCAGATGGCCACAACAGCTGGAGCTGGGCTGAGCCAAAGCCAGGAACCAGGAGCTTCCTCCAGGTCTTACGCGCAGGTGCAGGGTCCCAAGGCTTCAGGCCATCCTTGACTGCTTTCCCAGGCCACAAGCAGGGAGAGCAGGGAGCTGGATGGGAAGTGGAGCTGCCGGGATTAGAACCAGCACTCAGATGGGATTCCGGCGCATTCAAGGTGAGGACTGTAGTCACTAGGCCACCACGCCGGGCCCTTAAATCTTTTTTAAAAAAATTAAGTAGCATGATGGCTTTTCCCTGGTTAAGGATACTTGTGCCACCAGCCTTCAGGTTGAGGAATAAAACATGACAGCTCCCAGCCTTACTCAGGATCCACCTGCACTCTTGCCCCTTCTGAATGAATGTGCTTTCTCTGACTTCTGTTCAAGACTGTGTAGCATCAGGCTGTGCTTTGTTAATTACAGTGGATGAATTCACAGCTTGTGCTTCAGTTGAACAGTTAGGCCCAGCTATGGACAATGCTGCTATGAGCACACTGCTTGATTTTGGTGAATATAGCTGTGTCTTCCTGTTGAGTCCAAACCCAGGAGTAAAATTGCTGGGTGGGTTTTGGTTGAATGAAGTTTTTTTCCAAAGTCTGTTCACCAGTCTACACTCTGACCAGCACATGAGCATGCTGATTGCCCCCTCCAAAATCTGACCAGATATTATTAGTATTTTTAAAGCATTATTCTCATATTTATTGTATGTTTGTAAAAATTATTTTTGTTTGAAAAGCAGAGGTAAAGAGATACCATTTAGGACGCATACATGTGGTATGAGCATGCCTGCGGTCAGTTCTGTCTCAGCTCCCGTCCAGCTTCCTGCTAACGAGCAGCCTGGGAGCAGCAGAGATGGCCCAAGTACTTGGGTGACCCGGATGGAGTTGCTGGTTCTCGGCTTTGAGCTGACCTAGCATTTATAGGCATTTGAGGAACTAATCAGAGGATGGGCAGTCTCTTTCTCTTACCTTTCTGTGTTACTATTTCAGAGATTTTTAAAATCTCATTCTGGATATAAGTCCTTTTTCAAATAATGTGTTATAAGTATTTTCTTTCTTTTTTTTAATCTATATTTCATTTTATTGCAAAGGCACATCTACAGAGAGGAGGAGACACAGAAAGATCTTTCATCCACTGATTTTCTCCCCAGGTGGCCACAATGGCTGGAGCTGAGCCGATCTGAAGCTAGGAGCCAGGAGCTTCCTCTGGGTCTCCCATACAGGTGCAGAGTCCCAAGGCTTTGGGCCGTCCTCCACTGCCCACCCAAACCACAAGTAGGGAGCTGGATGGGAAGTAGAGCAACATGAACCAGCGCTCACATGGGATCCTGGCACATTGCACATTCAAGGCATTGATTTAGCCACTAGGCTAGCACACTGGGCCCTGTGTTATAAATATTTTCTTGGCATCTGTCAAAAGGCTTCAAAAGTTCATTACAGTATGGGGTTAAAAAATAAAAGTTAAAATATTTCAGAAAATTTTATTTGAAAGGTGGGGTGGCAGATTCTTTGTTTACTGGTTCACTTCCATTTTAAATGACCACAGCAGCTGGGGCTGAGTTAGGCTCAACCCAGCACCCTGGCGCTTCAGCTGGTCTCCACATGCATTATGGGAACTCAGATATGCATAAGCTCAGAGCTGGATCAGAAGCAGTGTAGCCAGAACGGAAGCTGCTATCCAGTATGGGGTGTGGGCATCCTAAGCCACAGCTTAACTCACTGTGTCTCACAATACCTGCCCCACCAATGGAAATTTTATTGCTCGCATTTTAAGCTCATCTGGTTGAAGGTTGAAGACACAAGCATTGGTAGCAGCTGCTGAGTCCACCCCTGAAGAACTCAGGGGTCCCGACATTATTAGCTAAAGGAAAATGACTGCCCTTTAAAGATTTTTTTTTTAATAAGTAAGGAGAAAAATAGAAGGGGCCACAGCGGACCTATAAGGTCATTGCCTGATGATTCCCATTAGTACTCACTCAGATTTGATCTTGTTTGATCATGTTGGAGAACTTTGGTGAAGCCTCCTCAGGCGTTTTTGTCTCCAAGCATTGGTCATGTGGCTGGTATTAGTGGTTTAAGCCTGCAGCAACCACATCCCCTATAGGCATAGGTTTGAATCCCAGCTGCTGTACTTTGCCAGGGCCCATCCAGCTCCTGCTGATGTGCTTGGGAGAGAAGCAACAGAGGATGGTCCATGTGCAACGAGGATGGAGTACAGGCTTCTGACTCCGCCTGGCCAGGCCCTGGCTGTGCAGGCATCTGGGGTCTCTGTTCTTCCCTTTCTAACTGCCTTTCAAATAAATTTAAAAATCTTTAAACATAAAGTTGTAATTTTTGATTTTCCCCAAATCCTGCTGATTCTGAAGATTACTGTGTGTGAGGTAAGAAGAGAGAACGTTGAGAATTCACTCCTTTAAACAAAAAGGAAAAGATTTATTTGAATGAGTTCGAGGCAAAGACAGTGAGTGATGTTCTCTTGGCTGCCTGACTCAAGTGCCAGCAACAAAGCCGGGAGCTTCTTGCAGGTCTCCCATGTGGGTGCAAGGGCCCAGGTTTGTGGACCATTTTCCGGTGCTTTCCCAGGCCATTAGCAAGGAGCCACATGGGAAGTGAAGCAGCCAGGACATGAACTGGCACCCATTTGGGATACACATCACAGACAGCAGCTTTACCTGCTGCACCATAGCACAGACCCCAATGCTCTTAATGTAGATAAGTGGTAACAGGTTGGGTGGGCCTTTTTGTCCCCAGACACCTTGCCTCCCTTCCATGCAGTGCCTGCTGTATTCACAGCCTGGCCAGGTGTGCTACAGCAGCACTTAGCTAGCAAGGATGAGTTGGTACATTGGGCGTTGGCTGAGAAATCTCTCACGAAGATATTTTGCCTTTTGGGTTTCTGCAGATCTGTCTTCCAAGGCAACAGGCACACCAAAGAAGAAAGCTGTTGTCCAGGCTACGTTGACATCCACTGGCCAGGTGTCGTCCCCTGTCAAAGGCACCTCTTTTGCAACCAACACCAATCCCCGGAAATTTTCTGGCTTTTCAGGTAAGTTAAACTAGCGATACTGTAGTTGTTATGGTGTAATGGCCTTTGATTTGGGGATCTTGCTTACTGACAGTTCTGTGCTATCTGGTCTTCAGTAATTGGCTCCTGTGTCAGAATAGATAGGAATGACTGATTCTCAGCATCCCACTTGTATGGCATTCTTTGGTATACTTTACCCTCATAACAAAAAAAAAAAATGTTTGCTGTATCAGACTCTTTGCCCTAGAGGTAGGCCCAACTCGGTGGTTAAAACATCATCGGAATAAAAAAAATTAAAACAAAACAAAAAAACCCAAACAACATTGGAGTGCCTAAGCTTGAAGCCAGCTCCAGTTGGATTTCAGCTTCTTGCTCATAGCACTCTGGCAGCCTGCAGGTGACAGCCAAGGACTTTGGTCCCTGCTATCCACATGGGAGACCTGGATTAGGTTTCAGGTTCCTTGTTCCTTCTGACCCAGCCGTGGCTGTTTGGACATCTGTGGAGTGAGCCAACAAATGAAAGATCTCTCTCTGCCTCTGCCTTTCTGATAAATAAGAACAAAACTTAGATGTGTTTGTTTTAAGAACTTGTGCCCTTGAAGTCATTTCCTGGGCCAGGCTGAAATTTTGTTTTAGAAGTTTTCTTTATTTATATGTCTACTTAGTTAATATATGGCAGAATAAGAGAGAGACAGAGAAAGATGATACAACAGCCGGTCCTGGGCCAGGCTGAAGCCAGAACTCAGTCTCTGTAGGTGTGTGGCAGGGACTCAGAGACTTGAACCATCTCCTCCTGCTGGCCTGCCAAGGTACACATTAGAACGGGCCAGAATTATAAGCCAGGCCAGGACCGAAACCTGGGCGCTCCAGTGTTGAGGTGCGGGGTGAGGATGTGAAGATATCCCAAGGGAGGTCATCTGGTTGAGCCAAGTGTTCTCCCCTATTCTTTTCTTGAAGATTTATTTATTTTATTGGAAAATCAGATTTATGGAGAGAAGGAGAGACAACAGAAAGATCTTCCATCCGCTGGCTCATTCCCCAACTGGCTGCAATGACTGTTGTTGAGCTGATCCCAAGCCAGGAGCCCAGAGCCTCTTCCGTATCTCCCATGTGGGTGCAGGGTCCCAAGGCTTTGGGCTGTTCTCAGTTGCTTTCCCAGGCCACAAGGAGGGAGCTGGATGGGAAGTGGAGCTATCGGGATTAGAACTGGTGCGCGTCTGAGATCCTGGCACATGGAAGACGAGGACTTTAGCTGCTAGGCTTCTGCACCTGGCCCTACTCTTATCTTCTTGTCAGAATAGATAACAGGAACAGTTACGTTTTTTTCCTATGGATGCAAACATTTATACATATACATATATGTTTTATGTATATAGAAATATATAAAAAAGAATGCTGATACAAGACCCAGCTACTCTGTTTCTAGACCGGCTTCCTGCTGATGTGTCTGTGAAGGCAGCATATTGTGGCCCAAAAGTTTTGAGCCCCTGCCACCTATGTGAGAGACTTGTGTGAAGTTCCTGGCTTTGACTTCAGCCTGGCCCGGCCCTGGCTCTTGAAGCTGTTTGAGAAGTGAACCTGTAGATGGAAGTCTTTCAGATAAATAACTGAATCTTTTAAAAAAAAAATTTAAAAGATCGGGCCTGGCGGCATGGCCTAGTGGCTAAAGTCCTCACCTTGAACGTGCCAGGGTCCCATATGGGCGCCGGTTCTAATCCCGGTAGCTCTACTTCCCATCCAGCTCCCTGCTTGTGACCTGGGAAAGCACTCGAGGACGGCCCAAAGCCTTGGGACCCTGCACCTGTGTGAGAGACCTGGAAGAGGCTCCTGGCTCTGGATCGGCACAGCACCAGCTGTTGCTGTCACTTGGGGAGTGAATCATTGGACAGAAGATCTTCCTCTCTGTCTCTCCTCCTCTCTGTATATCTGACTTTGTAGTAAAAATAAGTAAATCTTAAAAAAAATTTAAAAGCTAAGGATAATTTTGCTGATCTTATGTCACAGGAAGCAGTGGGCTAGGGAATTGATTTGTTCTTCAGTTAACCCTTGGTCTTGTCTGAGCCCCATTTTATGCATGGGAAGTTGAAATTCAGGTTTATTGTGGAGTCAGTATTTTGACTGAAATCTGTTTGACATAAGTATTCTTCTTTTGCCTTATATTCTGCTGCTTTTATTGTCTAAGGCAATTAAGTTTGACTCCATTGACAAAAATTGTAAGCTGAACTGCTTGGAAGGGATTGAAAGAGGCTTTCGGGATGTTGCGGTACAGCAGTTAAGCTTCTGCCTGCAACAATGGCATTCCATATAAGCACCACTTTGAGTTCTGGCTGTTCAGCTTCTAATCCAGCCCCCTGCTAATGCACCTGGGAAAGCAGCAGTGTTTGTGCCTGTCATCCACGTGTGAGACCTGGATGAAGGCCTATGACTGGGCTGGGCCATTGCCAGTTTGGGGGAGTAAATCAGTGGATGGAAGCTCTCAGCCATGCTTCATCTGTTTCCCTCTCTGTAATGTGTCTCACACAAATAAGTAAATCTTTGAAAAGGGGACGGGATGGGCAGTGTTTATGTAAGTGAAAGAGGGTTATTTAAGCTCTGGGCACATCTTCTGTCCTGACTCCAAGGATATGTGTGTGAATCAGAAGTGGCAATACTTGTCTGGTATACCCCAATGTTCTTGTGAGGACCACAGGAGATAGCATTGTGGAAATCTAGTACTTGACTCTAGATCTTTATTCAAAAATTCTGAGGTTGCTTGGTTCTTGGTCTGATGATCCAAGAGAGAGATGCTGAGGCCGTGGTGAGGATGATAGCAGGTTCTGGAAGGGACCTGCTTGGGGATGTGTGGGGAATTTCTGAGGAGCTGAGAGGGGGTTTTGGTTCTTGCAGCCTGAATGAACACTGCTGCGTTGGAAGTTTTGTTCTCTGAAATCCTGTTTAGGTTGCAGGTCAGAAATGAGGAATATGTATAATTTATGAAATTAGACAAGAAGCTAGCAGTGGCAGCCAGCTTACTATTGGCTCCATTACAAGCTGGCAGAATGAAATTTACTTTCTTTGTGGTCACCACAAGGTGAGCAATGATCACCAAAGAGTTGTATGTAATTATTTGTAGGGGATTGTTGGCTGTGTTGCAGGATGGGCAAGTTGAAATTACCCCAGTGGAATCTGACTTTGGTTGTGGTATCTTGTCCCAGCCCTGCCATTGCACAAGTGTGTGGTCCTGGAAGTCCTCTCGGTCAGGGTTCCCCATCAGTGAGCGAGCATCGCAGCAGATATCACTAAGGACTCTTGAGTTCTGGCAATAATGATTTCACATCCTTTGATTTTTTTACCTCTTCTCTCATCCCAGCCTTCCTGGAGTGGGCTTTACCTTGTTCTGAGTCCTTGTTGATCATGCTCAGCCCCAGACAGCATTTGTGCTGTGAAGGGCTCTCCTACAGAGCCCCCCGTCAGTCTGGTGTTCTGCTTCTGGTTGAAGGGTCTTCACCATGGCTAATTCTGTGGGACAGGCATTTGCCCTAGTTGTTAGGATGCCGGGATCTCAGTGCCTGGATTTGATAACCAGTTCTGGCTCCTGCCCATGGAGACCCTGGGAGGCAGCTCAAGTGCTTGTGATCCTGCTACCCCCAGGGAAGACCTCGCTGAGTTTTGGTTCTTTCCTCTAGGGCCCAGGGCCAGTGCAGCCAGAGAAGGACTGGACCAGTGGGTGGAGCACACTCTTGCACACACTCATGCATTTTCATGTCTCTCAAATAAATACAAATTAAAAAATAAAAAACAAAACAGGGCCTGGCACGGTAGCTTAGCGACTAAAGTCCTCGCATTGCACGTGCCAGAATCCCATATAGGCGCCAGTTCTAATCCCGGTAGCCCCGCTTCCCATCCAGCTCCCTGCTTGTGGCCTGGGAAAGCAGTTGAGCATGGCCCAAAGCTTTGGGACCCTGTACCCGCGTGGGAGACCTGAAAGAAGCTCCTGGCTTTGGCTTGGCTCAGCTCCACCATTACTGCCACCTGGGGAGTGAATTATCAGACGGAAGATCTTCCTCTCTCTATCTCCACCTCTCTGTATATTTGCCTTTCCAATAAAAATAAAATAAATCATAAAACAAAACAGAACAGGGCCAGCCAGCATTATTACACAAAGGGTTAGGTTCTGCCTGTGTACCAGCATCCCAGGTGAGCTTTTTCAAGTCTCAGTTGCTCCACTTCTAATCCAGTTTCCTGGTAATGCACTTGGGAAGGAAGCAGAAGATGGCCCAGAGCTTGGGCCCTGTACCCACATGGAAGACCTGGCTGAAGCTCCTAGCTTCTGGCATTGGCCTGGCCCAGTCCTGGCTTACATAGCCACTGGGGGAGTGAGCCAGTGGATGGAAGATCGCTGTGTCTCTGTCTCTCTGTAACTCCTCTTTTAAAATGAAAAATTGAGGGATTTGAGTATGTGTATTAGAACTAGCACTTGATACCTCCTACTTTTGTAGAAGTATATGTATGTGTAATTTTTAAATATAAGTATATAATTGTCTTTTTTTTTTTTAAGATTTATTTTTATTACAAAGTCAGATATACAGAGAGGAGGAGAGACAGAGAGGAAGATCTTCTGTCCGATGATTCACTCCCCAAGTGATCACAGCAGCTGGTGCTGTGCCGATCCAGAGCCAGGAGCCAGGAACTTCCTCCCCGTCTCCCACATGGGTGCATGATCCCAAGGCTTTGGGCCATCCTCGAGTGCTTTCCCAGGTCACAAGCAGGGAGCTGGATGGGAAGTAGAGCTACCGGGATTAGAACCAGCGCCCATATGGGACCCTGGTGCGTTCAAGACAAGGGACTTTAGCCACTAGGCCACACTGCCGGGCCCTATAATTGTCTTTTCCACTCCTTTTGCTAAGTGATACTTCATATGTGTTTAAGCTAATAATGGGCCTCGTAGTCTTTTGATGAATAATGAATATGTACAAAAAAATGGAAAAAAGTAAAAAATGAAAAAGCTCTGTGTAACTGTCTTGCAAATAAAAAATTTTTTCAAGATTTATTTATTTTTACTGGCAGATACGATTTACAGAGAAGGAGAGACAGAGAGAAAGATCTTCTATCTGCTGGTTCAACCCCCAAATGACCACAGTAGCCAGAGCTGAGCTGATCTGAAGCAGGAGCCTGGAGCTTCTTCCTAGTTTCTCACTCAGGTGCAGAGTTACAGAGAGAAGAAAAGGTTTTCCAACTGTTGGTTCACTCTCCAAGTAGCCACAGTGGCCAGAGCTGGGCCAGTCTGGACCCAGGAGATTCTTCCTGGTCTCCCATTTGGACACAGGGTCAAGGACTTGGGGTATCCTCCACTGCTTTCCCAGGCGCATTAACAGGATGCTGGATCCAAAATAGAGCAGCTGGGACTTTCTTGCCCATAGGGGATGGCAGCTACACTGCACCACTGTGCTGGCTCCCTTGACCTCCATTTCTTTACCTGTGATGGTGCCTGCCCCCAGGCTTTTAAAGGTAAGTGAAGCTGCATAGAAAGCACTAGCAAAACACCTGCTCCTTCTCAGAATGACCAGAGGAATGATGCCTGCTGTTTCTCTGTCCAACAGCTAAACCCAACAGTTCTGGGCCTCAAAGCTCCTCCAGCCCTTCCCTTAAGGCAAGTCTCTCCTCAAGCAAATGTGACCCCAAGCACAAGGATTGTCTGCTGAGGGAGTTTCGGAAGTTGTGTGCCACAGTCGCTGAAAACCCCAGCTACAATTCCAAGACCCAGATCATCCAGGACTTTCTGCGGAAAGGCTCGACAGGAGGTGGGCCCTGAGTATCCTGAATTGGTTGAAGTTTACAGGAGCCTACGGGGCTAGGCATGCAGCCTTCCAGCTCTTCCTCTCATTTGTGTAACATTTGTGTCGCTGAGTCTGTAGTGTGCTTAACACAGGAGGCCTGAAGTGTAGGTCATGGCTCTGTCCAGTGGGAGATCAGCCCTGGGCTAAAGGGAAGGCCGGCCCGTGAGCTACCGAACGCTGCCTCTCATTGTCATAGTGATAGGCACAGGGAGGCGTGGGAACAAGGGCAGCAGTACCTAGATTTCCTTTGGTCTCTATTTCCTGAGGTTTATGCATTTATTCATTGAAGCTGCATTTCTCAAGAAGGATTCTTTTTTTGGTCTCCAGGTGGTTTCCATGGTGACACGTATCTGACAGTGAAGCTCCTGCTGCCGGGTGTCATTAAGAGTGTTTACAACTTAAACGATAAGCAGATTGTGAAGCTCTTCAGCCGCATTTTTAACTGTAACCCGGATGATATGGCACGGGACCTAGAGCAGGTCAGAGGAAGGGAGAGTAGACTCCATTCTAGGGGGCTCTGCCAGCCAGGCACCTGCAGCCCCTTTGCTCTGGGTGGGGCATTTTCTGTTTCAGGAAGTGGAACAAGCTTCCATTCGGAGAGGATTGATTATGAGGCCACAGCTGTTCAGTTCAGGAGTTTCCAAAGATTGAAACTCTACCCCCTCTGAACATTCCCTCCCCGACCTGGGAGTCTCACTCTGGACTTTATTGCTTGCTTTTCTTCCCTTAGAACTTGGGTCCTGCCATTCAGCTTTGGTTAGTTGGTGATACCAGCTGGCACCATAGAAAGTTTCCAACCAAGTGCCACGTTATGTGATAACCATTGCTGTCTCAGCTCAAATTCTTAAACAGGAACCAAATTGGTACCACTCTGGATTTGTTCCTGCATCTTCTCTTAGCCAAAGCAGATGGATGGGCAGGTCATGCGCAGATTACTGTGCCCTTCCTGGGAACTGTGGTTGGGATATAGTCTCAGAAGTAAGGTAAAATGAGGGGACTTCAAAAGGTTAGTGGAAAAGTGAAATTACCAGACAGTTCAGCTTTCCATGAACTTTCTGGAGCTCCCGTGTACGTGGAGTTGTGGACAGGCATTATGATTGCAATCTTGTAGTTCCTCTTTCGCCCTGAGGTCTTGGGGGATATGCCTGGCCACCCTGGGGTTGTAGCAGTGGCATTTTGGTTTTTGGAGACAGGGTGACGTGTCAGAGACGATCAGAGTCTTCTTTGAGCAGAGCAAGTCTTTCCCCCCAGCTTCCAAGAGCCTCCTTACCATCCAGGAAGTGGATGAATTCCTCTTGCGACTCTCCAAGCTCACCAAAGAGGATGAGCAACAACAGGCCCTCCAGGACATCGCCTCCAGGTGGGAGGTTGCCCCAACGAGCCACACCTAATGGGGATGGGCTCAGGAGGCTGCAGTCATGGCGAGGAGTGGTTTGGGCACCCAGAGCACTCCAAAGATGAGTTGACTGTGCTTCGTCCCTGTAGGTGTACAGCCAATGACCTGAAGTGCATCATCAGGTTGATCAAACATGACCTGAAAATGAACGCAGGTGCCAAGCATGTGTAAGTACCAGCTCCTCCAGCAGCTTGAGCCTTTGTTCTCAGCTGGGGTTAGAACTTTGGAATCTTGAACTGGGTTCGAATCCTCATTCCATTTTGTTCCTGCAGACTAATGACCCTAACTCTGCCTTCATTTTCTTAGATGTAAAGCAGAGCAAGCAGTTCCTTCCTCACAGCATTGTAAGAATTGAGTATGGAATATACTAATGTAGTTTGCCCATCCCAGGCCCCTCCTTTGTTGAGCTAGCATTCACATGGGTCCTCAAACAACTGAACTTTTCTCTTCCTGTGGAAGTGTTTGGACAAAAAAGCACAACCCCTTCCCTCTAGGTTGGGACCTCTTGCAACCAGAACTGTCTGGTCAAAGGCATGGTTTTGTTTTCTTGCCCCTGTCTCCACTTACAGGTTAGATGCTCTTGACCCCAATGCCTACGAAGCCTTCAAAGCCTCACGCAACCTGCAGGACGTAGTGGAGCGGGTCCTGCACAACGAGCAGGAGGTGGAGAAGGAGCCAGGCCGCAAACGGGCTCTGAGCGTGCAGGCCTCGCTGATGACGCCTGTGCAGCCCATGCTGGTGAGCAACACTGCCCTGCCCCTGCCGCCCACACCCCTTGCTCCGAGACCCGCCTGGCTTGTCTGCAGAAGTTGGGGGAAGAAGAGTGCAGGTGCAAGGGAACATTTCTTGCTGGGACATGAAGGCGAAGGGGAAGACAGGTGATCTTGTGGGAAGAACTGACTCCAGTCCCAGCTAGGCCGCCACCAAGTTATGGACTGTTAGATGAGCTGTGTAGCTTCCTTGGTCTTCAGGTTTCTTGTGTGAAGGGCATTTATGAAACTGTCTTAACATTACAGTAAAGCTGTCCAGTGTAAGGCTCTGTGTTTGGGGCAGGGAAGTGTTCTCTGTCTGCATTGAGATTATGGGATAGCTGGCACCTGAATTAGATTAGTGAGATCCCCCTACCGAGAACCATTGCAAGAATTCTTTCTGGAGCCAGCTCTGTGGCCTGATGGTTGAAGCACTAGCCTGGACCCTATAGCTCAGTGGTTAACCACACGGGCCTGGAAGTTGGCCTTCATTCAGATATCACTCCTGCTGCTTAGTAGCAGTAGTAAGAACTTTTAGTTCTTAACCTCTTTGACATTGAGTTTTTCTTCCATAAAATGAAAACAGTATTTGTCATTTAAGGTACCACATCACGTGAGAAGTGAGATATGTATGTGACCTGGGCAGTGTACCCCGGGGCAGCTACTGCTGCTTCACACAGCTGCCGTCCTGTATCCGAATGCCTCAGCCCAGGGCTTCCTGACCGCTGCTCCTCACCACTTCCTTTCACCTTCCCTCTGCTTCCCTCTCGGGGCGGGGGTAACTGACGGCTCTAATAACAAGCCAGAGGCTATCAAGATCCTAAATTGTTGAGAAAATTATTTAGGCCAGTTGCTGTGGAATTTTGTTCTATAATGAATGACATTCAGATTTCTTAAAATGCAAACTCCATGTCGACTCTGGGGAGGATTTTATATTCCAAATACAGCATGGCTCAGCCACTTAGGCTCCCGTCAGCTCAGCCACCTGCCTGAGTGGATGCTGGGGCACTTGGGTCCAGGATCCGAAGAGCCAAACCCAGTGCTCTTTGGCTGAGCTTGCTGAGCAGCCCCTTGTGGAAGGTTTTGAGCCCTTGCTCTCCCTGCCCAAGGCTGAGGCCTGCAAGTCCATTGAGTACGCGATGAAGAAGTGCCCCAATGGCATGTTCTCCGAGATCAAGTATGACGGCGAGCGGGTGCAGGTGCATAAGAATGGTGACCACTTCAGCTACTTCAGCCGCAGTCTGAAGCCCGTCCTGCCTCACAAGGTATTGGTACTGTCCTCTGCCAGAACTCCTTTCCTCCTGCCTTTGAGAGTCTCAGGGCGAGTTTGAAACATTCCAGCTCTGGCCCATGGTAGGGTTTGTTCATTGAGTGGATTCATCTTTGGAGCTGAGCTGTTCAGGGTGGAGCACCGGAGCCCAGGCTTGAGTTTGTCTGGAGAGCTCACTTGCCTTTGGAGGCATTGGAACAGTGAGCCCAGCTGGTGAAGGGTTGTGCCTGTCTTGCCTTTCCAAGTCCTGTGTACTGTCCTTGGGCTAGATTGAAGATAGTGTATCAGGAGCTGTCACTGATTTGTTAAACAGGTACTTATCAGATGCTTATGTGCTGTATAACTAGTGGGCATGTAGCACTGGAGAAAATGGGCAGGAGCTGAACCCTCATGAAGTGTGTTCTAATAGAAGCACATACTGTGGAGAACAGGGAGCTTGGAGTGGTGCCCTGCCGGTGGTGGTAGTGGAGGAATGGGAGTCTCCTTGCTTCACCCTTCCCAGCTCAGCTTCTGAGTGGATCGAATTCCTGACTGTGCTGTCCCCTTCTCTCCCAGCTGCAGGTCAGTCCTTCAGACTCCTTGGGGTGGGCAGGAGGAACCATGTGGTCCAGGCACTTCCTTCCAGGCAGCTGTTCAGACCTACACCTGGGGTGCTAGGCAGTGGCCTCCAAGGGGACTTCATTGTCCAAGGGACACTGCAGCTGTTCAGGAGCCTCTCTGGGGAGCTTGGTGTTCCACAGGCGCCTCCCACACCCCTTTGTAAGGAAGTTGATGGAGCCCAACTTTGTTGAATTTATGCTTTCCTCCTGTCCCTTACCGAGATGCACATTGCTTGTATGTATTGGCTTGTTACAGGCTGGGCTGGGCAGCTCTTTCTGGCAGTGACAGCCTGCCTGCTCTGCCCAGGTCTGAAATCAAGACTATACCCTACTGCTGTTAACTTGGCAGGCACTGCCTGGGTTTCCCTGGGTGGGACTGCTCCTGTCTGAAGCTGTCAGAAATTAGGGCTGTGCCTTTGTCAGGAAAAATCCAGTTCCAGATTGTCTCTCTCTTTTTGAAAGATTTTTATTGGAAAAGCAGATTTACAGAGAAGGAGAGATGGAAGATGTTCATCTGCTGGTTCACTCCCCAAGTGGCTGCAGTGGCTGGAGCTGAGCTGATCGGGAGCAGAAGCCACGAGCTTCTTCGTGGTCTCCCACGCGGTGTAGGGTCGTAAAGCTGTCCCTTACTCATTCTTGAGATGCTGTGTATTTGGAGTTCCCACTCACAGATCCTGTTCTGTTCATGGGGTGTTCATTTCTTTTGTTCTTCCAGTTTGTGCTCCCTGTCCCATTTCTCGGCCTGAGATCTGCCCTTCTTCTGCAATGAGCACTCATCTCTGCCTGCCCCTCCTCCCTCATCCCTCTCTGTGCATACTCCCAGTCCTTTAGGGTTTTTCTGCAAAACCCTGCCTGCTTTCCAACCCATACACTGACTCCACATGGGCTCGCCTTTTCCTAAGTCTGGACAGGACTCAGTGACTTGTCCCCTTGTCTAGGTGCCTGGCAAGGTCCAGCCAAATGTTGCACATCAGCTGGGCTCCACTGTGTTGTTGTGTATTCCTTTGGGCCCTGGACTTTCCTCTCCGGCTTGGCTCTGGTCTCTATTACTGCCTGTCCATCCCTCACCAGGAGTGCTGTTCCGTTTGCAGGTGGCCCACTTTAAGGACTACATCCCAAAGGCCTTTCCTGGGGGCCACAGCATGATACTAGACTCGGAGGTGCTCCTGATTGACAACAATACAGGAAAACCACTGCCCTTTGGGACTCTGGGAGTGCACAAGGTATTGGCTCAGGACCCTATGTGTAGACTATGTGTGTGCACGTGGGCGTGCTGTCACTCTGAAAAGGGAATAGGTCACTTTGGGTGGAGTTTAGTGTTGGTTTTTGAACTATTTCTGAATTTAGCCTTGCACTTAGATTCTTTTTATTGGAAAGGACCTAACTCACAGCTGGGCTGGTTCCCACTGAGCACCATAGAGACCCTGGGGTAGAGCACAAGTCAGGCTTTTTCTGTGGTCCCTCAGAGGACCACACGAGGGAACTGGTATACTCCAGTTTTCTTGCCCCAACTTCTGTCAGTCACATGCCTACCTCATTTCTGTTTACAGAAAGCCGCCTTCCAAGATGCTAATGTCTGCCTATTTGTGTTTGACTGTATCTACTTCAATGATGTCAGTTTGATGGATCGGTGAGTTGGCCAGCTGCTTTGAATTGTGAACTGTTGGACACTATCTTCAGCTCCAAGCGGGGTGTGAAAGCTTCAGAGCCAAGGTAGCAGTTAACACGGTCAGCTCCTGACTCCATGTAAGGAAGAACCACTATGGCCACGCCATCCCGTCTGGAAGCTAGAGTCACACAGCAAACCCAACCACCCAAAGAAGTTTTCTTTTTTTAAGAGATTATTTTATTTATTTGAAACGCAGCGTGATAGAGAATGAGTGGGAAGGAGGAGTATCTTCCACCTGCTGGTTCCCTCTCCAGATAATGCAACAACCAGGCCAAAGCCAGCAGCCTTAACTCCATCTAGGTCTCCCGGGCAGGACAGAGGCCCAAGCTGTTGTGTCATTTTCCACTGCTTTACCAGGCAAGCTAAGAGAGGTTCCATCAACAACACAGCCAGGACTCAAAGCAGCCACTCTGATGTGAAGCGCCTGCTTTGCATGCTGCAGTTTAACCCACTGCATCGTAGTGCCAGCCCCAAGGAAAAGTTTCCTTATGGCCAGAATGGTCTGTTGCAGAGATCAAGTGAGAGCACAGCAGAGTTTATCTTCAGGAATACTCATGAGGTGTGAGGCAGATGATTTCAGAAGTTTTGATGCCTGACAACAGGAAATTCTCAGAGGCAGTCATGGATGGGAACACTTTGGAGAGAACTGGCAGTTCTGACTTAGCTTCTTCCACATATGTGGGCCTGGATGCTATCCCCTGGCCTCCCACCCCCAGAGCTCCTGCAGCCTCCACGTTCCCGATTGGGAAATGAAGCCAAGAGAACTGGTGGTGTGGGCCCTGGGGTTTCAGTCCTGCAGTCTGACTCGAGGCCCAGCCAGCTTTGGGGGGGAACAAGGAACCAGGGAGAAAAATTCAGAATTGAAGTCATTTTTTAAGTAGGATGAAAAATTGTACAATCTGAGCTAGAGTCCAGTTCTTCCTAGGCTTGATAAAGCAGCCACGGGAACTACAGTCAGTTCAGAGTTGTCTACCTGCAGTCAAGTGAAGCCTCTGCAACTTTTTAAAACATATTTATTATAAAGAGTATGAGTTATAAAGGGAAGGGGGAGGAGTGTGGAGAGATCTTCTATCCAATGATCCACTCCCTAAGTGATTGCATTGCCTTGACTGAACCAGGCTGGAGCCAGCAGCTTTATCTAGGTCTTTAACATGGCTGCAGGGGTGCAGGGACTTCGGCCATTTTCCACTGCTTTTCCAGGCATGTTAGCAAGGAGCTGGATCAGAAGTAGAGCAGCCAGGACTTGAACCAGCATGCCAGCATCGCAGGTGGCTGTTTAATATGCTGCTTAATGTTTCTCTGCACCATCTCAGCCATTCACTGTAGGCCTCTCACAGAGCTTTCCTATATGGCAGGCCTCCTGTGAAGCAGTTTAGTCATCATGCCCCTTCCCTCTGAACTCCTGACAGTCGAGTTCTCATCTCAGCTCTCTTGTCCCCCCTTAGACCTCTGTGTGAGCGTCGGAAGTTTCTTCATGACAACATGGTTGAAATTCCCAACAGGATCATGTTCTCAGAAATGAAACAAGTCACAGTAAGTAAAGGGCTTTCCCTAGGCAGAGTCCTAGTGGTCTGAAAGCAAGACAGAGGAGGGCTAGGGTCAAGTGGGAGAGGGAGCACCTTCTCTCGGGGCTGCTGGCCTAGCATCCCCCCGGGAGGGCGGGGCATGAGAGAGGCCATGCCCTGGAGCCGCAGCTGCTGGGATTCCAGTGTGTACTGTACTGAGAGGCAAAAGCAACCACTACTCCTCACTCCCATGCTGCCCTCACCTCTCTCCATCTGTTCCCCAGAAAGCTTCAGACCTGGCCGACATGATCAACCGAGTGATCCGGGAGGGCTTGGAAGGGCTGGTGCTGAAGGATGTGAAGGTGAGGTGGTGGCAGCCTTTACCAGAAGCCCTTGTCCTGAACCCTTCCATCCCTGGCCAGGAGCTGGAGCAGCAGCCAAGGGCTGGTTGGGGTGCTGAGCAGGGGACAGCTGGGGGACACAAATGATGTGGGATAATGTACCCTTGGGGACTGCTCTAGCTTGCGGTCACTCTTGCCTCTCCTCAGGGTACATACGAGCCTGGGAAGCGGCACTGGCTGAAAGTGAAGAAGGACTATCTGAATGAGGGTGCCATGGCTGACACGGCTGACCTCGTCGTCCTGGGGGCCTTCTATGGGCAGGGAAGCAAAGGTCAGCTGGGGTGGTACTTGCTTTTAAAAAGCCTCTATTTGACCTTCAGACTGGCGTAAACTGGCTTGATCTGCCAGCGCAGCCAGTCAGGACCCGAAAGTGCTAGGATCTGAGGCCCCACCTGGCCCGAGTCTCCTTCAGTGAGGATGGCTGAGACTTGGGCAGAGAGAGATGGGCAAGAACACCCTGTGTTAGTATGGCATAAGGAAGCTCACCCCAACAGTGGCTTCAAGACCTGACAGCTTTCTTCCAAGGAAAAGCCGTCCTGCCATAAGAGGAAGCTGGGTCTGAGGTGGTGGCACTTCAGGCTGTGCACCAGGTATTGTTCCACTGCCCAGAGCCCCACAAACTGGGTTTGATTATCCCAAGTTATGAAGGTGACATAGGAGCTCTCACAGTTGTGGCAGTTCATAGAGGTTACAGGGATACAGCTTGAGAGAGGCAGAGCCAAGAGGTAAATTTGGGAACTCGATGCCCTTGGACTCCAGTCCTGGGCCCGTTCCTCACTGCCAGGCTCGCGGAGCTGGCCGACATGGTTCCTTCCCATCCACACTCAGCCGTTCTCCCCTCCCAGGTGGCATGATGTCAATCTTCCTCATGGGCTGCTATGATCCCGGCAGCCAGAAGTGGTGCACAGTCACTAAGTGTGCAGGAGGCCATGATGATGCGACTCTTGCCCGCCTGCAGAAAGAACTGGATATGGTAAAGATAAGCAAGGTAAAGATGGAACCTGGCTGATCCTGCTGTCACTACAGAGGCAGGGCTGTACCTGTCTTCTCTCCCCTGCGAAAGGAAAGCTGCTTGGCTGCAGGGGCAGGGTGGGCCTAACACCCATGAGTGCCTCCCTCGTGGGAACTGGCCTGTGAGCCTCCTGGGCCGCACACCTCTGGACAGGGACAGTCACAGGGGCTGAGGGTGAGCCTTGCTAACGACATCCGTCTTCCCACAATCCCATTACCAAGAGAAGCACTGAAACCTCATTCCAGCTTGGCAGCAGCCCAGAACAGCATCTCTTCTCCTCCAGGATCCCAGCAAAATACCCAGCTGGCTGAAGATCAACAAGATCTACTACCCTGATTTCATTGTCCCAGACCCAAAGGTATCGTCCTGCTCCCAGAAATAACTTGCAGTTCCTCAGGGGCTCCAGAGCACCACCTTGGTGGCACTCAGTTCACCTAGACTATCTGGGGCCTAGATAGTTCAGCCAGTGGCAGGCAAAGGGAGGACCAGTCACTCGCAAGGATTCTTCCTCAACAGAGGGAGGAATACCTAGCCACCACTTCTCAGTGTGTTCTCAAAGCAAGGGAAGCAGATCCAGAGGAGGCAGGACTCCTCAAAGCCCAGTATCCCAGCCGTCAGGCTTGGTTGGTTTCAATGCTCTGTTACCTCTGGCTGCTTGGGAAAGGATCTCTTCCTAACTAGCGCTTGCCCATCTGCCTTAATCCTGACAGAAAGCTGCGGTGTGGGAGATCACAGGGGCTGAATTCTCCAAGTCTGAAGCTCACACAGCTGATGGGATCTCCATCAGATTCCCTCGCTGCACACGAATCCGCGATGATAAGGACTGGAAATCTGCCACGAACCTCCTTCAACTCAAGGTGCCAGCACTTGGACCCCATGAGTGCCCGCACCTCACTGTCCCAGCCTTGGGGCCTCGGGCATCAGGGCTGTTCACCTGTCCTCTTGTCTTCTCCTTTCCTTTTTGCAGTGTAATAGACTGGGGAGACAGAGAGGGACACCCAGCCAGCCCAGGTCAGGTCAGAAATAGCAGATGAGGCTTTCTGCTGGCTCCAAGTAGAGAGCCTGGCATTGTTCACAGGGTTCCTGCTATGTCCATGGGAACAGGGGCACAGACAACAGCGGTTGGCATCCTGCGCACCCCAGGTTACAGGCTATATATAAGAACCAGGGTATCTGAACCAGGGAATCTGTGCCTAACACAGGCCGCTGCTCATAACACCTAAGGCTGGTGTCTAGAGGAGGGAATGTGGTTCTCTCCCACCCCAGGAGCTGTATCAGTTGTCCAAGGAGAAAGCCGACTTCACCGTAGTGGCTGGAGATGAAGGGCATTCCACTACAGGGGGCAGTAATGGCGAGAATGGTGACACCTCAGGGCCTGCTGTGTCCCGCAAACCCTCTACCAGTGCCAAGAAGACTGGAGGGAAGCAGAGTGATGCCAACAGCAAAGGTGGTAAGGATGGGGGGATGGTGCTGTGGGGGGCAGAGGCCCAGGTGAGATCAGGTGGTGATCTCGGTCCACTGAAGCTGAGTGACCTTGATGGCATTCCTGGTGTTATCGAGCCATGTTCTGCCAGACTCTACTCAGTAAACTTAGACACCACGCTGGGGAAACCAATCTGGGCAGGGGATGAGCCACTGTAAACTCAAGGGCTTAGCTGGTTATTCTTTCCCCTTCTCTACTCCGCAGAGGAAGGTTCTGGCCCTTCCTTTGGCTGCCTGGAGACCAGCAGTCCTCACCCTAGAACTTCTTATCCTAAACTCTGTTTACAGGTAACATGACGGCCACAAAGCATTCTCCTGTGAAAACGGCAGAGAAGCCAGCCAGGAAGTCTTCCCCAGTGAAAGTAGGACAGAAGCGGAAAGCTCCTGAGGAGACCCCATGCCAAGCGAAGGTGAGGCTAGTATAGAAACCAGTGGGGACAAGGAGTTTTGTGCTCCCAGCCCTCTGCCCATCAACTTTGCAGAAACCTGGGCTGACACCCTTGCCCTCCTGCATCTGCTACCTGGAGATGTGGTGCTGCGGCTCCACCCTGTGCCCTCTTGTTGCGTTGCAGAGGCAGAGGCGGCCGGCCAAACGGCAGAGAGGAAGCAGAGCTGTGCGAGCAGGCAGCAGATAGAGCCCACAGAGGCCCACCCAGCTGCTGGTCCCATGTTACCTCTGACATTAAAGGGGAGGAAGCCCAGTCTGGTCATGGAAGCCTAGTGGTGTGTGAGTTTGTGATCAGGGCGGGAGCAGGTCCAGCCAGCCAGGAGCCCAGAGATACTGGGTCACTTGGGTGACTTGTCCAAGCGAAGGAACCTTTTCCCATACACAGTTGTCAGGCTTTGGTTTGGCATTATCTGTTGAGCACCTACTGAAGCCAGAAACTAGTGCCAGCTCAGCCCCCACCTTCCTGCCTCCATCCAAAGGAAGCATGTTGTCTGATAAGTCAGGGCCAGAACCCAAACTGGTAGAAACAGTTCCTGTCCCTCCCCTGCTAAAGCCCTGCCTTGGGGTCCATGCATGGTAATGAATGGGGTTCCTGGACTCCCTCTTTCCCCTGGTCATTAGTGACAGAGTGGCTGCTTGATCTTTGCGGGACATCAGCACGTCTGGGCACTGAGCTTATGAAAGCCACTGGCTGACCTTTGGAGACAAGACTCCACTCCATGTGTTTCCCAGGCAGGGAGGAAAGACCTGTCAGTCCTGTGTGAGGATGAGGGGAAGTGATGCCGGTGCCTTTTCTCTTGAAAACTGCCTAAGCTCTGAGCTCGCTCCATGTCCTGGTGTTCTCACCTCTCTCCACTGCCCTGAACATGTCTGGTGAAGCCCATGCGCACCCCTCCCCTGACCCCTCTGCCTTTGCAGGTGCTGTTGCTGGACATCTTCACTGGGGTGCGGCTCTACCTGCCTCCCTCCACGCCAGACTTCAGCCGTCTCAGACGCTACTTTGTGGCATTCAACGGAGACTTGGTACAAGAATTTGACATAGCTTCAGCCACACACGTGTTGGATAGCAGGGACAAGAATGCTGAGGCCCAGCTTGTCTCCCCAGAGTGGATTTGGGCGTGTATCCGGAAACGGAGACTGGTACCTCCCTGCTAGGGCTGTGCTCAGGCACAAGGCAGGGAGACAGAGGAACAGAGAAGGGGATGGGCTTTCTTCTGCAAGTAGTGTGTCTTCCAAAACCCACCAACAGACTATTCGTGGTCATTGCTGAACCAAGAATTAGCTGCTGTGGGTACCTCAGGCGCAGTCAGCTTCTCTGGCTGGCTTCAGTAGATCTTTCAGATCTGGGTGCTGGCTTTGTCATCTTTTTGTTTTCTTTAAAAAGATGCTTAGTTATTTTTTATAAATAAAATACTCTGCAGAATTACTGTCCCCATCCCCTGTAACATTCCTAGCCATTAAGGAGTGACGGCAAGGTACGGAAGCTCTGTCCACCAGTCTCCTTGCCTCCTGTTTTACTTCCAGGCTCATTTTAAAGTTCTGTTTCAAAGACTGCCCTCAGAAATGCTGCTACTGATTTGGCAAAACTTGTATTCAGCCTGGCCTGTTTGTTTGTTTGTTTTTGCCAGGAACAAGCCCTCATTTTAAAGAAAACAAAATGAAATTTGATGACTTTATTCTTTGTGTTCCATTATAAGGTCCCACTGTGAGAAGGGACAGGACTAAGAGCAGATAGAAAAATGAGGCCTGTATGTACAAAGGGGAGGTTACTAAGGCCACCACAGAGAAGGGTACACAGGAAGACTGCTGAAACCAAGGCTGCTTTTTAAAACTAAAATCCTCACTCCTCTCAGGAACAGGTCTGTATCATCTGCCTACACAGAGGGGCTCCTGTGCCACCTGTGGCTGATTGATCGGAAGACGATTTAGCATAAACAGTGTGCTTTTCGCTACAACATGATACAGCCTTGAAAATACCCTGTGACCACTGCACTGGCTGGGTTGGCCACAGATGATTGCTGAGCGCATGATATATGCTGGTGCAACTGCCGAAGTGCAGGCATACAACACAGGGTTACTCTAGGTGGCTCAGATACAGCCTATGTAGCCCTTGGTGCACTCTGTAAAATGCTGGGGACTGAGGAGTAAATACAATCTGTTTTTAAATAGGCACCGTTCAGTATAGCTTTGGTATTGGATGTAAGACGTTCTTTTTATTCCATCCTCTGTGGAAACAAAAAAACTGTTCCTTTGAGCACTGACCTACATAGATTCCCAGCCAAGGCCACAGAATAGGGCTCTCTTGCCATCTGCCTGGGTGCCAACAGAGGAAGCTTAATGGCACAGGGACTCTGCCAGTCCCAGACCATCACCTCAGTCCTGAGCTCAGCCCTCTGCTTGGTCCCTTGCTGCCTGGGAGAGCCAGTTCACTGTCAACAGTGTTGCTGGTGTGTTTCCTGCCTGTCTGATGCATGCCTGCCTTTGCTGCCCAGACTGGACTGCACTTTTGTAGTCTCATGTATTTCCTCAGCAGCAACATCTTAACCACCCCAGCTGCCCTCCTTTGAGCCTTTCCATCAGTGCTGCTAGGTGCTTAACAGGTCAGCCACCCAGAGCACTGAGGGTGATATCCTTTCCTCTTCCTCAGGGGCAGGGTGCAAAGGCCTCAGGCATAGGCTCACTCAGTGAGACCTGAGTCCCACTCCTAACACAGCTGTATCCAAAAGCTACCATGTCTCTCCCAAGCAGCCTGAACTGAACATATTAGTTGTCCTCAGACTCCTTTCTACCCAGATTTTTAGACTCACCTCTACTAGATGTGACTGGTACCACCTGCCATTTGGTCTTCCTACCAGCTCCCACTTGCCAGGCTGTCACATGGCCTCTCCCACATACTGCTTACTGAGATCTTGGGCAAGTAAGTCAGCCAGAATAAGTAAGTACCTCTTGACCAAGTCTACATAGCTAAGCATCTCCAAAGGCAGTACATCTTCTCCAGAACATGCGCACGTATGCACAGCCTGGAATTGCCCGATATATCATTCTTTTGTCAATCTCGGTCAGCAGACTTCCTGGCATCACCCCCACACCAGATTGGACCGGCATGTATGTTGACACTTTATTACAAAATTATAAAGCCGAGCTCTGTAACAAAAAAAAAAAAAAATACACATTTGGGTTTGCCTTAATACCCAAGTCAATCTGAGAATCTTAATATAAGCCACTTGAAGTAACACATTCACATCCAAGAAATTTCAACAAATTTGTACAATATATATGGAGCGTACTAATTTCTGTACAGCTTACTTTTAATAATTTGGGATTCAACTAGTCTAATGTATTATGACTCAGTCAAGTCTCAAATCTCAGAGCAGTCACAGCAAAAGCCATGGAATTATTGAAGAATTAGGTATTTCCATAATAAGATCAAGGTCTATGAGGGGCAGGATCAAAGATTCAAGGATTTAAAAAATCAGTTTTCTATCTGGGTTGGGTATTAACTGGCATGGGATCTTGAAAACTCCCAACTTTTATTTGGTATAATAAAGACAATACAAAAAGAAAAAACCCAACAGAGTTGACACCTTTTTTTTTTTTCCTAAATGAGACCCTTCACCAGAACAGGATAAAAGATCTAAAGGCATATTCTACACAATGAGTAAATGACCTAGGGCTGACAAGTTACTAACCAGCCATCAGTACTCATCCTACTCCATGTGTGAAAAGGAAGTGGGAGGTAAAGGGCTGTAAGGCCTCAGCAGGGGAAGCAAGTTATAAGGGAGAGAACCAGCTTTTGCCTTCGTTATTGCTAGATACTGACTGAGTTGCACATAAAAAGACAAGACCTGTTTCACAGTGGAATCAAGGAGTGGCTGAATGAATGACCCTTTGCTAAACTACCTGGTAGGCCTTGTAAACTACAATAGTCACTGTCCAGCATAAAAAGGAAGGTGATACCTTCATGGGGAAATGTGCAAGGCTGTGGCCTAGTCAAATAATCCAGGACTCTGTATAATGTTGAAGTTAAGTGGCCCAGTGTTCAGCAAACAACCACCTTATGAAATTATTTCATTCCCACAAAGGGGTTAGTGGTTGATGACGGAAGGAAAGAATGAATGTGTACCAGTGTAGTGGGTGCCCTTAGCGGTGTCCCACTGCCTTCTACTGTGAGATGACTAACTCTGACAGTCTCACACTCAGCTGCATGCACACAGTGTATACCGTGCATGGTAGAGGGCTGCTGAGACCCTCGGCTATTCACATTGCATTCCCATCCACTGCTAATGGCACAAATGGCTCTTGTCAGCATGTGCATTATTGGGTTTTGCTGAACTTTACTCTAACAAACTGAAGTCCTTCGTCAGCTTCAGGGATGTGAAGAATTTAAGGGCCCGTCTATTCATATGACCCTTGCAGATCTGCCCCCGAGATCAACAGGCTAAAGAAGATGGTGAAAGCAGGGACTTCATACCAATCAGAGGGATTGAGACTTCCAGTTGTCTGCTTACAGGCAGGGTTCAGCTTCATTCGGTACCTTCCAGTGTGACCAAGACGCACTTTCACGTCTGATCTCCAGGAATTTTGTTGAGAACTGTGGCTAGAGAAGAACAAGGCTCTGCCTAAAGCTCTAAGCTTCAACAAAACCAACTTTAAAAACTTCATGGGAAAGAGAGGAACTGCATTCAAGTAGTTCAAGATTCCTGCCTGTTGGAAGAGGAGGATCAGAAGTTAAGCAAAAAGCCATTGCCCCTCTTTCCTCAGAACCTGAAGTGATGGATGATACAAAGTGAGGCCACAAGAAGAGTGGCACCATCCCTTACACACTGGGATTGATCAGAAGATTGCAAGTCAGATGCTTTGATTCCCAGGGTCAGGTAAGGAAACGGCTTCCAATCAAATCCAGCACTTAAGCACACAGCAACCCTTGAAAAACTGCAATTTCCTAGAACATTTGTGCTTCATTTCTCATCCGAGGTAAGTTTAGGTGTCCAATTATGTCCTGAGGACGGTTATTGGTCTGGTAAACTTAACAGGTTTTGGTCCAAAGAAACAAATGGAGTTTAGGCAATGTAGCAAGAGACTAGAGCAAAGAGGTTAAAGCACAGAAAGCCAGAGGCTAGAAATCTAAACCCAAATAGGCTGGGAAGGAAGGGAACCATTCCTAGTAGGACTTCTGACTGGTGAAACAAAGGCAAGCATTTCCAGAAGAGAATACAGGAGTACAGGTGCAACCAGGATCTTGGAGAAGGGAAGAAGATATGGTCCAAGTTCTGGGAAGTCCTCTGTTCATCAGTTACCATCACCACCACCAGATGGCTCAATCAGGGACTCACCATGTCATTTGTACCAGTTCCCGCTGGTCTTGGGCTCTACCAGCCATGAGGTACACCCTTTGTGATAAGACAAGCATGCCCAGGGTGACACTGCACCTTTGCCTGCCCTGGTCTTGGGAACACTGTAGATTTTCTTCTGTTAGCCTGCTCCTCTGTGAGCTGGCCAACCTTGAACCCAGATGTCCTAGGTTGTGTCCCTGTAAGGCACTGAAGAAGCTGACGCAAACCCTCAGGAGCGGAAGACGTGCACAGCTCGGATCACATACTGCCGGCATATGGGGCATTCATTCATGCGCTTGCCACACTTTGTACAGGTTACCATGTGGCCACACTCCAGCAAAACACAGTCAATGGGTGAGTCCATGCAGATCTTACACAGGTTCTCCTCCAGAGCCGATGGTACTGCTCCCCCTGTAAAAATACACAGCAGAAAGGCAGAAAAATGAAGAGATTGTCCTAGTGAGGTGGGTTGAGGCGAGGGCGGACATGGGAAAGAACAGCACACTGTAACCCAACTCCCAAATCCACGTGCATCCCTGCAGGAAAATTTCTCCAAGAAAACTACCTCCCTAATTAACTCCAGCTGCCTCCTCCCGAAGTGCCACAGGGCAAGTCCAATCTTGTGGAACAGACACATCCCAGAACAAAAACTAAGGCAGAGTCCTCAAATTTGAAAGAAACAATCTTTATAGACAGTTGAGGCTATTTTACAAACTCATTACTCATGAGGCAGAACATGCTCAGGAGATAAAATTGGTTCAAGGAAGTTTAGACAGAAATGGGACCATAATGGAGAGTGCTGTAAGCCTCATCCATGTGTTAACTCATGGCCAAGTTAACAGCCATAGCTGAAGGAGCCTCATGCACTATCCCGCCAACTCCTGGGCTTGCTCTGAAGAGAGCTGGGGGAGGAATCTCACAGATGCTCTCAGGAATCTCACAGAATCTCTCTCTGCTATTCCCACAGAACCTTAATAGCCCCAGGACTGCCCATTTGCCTGCTTATGTCCCTTAGTAGGCTATGTGCACCTTAATTCAAGATATCCCATCAGTTTCCACAATCATGTGCATGCTTTTTCTTGTTTCCATGTCACTTATTCACCTCTGAATCCCCAAAACACCAGTCACATGGCAGTTCTCTGAATGTCTTATAAGTGAACATCTCCCTAGGGACGCCCACTGTAAGCTTGTCATGTACCCTTTGGAGCACTAAGTTCTGCATGTACTAACTCATGCAATACTCCCAAAAATTATGAAGCAGGTACTCTTGCTACTCATTTTAATAATGAGGTAATGGGCCAGCGAGCAAAGTGGCTTGGTCACAGGTATGAACCAGGATCTCTACAGCAGTACTGCTATCTAAGCGCCCTGGGGGTAGAGACTACTGAGTCGGTATTAGCTATCCAGCACCGAGTTACCAAGAAATGCTAACTGCCTTGTGCTGCTCATGGGATACAGTGGGCATAACCTGTGTCTTAGTTAAGCCACAAAAGACAAAAATCTTTATATTCAAAAGCCCAGCCATATGCAAAATGTCTTCAATTGTAGCCTGCACTAGGTAGCCACACACAGACCTCCTAGAGACAAATTTTTCCTTACTCTTAATTCTATACTTTCTTCTTTCCTGGACTTCAAAAAAAATCCACAGACACAAGGAGGTTGGCTAGCTGTGGAAGGGAATGAAAGCCAAAGTAGCTATCTGCCTACTTTGAGAAGCTGTTGGCCCTAATAGGGAAGGCTTGGAGGGCATACAAATACCTTAGAAGAGCGTGAACCATCTGCAGCATGTCAGCTATTTATTACTCCTCTTAGGAGGGCAACACACACACCAACTCTGCCATCAGCATTCCACAGGGAATCAGAAAAAGCAAGGCCCTGTGTGGTCTGGCTTGACCATGGTCCTTATGAGTGAACTTTGAATTCCAAATGGTGTGGGGAACTGAGAAAAACCCAATACTCTCAAGTCTGATGAGAAAACTTCATCTTGAGCAAAAGGCCATTTTACTAACAGACATGAGAGGTCTTGGTAGAGAAGCTGGAAGGTGCTCTACAGGTTCCTACATGGCTCCGCAAATGTTCTCACTGAGCACCATGCTCACCCCCACACAGCCTGGAGGTGTCCTACGGGCCCTTCAGGTTGCTTCCCCAGCAGGCCAGGCCTGTCCTGAGTGCTAGAATCCCCGAAGGCGCAGGCATGGCCTTAAACATGGAGTAAGGTGCACGGTAGGTGAGGTGGGAAATGCAGCACCACATGTGACCTTCTTGACCTACCTCTGGGACGGCTCTAACCACCACCCAGCCCACAGCAACAGGGCTCCCTCGGCCACCACCTTTTGGCTGGTCTCATAGGTGATTTCCCAGAAGACAGACAGCGCCCTTCTGGCTTCCGGTCAGACCAGAACTAAGTGAAAACATCAGAGTTTTAAAAAAAAATGAACTGAGTGTGACAGAAGCCACCACTCTGTTAAGTATTTTGCAAAGGTTGGCTTCTAAGCTCGGCCAACCAGACACGCCCAGAGTCAGCCTCCGGGTGTGCTGCTGCTTCCTTCACAGGAGAGCAGGAACTTCCACAGAGGCCGAGGACCCCTGCTTCTCAGGGACCTTCCCACTCACCCTCTCTGGAAAGACAAAGGTCGTGCATCTCAGACTGCTAGCAGGGGTCAGGGCTGCAGGAGAGAAGAGGCTAGGCCAACTCCCACACACAAACAACCACTTACCATTTTGGTCTTCAGCACCACATACTGAAAAGGAAAGAGAAAGGTGTCTGAACACATGATGGTGAGATGGCCCAAGGAAGTCTCCCACCACCCTGCCATCAAGTCTGAATGCCAACGACCTCCCTGCTGGGCACTGGGGTTGCTAGGACCCTAGACACCCTGCCTCTTTCCTTATTCTACAGGCTGACAATGTGCTTAAAGCTTCTGTGTGTACCAGATCCACAAAAACAAAACCACCATATAGAAGGATATCCTATGTGCACAATACCCTTTTCAACTACTATTGAAGCCAGGACTAAAAGAATAAGAAACATGACTTTTTCAGTCAGCCATGGGATCTGGGTAAAAAAAAAATTTTTTTCTCAGATTTTTTTTTAAATGCAAAGTCAGATATACAGAGAGGAGGAGAGACAGAGAAGATCTTCCCTCAGCTGACTCACTCCCCAAGTGACCGCAACAGCTGGTGCTTCCTCGATCCAAAGCCAGGAGCCAGGAATCCCCTCAAGGTCTCCCACATGGGTGCAGGGTCCCAAGGCCTCAACCGCCCTCCCAGGCCACAAACTGGGAGCTGGATGGGAAGTGAGACAGCAGGGATTAGAATCGGCGCCCATATGGGATCCCAGCACACTCAAGGCGAGGACTTTAGCCGCCAGGACACGGCACTGGGCCCTGGGTAAAATTTCCATGTGAAGTCCTATGTTCTATTCCCCCAGAGCCTCACAAATCCAGGGAGACTCTTGAGACAAGCCCAAAGGGAAGGCTAGGTGGGGATCTGCCTGGTCTCAGTCAGGTAAGTAGATGTATATCCTCCAGCTCTGACAAAACTGAGCCCCTGAAGGAGAGAAGCATGAAGTCTGGCTTTAACCACTGTTATGCCAGGAATCAAAATGCTGCTCTGCAGGAACCACAACAGGGATGGGAGGGAAGGTGAGCGTTCTGTGGGGAAATGATTGCAGGAAATGCTGGGGTCAAAGGCACCTGGCACAGCAAGTAGGATGTCTGCTTCCCATATTGAAGCGCCTAGGTTGATTCATGGCTCTGCTTCCTGGGAGACCTGGCCTGAGTTCTGGACTGCTGGATTGTCTAGTCCAGCTCTGGCTGCTGCAGGCATTTAAGAGTGAATCAACAGATGGAAGATTTCTCTCTTTCTTTTTCTCTCTCTCTCTCTCTCTATGTATCTATGTATGTAGGTATATACATACATATGTGTGTTTGTGTATATGTGTATATCTTTGTCTGCCTTTCAGGTAAGACAGAAAAATCTAGCATTCAATAATGGAAACAAAGTATAATGTCTGGCAACTCACTAACTACAGGCCCAGATATTTATCTGACAGCTCCAGAAAATGTTGTCATGTTGGGAGATGGACAAAAGGAAAAGCCCATGTGCAGGCAGGACAGATGTGAGAACTTCAAACAGTGCACGGTGGTGCAGCGCGCTAAGAAACAGCTCATGATGCTGATATCCCAGAGCACAGTGCGGATCAAGCCCCAGCTCCCAGCTGCTCTGCTAACCTTCCTGGGGGGCAGTGTAGGTTGGCCCAAGTACCTGAGCCCCTACCAACCATTAGGGAATCTAGGATGAAGCAGCCCCAACTGTTGCAGTCATTTGGGAAGTAAACCAGCAGACAGAAGATCTCTGTCTCTCCCTCTCTGTTGCTCCACCTTTCAGACAAAGAAATCTGTTTAAAATAACAAAAACAAACCTATGGAAAAATGGAATAAGTTTATTTTGGAGCAAAAAAAAAAAAAATTGAAATCAATGTATGGTTTTCATGCTATACATTTTCCATGCCCTCATGTATTCTCCATATGTGCAAAGATTTGCTTTCTCTTGTCCCAGCTGTTTATGGAGTAAGCACTGTGGAAGGAGCAGGCAAGTATGGAGGGATGGCAGACACAGGGAAGGCCACAGATGTACATCAAAACATCCTCAGCTCGTGTCTGAGCTGCACAAAGCTAGTTCATAGGCTGCGGAGGATTCAGAACAGTCTTAGCATTCAACCACAAATGACAGCCACGCAGATGGCATGAACATGTAAACTAGCTAACTATGTGGCTGGAGGTGTGGAAACAGCCCGATGCCATCATGCTTCTGAGTAAACACTCCGGAGCTCTGAGCACCCGCCACCCAGACAGCCCCTCACCCAGGTGCTGCAGTCCTTTCTGGTCTTTGTACAGCCGTGTCACTCTCTCCATCAGCTCCCACTTCTCACAACAGCCTTTGTAGTTGACGAAGTTGCGAGCCAGGATCTCTTTCAGCTGCCGCACGGTCAGGCCTTCAATGTCCTCTAGGTGGGTCAAGTCAGACAGAGAGGCCCTCCGGCCTGGGACAAAGCTGTCCTCTGAGTCAAGAGACTGCAAGGGCAAGACAAGATTGGTTTCATCTCTCCAGGCGAGAGCTCTGTTAACCTTCCCAGAGCACTGTTAACACCACACTTAGAGACAGGACAAGGCTGACAGGGTGCTTGGCATTGCAAAATGAACTCTAGTCACTTCCTGGCCCAGAAGTCTACACTCGGGCTCAGGCAACCATCAACCAACCAGCCAAAAGAAGGGACAAGGCATAAACAGCACTTGTTTGAGTCAGAAAGACTTGACTTGAAAACTGACTCCTCCACTGAGTATTTCTAAATAATATCTGGCAAGTGGCTTACATCTGAGACTGTTTGCTCCGCTATAAGGGAGAGATAGCAGTTCTACCACACAATTCCCAGGAAAATTCTGTGTGGCAGCATGTGAACCTATTAAGAAAGTAGTTGGCCATTCTCTCTTGGAAGAGGACCATCTGTCTGGCAAAACTTCTCTACACACAGCCTCGACGGCCCTAACGGGTGTGCTCTTTGGACTGGCTCCCTGCCTGACGGAGATCTGTACTCCTAATTATCTGACCTCCTTCCCCTAACAATAGCCACAGTGTGCTAGAAGTAGGAGCAAAGAACAAGATTTTCATAGCAGCACCAGGATCCTGCCCTCTGGAAGCTCTCAGAAAATCAGAAGACTGGAAACATAAAAGGCCATCAGGCTCTGCAGTCCACACTGTGACCTCACACCCCGTATGAACACACAGAGAGCCTCCAGGTTAGTTTAGAACATGGCCACTAAACTTTACTCTGACCACAGAATAGCTACCGTCCCAGACAGAATCTTCTGTCTTCACTTCTGAGTCTGACAGGTGGCTCCGAAAAACACCAGAGAAAGAGCAGAGGCGAAGGCACAGATCCAAGCAGAGTCCTACCTGGGTCTCCTCCTCAACAGGTGCTGTGGCTGTGCTCTCCAGGCAGACGGGTTCCTCTTGGTCCTGAGACACATGGCCATTGGCCTGTGGGAAAAGAAAGGTGCCATCACATCCAGAGACATCCCAGGAGCTGCATAGCACAGGCCTCCTGCCAGCTCGCACAATGTCCAAAATGCACCCCATCTCCCCGAGAAACCTGGAGTTCCCAACAACAGTATACACAAACGCCTGTTCTCTAATATTTTGTTAGGGAGATAAACCATACAAACTGGCTTCAACAGATATACAAGTGCCCTCCAGAAAGAGTGTATTAATTCTATCCAAGGCCAGGGTGACACTAACCTTCACTGAGCTTAAAGCCTGAATGATCCCTGTTTCCAGTCCAGTGCTAGACTTCTTCACTGCTGTTTTTCTCTTGACACTGATCCAATGTGCCCTCCTTTAAAACTTCCAGCTACTGTCCTCGGTTCTGTCCCTAGACCAATGCCTGTTATTAATTCCAAACTGTTTACAAAGTAGCTTCCACTCCTCCATGCTACATTTCCCTGGCTTCCTCATCTATCCTCTCCCTCACCACCTGCGTCCCTCTCGTCTCTCCAATCATTTCTCTCACATTCTAGACACGTGCTCTAGCCTGGGGGCACAGAGTGACTGATAGCTGCCTCAAAACCTGGCCAAACATTATTTCAGTTACATATAAGGATCTACTGTGTGAGCCTAAAGACAGTTGCCTGTGTTTGGGAAGTTTCATTCCAAATGAAACCTGTAGTCTTTTATAGGGCTTCCCGCTGGGTACCCTGTAATGAGGAGGTTTTATGACTGAGTAGCAAAACTGTGCACCTCCTAACTCTATCACCCATCAAACTAACCCACAAACCTTTAAACCTCGACCCTCTCTGCTCCCTGCAAAGGGGCTGGGCTGAGCCTGGATCTAAGAGGTGTCTCACCTCACGGGTTTTTCGAAAAGACACTGGCAGTGCCAATAAAGGCACAGTGTGGGACACCAAAGTCACCTACTTGTCCCAATTACCCATCCCAGCTTAGGATGTGAACTTAGGGAACTAATCAAGAGGAGGCAAATCACCACAAAGAAAAGCAGAAACAGCCACAACAAAATGCCAAATAATGACAAGCCTGTCTATTTGCGGCCATGTATGGGGATGCGTCCTAAGAAACAGCTTGGTCCACACCTGTGCTTCTCTCTAGCTCTGTGCAGATGCGGTGCCCTCTGGCCTCACATGTGGCATCACTTGGGAGCTTCCAGTTTTCAGAGTTGAACCTCTCCCTCTCACTCCCCTCCTCCTTTGTTTTCTAAGAAGAGGAACTGCATCTGCTGAGCCAAGCATGCTCCTGGCTTTCTGGTTTGCCGCTGATCAAACCAAGACCTACAATGGTGTCTGTCCAGGATTGTGTTTATTGTACTCATTTCCTTCTCTTGAAATTACTGCTAGGGCAATCAAGGCAGAAGGACTCTGGTAGAGCATACATCACAAGGGGATTCGCACTATGCTACAGCTCACTCGAGAACTCTTCAGACGCCTCACACAAGTCACCTGACTTGACCAAATCCTTTTTCCTGCATGCAAAACGCAGATCTCACCAAAACAAGGGCTGTAAGCACACACAAGCCCTCTGAAACCCTCGAAGAAAAAGTTTTCGCCAGGATCAGGTAGGTGGTATGACTTACACATACCATCCATAAATCTGTTACTGACAAGCAGGTTACAATATTTCATTGAAGGGCTGGCACCATGACGCAGTAGGCTAATCCTCTACCTTCAAGCGCTGGCATCCCTCATGCGTAGAATGTGTGCCAGCGACTCCACTTCCAATCTAGCTCCCTGCTGATATGACCTAGAAAAGCAGTGGAGGATGACCAAGTATTTGGACTGCTGCACCCACATGGGAGACGCAGAAGAAGTTCCTGGCTCTGGGCTTCAGACTGGCTTGACTTTGGCTGTTGCGACCATTTGGGGAATGAACCAGTAGATGGGAGACCTCTCTCCTTGTCCTTCTCTCTGCAAATCTGATTTTCCAATAAAAATAAATACATCTTTAAAAAAACAAAACAAAACAAACAAACAAACACAAAACAGTATTTCATTGAAAAGCCTACCCTGAAGCCTCTTTAGGGAAAAATAATTCCTCAAGTTTTTCTCCTGATTCCACATAAACAAAGAGGATTGTTCTTAAACTAGTGAAGGAAAGAAATGTGCAGAGGAGAGAAAAGCAGCCCAGGAGACTAAGAGCCACAGCTTAAGAAAGAGTTAATGTCCAGCTGCAGAGAAAAACAAGCTCAAGTCAACAAGGGTGTTAAATGATTCGCCCGTGGCTAAATTATGCGATCACATTGGCCTTTATGCCTCAGTGCCTGTCTAGAGCTGAATCAGGGGACCCAGCTCTGGCAAAGGAGGGGACCATAAGAGGCAGCAGCCACCCACACCATGGTAGGGACTGATACCCCTAGCATGACAGCAGCCCTACGTGGCTCAGAGCTCTTTAGACATGCAATTGTGGTATTTCTAGCTTCCAGTGTCCTGTGCAATCAAAAGTGGTTTGGGTAGGCCCAGCACAGCACAGCAGGCTAATCCTCTGCTCTGTGGTGCTGGAATCCCATATGAGTGTCAGCTTGTGTCCAGGCTGCTCCATTTCCTATTCAACTCCCTGCTTATGGCCTGGGAGAATCATATAGGATGATCTGAGGCCTTGGGATCCTGCACCCGCGTGGGAGGCTGGGAAGAGGCCCCGGGCTCTCAGCTTTGGATCAGCTCAGCTCTGGCCATTGCAGACATTTGGGGAGTGAACCAGTGAATGGAAGATCTCTCTCTTACCTCTCCACCTCTCTCTGTAAAATCTGCCTCTCAAATAAAATAGATAAATCTTTTTTTTTTTTTAAAGGTTCAAAGTCCGCTCTAGCTGAACAGAGTCAGTGACAAAAGTAGATGGGGAAATCAGGTCTTCCAGGTCAGCATATCCCCACTTCTACAAAGTCCCATCTGACATCAGGGTCACCAAGGCACCCATATAAAACTTATGACACCACAAGGCATGCCTGCTGGCCTCATACCATCTCAGAAGTTGGCCTACTTGTCCTTGTCCCCTCTTGCAGGTGCTGTTTGTGAATAAAAGCTGTGCCTTTTCCAGATGTGTCCTCTTCAGGCCGGACCAGGCTCACATGCCAGTAAATGAGCTGCTCCCAGCCCCGCTGGCAGAATGATAAAGCAGCTGCAGGCAGGGGCATGCCAGGCACACCCGCTCCCAGATTGGACCAGCAAGGGAGGGAGGCAGTGAATAAGCCATCAGTGGCTCCCCGCTCTATCCCCCTCCACAGAGGCTTGATTTTCCCACATGCCACGTTGTTTTTTAAGAAACCAACTTTTGGGGCCCGGCGGTGTGGTCTAGTGGCTAAAGTCCTCACCTTGAGGTCCTTGCACCGGGATCCCATATGGGCACCGGTTCTAATCCCGGCAGCTCCACTTCCCATCCAGCTCCCTGCTTGTGGCCGGGGAAAGCAGTCGAGCACGGCCCAAAGCCTTGGGACCCTGCACCCGTGTGGGAGACCCAGAAGAAGTTCCTGGATCCTGACTTCAGATCGGCATAGCATCGGCTGTTGCACTCACTTGGGGAGTGAATCATCAGAAGAAAAATCTTCCTCTCTGCCTCTCCTCCTCTCTGTATATCTGACTTTCCAATAAATAAATAAATCTTTAAAAAAACAAAACAAACAAACAAAAAAAACCAACTTTTCAACCTAGCTAAGGAAGACCACAACAAAGGTAAGCCAGAGGGTAAATTTGAACAGAACTTTGGAAAGTTAATGATGAGTTTTCTCAAAATATTTCTGGAACAACATTTTTTTGTTTTTTCCCCAAAATGCCTAACTGTATGTATGAGATACTGTATGTTTTACAAACAAACAAAAACCATTTTATATATATATATAAATATATATATAATATAATAATACTGAGCATATCATCTCTGGAGGAAGCCAGAGCACGAGCCTGGCATCCAGAAAACATCACCTCAAACATCAGGAGGCAGAATGGCTTCTACCTCACACCGCACTCCCACCAGCAGGCAGGAGACGAAAACGGGCCCTCATGCTGCTGCACAGGGGCAGAGACGGCAAAGAGCCCCTACCTGCTGGCGTTCCTGCGCCTGGGCTGGGGGAACAGAGGTGGCCTGTGCAGGGGAAGGTGGGAGGCTGGCCGAGGTAGGAGGTATTGTGCTGGCATGCGGCTGGCTCAGGAAGGCCTGCTGCTCGGGCGAGTCCGGGGACAAGGCACGAGTCCTGCCCTCCTGTGGGACTGCAGGCTGCTGGCCAAGCACCAAAAACACCAGCTCTTCCTTCTCCCGGCACATCTCCGTGGAAATGTCATGGAGGCTGAGATAGTCCCTCAGGTCCTTCACCTTCATCTTCATGAGCTCCTCACGCTGAAAGGCTGTGGCTCGGAACCGTTGGCAGAGCAGGCAGAGGCGGGGCCCATTCCCCACCTGGTTCGAACAGGTCAGGCAGAAATTCTTCTTACAGTCCAAGCAGGTCTGCTGCTTAGGGCAAGAGGCAGAGGAAAGCATGTCAGATGTGCAGGACAAGACAGAAAGCGAGATGGGAGCCATCAGAGCTGGCGAACCTAGCCGATCTCCAGTCACTCTTGGTGCTAAGCTGCCTCCCAGGCAGGTATATGAGGGTTCAAACTGCCCTGCCACTTTCAGATGAAGAGCAGACTTCCCGAAGTGGCTGTGCACAGGATTCTACTGGACTCACCTCATTTAGGGCTCACTTTATTCATTTTGTTAACAGAGGACTTAAGGCTATCTTAGCTTACTAGAACCAAAAAGCTCTATCTTCTTAGCAACTCCCCTCACCCCATTTTTTTGGCAGGCCATAACTCAACATCTCTGGCAGAGTCTCCTCATCTATAAAATGGGGTAAGAACTGGATCTGCTGCCCAAGGCTGTTGGGAAGACCAGGAGGCTGGTAGTCAGGTTTCCTGCTCAGAGGGCTGGGAACTGAGTGGTACACGCGACCTTGTCCAAGACAAATAGTTAGATGAGCCTGGAGGCACTCAGGACATCAGGGTGCTCCTGCTTGAAAGGACAGAGTGTCTCAGTCAGGCAACAAGAACGCCTGCCCGGCAGCCTGGTACTGCCAGGCAGGCGCCCCTCCCACAGGCAAAGACATAAGGTGAAGCTTGCTCAACGCATAGGGTGTGAATCCTCAGCCACTCAGCCTGCAGCTTGGGCAAGTGACATCTGGCTGAGCTCCGATTCTGGAAGGGCAGCTCCTACTCTTATGAGCAAGGCAATCCCCAAGCACGCCAGACTCATTCTTGGGGCACCCTCACTAATCCTCTAAGTAAGTTAGAAACTTTTCATCCTGTGGTGACTTAAGGATTAACCTAAATATTTCTGCTCTATCCTTTCTAAATATAGAAGGCTGTTGAAGCTAAAAGTGAATGCCCCAGAGACTCAGATTCTGCATCAGGATCACACACTTTGCTGTGCAGGGCTGAACCGAGTTGGCGCAGCTCAGAGAGCTGTATTTTACTTTAAGAGTCATCATACAATAAAGGGACAAGGGCACACCATGCACCTCCAGGGTGGGTTGTAAAGGCCTGGAAAGCACTGCGAAGGGACACCTCCAGAGCCCCTTCCTTCCCTCCCCACAGAGTTCACACAATACAATGGAGACCGACTCATAAGGATGAACAGCTGTGCTAACTTCATGGTTCTGGGACCAGGAGGAAAACGAGCAGGTGGAAAACGGACGTTTTGGAGTACCCAGGGGGCTTGTTCCTATCTAAAGCTTTTCTGTGGGGAAACTAAATGTGTGTAGGATGACTGACAGTGACAAGGAGGGGCTTCCCTGACAAGAAGCTGTGGTCCAGACAAAGGATGCCAATCAAGTACCTGTCACAATTAGAAAACCTGTGTTGCTCAGACAGCCAGATCCACACAACTCCCAGTTCCTTCTTCAAATGTGTGCATCTTGCTGGATGCAAGGTCAGAATGCAAGAATGGCAGCCAGAGCCTGTAGCCCCTGCTCACCCGGACCCTGGAGCAATCTGGCATTTCCAGATTTCCAGTCCACAGTGGCAGGAGATAGCAAAAGGTGACAAAGGGCAGAAGGAACCAATGGGCAGATTAGGTATAAAGTACAGCCAATGGCTCAACCCAACTACATAGCCAGGCAAGTATAGCGATGAATTCATGGGGGCAAGGTGCTGGTAGAAACTCTCAGAGTAGACTTAGGCACCCCACAGGGAGATCTGGGGGCAGCCCCAAGGCAGGCATGCCCTGCTGGCACACCATGTAGGGTGTCTGAGTTGCTTCCCTTCACCACTCTGCCCCTGTGGCTCCACTCCTACCTTGCCCATATCCCTGGCACTAGTCAGGCCCACCTTCTCATTCCACCAATGGAAGGAACAGTAGGACTCTGGCATGAGATAAAGGATTACAAACCCTTAGCATACAGTGAATACTCACCAAAAATTTACACAGTGGCCCTTTATTCCCATATCCTTTTGTCTGAACTTTGCCAATAATAACCACTCCTGTCTTTCTGCACTCATATGAGAGTCAAATCCATATCTCAAAGCACAATTTGCACTCCGCCACCCCCAGCTAGGCCAACTCGAGAGGTTGGATGCCAAACTTGCTGCTAAACCACAGGGGAAGAAACCAAACGGCTTGGGGCAAAAGTATAGTTTACAGGGCCCGGGGGTGTGGCCTAGCGGCTAAAGTCCTCACCTTGAACATGCCGGGATCCCATATGGGCACCGGTTCTAATACCAGCGGCCCTGCTTCTCATTCAGCTCCCTGCTTGTGGCCTGGGAAAGCAGTCGAGGACAGCCCAAAGCTTTGGGACCCTGCACCCATGTGGGAGACCCAGCAGAGGTTCCTGGTTCCCGGCTTTGGATCAGCACACTACCATAGGGAGTGAATCATCGGACGGAAGATCTTCCTCTCTATCTCTCCTCCGCTCGGTATATCTGACTTTGTAATAAAAATAAATAAATCGGGCCCAACACGATGGCGCAGTGGTTAAGGTCCTCGACTTGCATGCCCGGGATCCCATATGGGCGCCAGTTCTAATACCAGCAAGCCCCACTTCCCATCCAGCTCCTTACTTGCGGCTTGGGAAAGCAGTCGAGGACAGCCCAAAGCTTTGGGATCCTACACCCGCGTGGGAGACCTGGAAGAGGCTCCTGGCTTTGGATTGGCTCAGCTCCAGCCATTGCGGCTGCCTGGGGAGTGAATCATCGGATGGAAGATCTTCCTCTCTGTCTCTCCTCTCTGTATATCCGCCTTTTCAATAAAGATAAAATAAATGTTTAAACAATAAATAAAAATAAAAATAAATAAATCTTGAAAAAAAAAGTATAGCTCACCATTTCTCTCCAAGCCCGGAGAGTAAAGGAAAGCAGGGCACTATTTCACTTATGTTCTCTCTACAAAGTCCTTAATGTTATTAGTGGTTTACACTTAATGAACATTCAGAAAATACTGACTGTAATGAAAAACAGACAGACAGTAGGATCATGCAATTGTTTCAATTCAATTACTTCCAGAAAGGACACTTTAAAAGCCTCTGGCTGTTAAATGTTAAATGCCAAACCCTTAAGATAAGGCGGCTGATCCACTTGAGCATGAAATTACAAATGAAAAATCCTCCTATGAGAAAACATCCTTAGCATTCACAAAATTTATTGCAGAATGCTCAAAAGTAATTCATACTTTTGTAACAAGGAAATACTGCACCAATAACTATCTTTCACTGTTCAAACTGTAACCTCCCCCCACCCTGCCAAGCTCTTCTTCCTATGCTTTTTTCTCACTGGATGGTATGTACTGCCTCAGTTTCCCTGTCCCACTACAAGCTCCCTATTAGACATTTCCGTTCCCTGGCCAGTGCCTGACATACAGCAGACAGGGCAGGGAGTCATTTATTTTCCAATGGGGAGGAGGGTGGGAGGGCACTGAAAACTCCTCATTTTGATCACTGCCATGCTCCTGGGTACCTGAGGCCTAGAATCTGTCGTCTGCAGTGATGTGCTATCCTCCAAGAGGAAGTTAGGAACCTGAGTTTGAACTCCACATCTGCTATTCAGTATCTGGGAGATCCTGAAGCTCTATTGAAGGTAAAAAGAATCAAGATTTTGGGCACCACATGGTGGCCTAGAGGCTCAAGTCCTCATCCTGCATGTGCCAGGATACCAAATGGGCAACAGTGCTAATCCCGGCAGCCCCGCTTCCCATGCAGCTCCCTGCCTGAGCTCTGGGAAAGCAGTCAAGGAAGGCCCAACGCCTTGGGACCCTGCACCCGTGTGGGAGACCTAGACCTGGCTCCTGGCTAGGATCTGCTCAGCTCTGGCCATTGCAGTCACTTGGGGAATGAATCATTGGACAGACAATCTTCCTCTCTGTATATCTGACTTTGCAATAAAAATACACAAATCTTAAAAAAAAAAAAAAAAAACAGCTTTTATTATTTTCTATTCTATTTGTCATAAACTTGACACCACCAGCTTCTCTAAATTTTTATAATCTTTTTTTCCTGTTAAGGAACATTTGAATATATATAACACAATCTGTGGCCCATACAAAATTATCAGTTTAAAAAATTTGGATACTATAGATTTACTGAATTTTGAGTCCTGACTGTGAATGCCATGTCACGGTCAGAGCAAATTATTTCAAAGGCTTTATACACATAGTCCACAGGCCACATGCTCCCCATTTCCACTCAATCTCCCATAGGGAAAAATGTGATTTGAAGAACTCCTTTTATTAAAGATTTATTTATTTGAAAGGGCGACACAGAGGATGACTGAGAAAAAGATCTTCCACCTTCTGGTTCAGTCTCCAAATGGCCACAACAGCCTGGGCTTGACCAGACCAGTTAGGGAGATAGAAATTTCACACAGGTCTCCCACAAAGGGGACGGGGTCCCAAGCATTTGGGCCATCATCCACTGATTCCTAGACATATTTAGAGGGAGGTGGATAGGAAGCAGAGCAGCCAGGAATCAAGCTGACCTGACCCCGTGCTCTAATATAAGATGCCAGTGTTGACAACTTAACCTGTTGCATCATACATAACACACTGTGCCATTCTGCTGACTCTCCCCACATTCCGGAGGCAGAGGAAACGGACAGAGAGCTCCCACCTGCTGGTTCACTTCCCACGTGCTTGCAACAGCTGGAGTGGGCTCAAAGCTGGAGCAGAGAACTCAATCTGGGACTCCCATCTGACAGGAACCAAGTACTTGAGCCACTACCTCACCTCCCAGGGTCCACAGTACCAGGAAGCTGGAATCAGAAGCAAGAGCTGGGAGCCAAATCCTGGTGCTCTAATATGGGATATGGAAGTTCTAGCCAGCATATTTTTCTTTTTGGATTTATTTTTATTTGGAAGGCACCATACCAGTTCCCTATCCAGCATCTTAGCTAGGAGGCTAAATGTCTGCTCTTGAGGTATCCTGAAACCTACTGATGAAATTAAAATGAAATTAAATTAAAAATCTAAACTCAAGGCTAGTGTTGTAGCACAAGTTAAGGTGACTGCTGCAAGGCCAGCATCCCATATCAGAGCACCAATTCAAGTCCTGGCTGCTCAGCTTCTTCTCCAGCTCCGTGATGCTTCTAAAACAGCAGAACATAACCCAAGTACCCTGGTACCCACATGGGATACCAGGATACATCTTCTGGCTCCTGGTTTTGTGGCTGTTTTGGGAGTAAACCAATGAATAAAAGATTTCGCTGGAGCTGGAGCCGTGACAAAGTAGGGAAAGTCACTGGCTGAAGAATCAGCATCCCTTTTTGGGACCTAATCAAGTCTTAGCAACTCCACTTCTGATCCAGTGCCCTGCTAATGAGCTCAGGATAGCAGAAGATGACCCAGATACTTGGGACCCCTGCCATCCATTAGAAAAACTGTAAGAGGCTCCTGGCTCCTGCAACCAGATTGGCCCAGTTCTGGCCATTGCACTCATCTAAAGTGGTCAACCAGCACTAGCAGATGGAAGATGGCTTGTTTGCTTGTGCTCTCTCCTGCCCTCTTTCTCTCTATAACTCTGCCTTGCAAATGAATAAATAAATTTTAATTTCCTCTCATCTTTCAAATTAATAAAAAAAAATTCTTTTTAATACTTAAATTTCTGAAAATAATCCCGTCCATACAGCAGATGGTTTAAAAAGCATTATTTTCTCTTCAATGTCCAATCCTATCATCTGTTCTGGGCTACAAATCTCTTACTCTGCAAAGAATGCAGACTGCAAGGGCTCCCTTACACAGGCCAAGTCTACCTTCTGCCCCAACTGTGCTTCCCCATGTAGAACTTGCTGCCGCTGGGCATCATCTTACTTCCTGCTCACTAACAGGGGGAAGCATAATGTCCATGCATTTAAAATGAATTCACTAAACAAGCTCTAGTCTTTAGGGTCCTAATGCACCTGGAGTACCCTAAGCTCTGCTTTCCATAAAGAGAACAAGGTAACCTACAGTCAGACCTTTCATAATGGCAGCTAACAGAGGCAGTAACAGAGAGCTTGCAATCTTCCTCCAAGTCTGGTGCTGGGCACCCTTCCTGGCTGCTCTGGCTTCACCCTCCCTCTAACTGAGAGGCAGCTACCATCTCATCTCTGTTGTTATTGACTGGGAAACCAAACCTCAAAGTAACTGAAGCCATCCAGCTAGTGAGTGACAAAGCCATCATCTGAATTCAAGTCTACTGTCACGAAAATTACACTGTGATACTTTCCTTTCTCTGGGTGGCTTTTCTCGAACATTTTTAAGAAGGCTAGGCCTGTATCACTAGGATGCCACAGGCAGCAAAGCAAGTGCCAGGCATCCAGAGGGAGGTCAGTGGACCTGCCAGAAGTCGTGGGGCGACAAGGGCAGAGCAAGCTGAGTCGGCACCCACCTTCCTGGCCATGTTGGTGAAGTGGGCCCCGCAGGACTTGCAGCTTGGTTCTGAGCCCGTCGGTGAAGGGAAGGAACTGTACCCAGGGTTGGAATAGGCTTGTGTCCTGGCCCCCTGGGATGCTGGCACCTCCTCAGGCTGTCCATCCAGGCAGAACCAGTTGCAGCAGGTTGCCCACATGATAAAACCTGGTGCAAGAGAGGAAAGAGGAAAAGGTCAGAGTGCAGACACACCTCTGCTGCTCCAGTACGAAAAGACACACTGCATACTTACAGAACTGAGGGGAAGAGACGAGCTATGGGGCCACCGTCTTCTGGCTACCTCGTCTAAGAGCAGGTGCTGCTATGCACAGGTGGTGATGACAGACACCTGATCTGCCAGGACAAGAGCAGCTGCCAAGTGGGCATATTACCTTTGAAAGGTTGCTGATCTGTGACTGGCTCTAATCTAGATCTAACTTCAAATAAAATCTGTTCTTACCTTAGCAATTACAACTATCTTAACAACTTTACTCAAGAATATGGCGTCATCCCTACAGCTCAGAAAGACTGAGCTTTATCAGACTTTATCAGTCACACACACATACTCTCTCCTACACACATACTGACTGCAAGGAGGATTAATTCTTTTACGCAGCTCATATAGTTATATGTAGAGAAGGCAGCCAATACATGCAAAGTGGTTTCAAGAAGTTCATGGAAAATTAAATTAATAAATAACTTTACACTGATAAAAAAAAAAATTGACATCCTCGTACAAGAGGCACCTTAAAAAAAAGGTCACAAAAAAAATCTATATTGAGCACAACAGGATAGCCTAGTGGCTAAAGTCTACGCCTGGCATACACTGGGATCCCATATGCCTGCCAGTTCATACCTCAACTGCTCCAAAGCCTTTCTAGCTCCCTGCTTATTGCCTGGGAAAGCAGTCCAGGACAGACCAAAGCCTTAGGACCCTGCACCCACTTGGGAGGCCAGGAGGAAGTTCCTGCCTCCAGGCTTCAGATTGGCTCAGCTTTGGCCACTGTGGCCACTTGGGGAGTGAACCAGAGGATCAAACATCTTTCTCTGTCTCTCCTCTCTGTAAATCTGATTTTCCAATAAAAATTTTAAAATCTTTAAAAAAAAAAAAAAGGCATGGGGCTTGACACCATAGCCTGGCAGATAAAGTTCTCACCTTGCACGCACCAGGATACCATACAGGCACCAGTTCTAACCCCAGCAGCCGTGCTTCATATCCAGCTCTCTGCTTGTGGCCTGGGAAAGCAGTTGAGGACAGCTCAAAGTCCTGGGACCCTGCACCCATGTGGGAGACCTGGAAGAGGCTCCAGGCCCCTGCTTCAGATCAGCTCAACTCTGGACACTGTAGTCATTTGGGAAGTGAAGCATAGGAGGGAAGATCTTTCTCTCTGTCTCTACTCCTCTCTATATATGTGTCTTTCCAATAAAAATAAATAAATCTTAAATTTTTTTTAAATTTAAAAATCCATGTTACAAAAAAATGAACAAGTATAAATTTTTTTTTTTGCACTAAAGTAAACTGTAGTTTTAATTTAACATTTATGCATTTGAAAGGCAGAACAGGGCCAGTTGTGGTATCCTAGTGGCTAAAATCCTTGCCTGAACACACCAGGATCCCATATGGGCACCAGTTCTAATCCCGGCGGCCCTGCTTCCCATCCAGCTCCCTGCTTGTGGCCTGGGAAAGCAGTCGAGGACAATCCAAAGTCTTGGGACCTTGCACCCATGTGGGAGACGGGGAGGAGTTCCTGGATCCTGGCTTCGGATCGGGAGACCTGGAGGAGCTCCAGCCATTGCTGTCACTTGGGGGGTGAATCATAGGACAGAAAATCTTACTCTCTGTCTCTCCTCATCTCTATCTATCTATCTGACTTTGCAATAAAAATTAATTAATCTTAAAAAAAAAAAAAAAAAGAAAGGCAGAGTAACAGGGACAGTGTAGGGTAGAGAGATCCAACACGCATCTGTGATTCACTCTCCCAATGGCCACCACAGCCAAGTTTGGCCAGCACTGCATCCTTGCCTCCTGCACGGCCGAGACTTCTGCTGCTCTTCCCACGTGCATTAGCAGGGAGTGAGATGGGAAGCAGAGCAACCAGGACCCAAACCGATGCTTGACATGGAATGTTGGCATCACAAGCACCAGCTTAATTTACTTTGCTACAGCAGTTCCTAAAATAAACCATTTCCATAAACTTTCTGAAACACACACATGAAGAGTTGAGATTCTGGCTCTTATGGTTCCAAACCTAACACTTTTTTATTTTGACCCCTCTCCCCAGACAAAAGAACTAGTCTTCCGTCAGTATCTTTGGCCCCAGATAAACTTGGATCACAGCATCTATAATAGTTTCTTGTACAGATATGTTTACCCTTCCTTTTTAATCACTAAAGCCATAAATTCCTTTAGGACAGGTACTGACACTCACGTGTGCTCTGAACCTTGTACACACAGCAGATGTACAACAAATGTTTGCTTCCTTGCAGCTTAAGTGTTTCTACGGGTTTATTAGGAAGTTTGGGATTGTTATCCTCATTTTACACATCAAACATACAGGCACTGGGGACAAGGGAGTTGATGACTTGTGATCACAGAGCAAAGATCAGAATAACCTAAAGACTGCAAGAGGGGCCGGTAAAACGCTCTACATTGCTGCAGGAGATGAGGTGAGTTTTTTCCAGTAGGCAAGGCAGCCAGTTTGGACTTTCTGAGCCTGAACTCTTTGTTTGAGATAACAAGTGCAACATTTAGTGTTATCACTTGATAATCACTTTCCACAAAAGAATGGTACTTTCTGCTCTGTCTTCTAATTCTCTGTTTTAACAAAAGCATTTTCATAGTTCAAATACATGGGAAGTTAGAAGGAACAAAGAAGTTATCTGGTCCAGCCTGAATCACTTTATAGAGGCCTGGCAGGGGAGATAACATCCTGGGTCATACAGGTTACAAGTGTAGGTCTTTAGACTTTTCTAGGGCCTTACTACCTTCCTAAAGCCATCTCCAATGCACAAATGGAATCATTCATTCTCTTCCAGGGGGAACCTCTGATATTAATACCTATCTTCCCCACCTGCCTGTGTACCCGATGGAGAAAAACATGACAGTCTTACAGTGCCCAATTAGCTAGGTGGCTCAACAATGAAGCACATGCAACACTTAAAACCTTGGGCCCGGCGTGGTGGCGCAGTGGTTAAGGTCCTCGCCTTGCACGCCCAGGATCCCATATGGGCGCCGGTTCTATCCCGGCAGCCCTGCTTCCCTTCCAGCTCCCTGCCTGTGGCCCGGGAAAGCAGTAGAGACGGCCCAAAGCTTTGGGACCCTGCACCCGCGTGGGAGACCCGGAAGAGGCTCCTGGCTTCAGATCGGCATAGCATCGGCCGTTGTGCTCACTTGGGGAGTGAATCATCGGACAGAAGATCTTCCTCTCTGTCTCTCCTCTCTGTATATCCGCCTTTCTAATAAAAAAATAATAAAAATAAATCTTTTAAAAAAAAAACCTAACTAACCATATATTTGCAAATTCCAACATGGCAAAAATATTTTCCTTTGACTCAATAATTGTTCTTGTCTGAAGAGAATCTAAATTCCCCAAAGACTTGATCTGCTGTACTTGCTATTAACATTTCACATGGAATAATGAATTCTGAAGAGTTCTTCTTTGTGTGTGTATGTGTTTGTAAGAGAAACAGAAAAATAAATGAGCTCTTTGTTGGTAGAAGAATGGGGAAAAGAAAGGAATGGTAGCTTCTGAAAAAAGAACTTTGTAGTTCTTTACATGCTGACCAACGCATCTGAGACAGGGTGTAGCAATAAAAAGAACACAGGCTCTGGAACCAGAAGGCCTGAGCTACAAGTCCTGCTCTACTGCTTACGCTTTATAATTTACACCTAACAAGCCAGACCCTTCCTGTACTTCTTTCTCCTGTGGACATTATGCAGGTCATAAAGCAAGGAGTAGGCGTTAGTTGCTGTTATCAACACGGTAACAATGCCCGTAACTCCAAAGGCAAGCAAAGGCAGAGGGCAGACCAGCACATTTCACCACAATCACCACTTGGCTTTCTGGGCTGTTAGGGCTGACCAACTCCAGCTCAAACTTGCAATCCTTCCTGACACTGACGCCAGGCCGCCGGCTTCAGTGCTGCCTAAAGCACCCACCTGCAAGGAGCTCATGCTCCAGTTGGGGATCTAGGGAAGGCAAACCAAGACTTAGGATTTCTGTGTGTTTAGTGCTGTCATGTTGGCTTACACAATACACAGGGGGAGGTAAACTACCAACAGGGAAATGACATGCTCCACATGGGCGCAGGCAGGACCAGAGGCTTCAAAGGAGGTGCTACTAAGCCCTACTTTGAAACAGGAATCAGTGGACATTCACTACAAAGAGAAGAAATTTTTTTAAAAGTGCACCATTAGAAACTAACAAATGGGACCTGGCGCAATGGTGTAGTGGTTAAGGTCCTCGCCTTGCACGCCCCGGGATCCCATATGGGCACCAGTTCTAATCCCGGCAGCCCCGCTTCACATCTAGCTCCCTGCCTGTGGCCCGGGAAAGCAGTTGAGGACGGCCCAAAGCTTTGGGACCCTGCACCCGCGTGGGAGACCCGGAAGAGGCTCCTGACTTTGGATTGGCTCAGCTCCAGCCGTTGCGGCCGCCTGGAGAGTGAATCATCGGATGGAACATCTTCCTCTCTGTCTCTCCTCTCTGTATATCCAACTTTCCAACAAAAATAAAATAAATCTTAAAAAAAAAAAAAAAGAAACGAAACTAACAAATGCTTCACTGGAAGATTGGAAGAGAAGCAGAGCTGGGGCAAATGAGGATTCAAGTGAACAAGTAATCATGAGAAACAATGAATTCCATCATAAAAATCTGAACCTTATCTTGTATATAAAGGGACAAAAGCAGGAGGTTTTTGTTTTGGCAAAATTTGTTTTATGCAAATTTTATGATCTTGTTTGCATGTGGGAGTGGACACTTAGGGCAATGAGCAGGGTAGAGAGTGGACCTCAAAAGGCAGGTTAGCAGCAGGCAGTGGATACACACCTAAGTGAAAGGGACAGACAATTCTGTCAATGAACTGAAGGCAGAGAGCGCCTAGGACAACACTGGACACTGACTTTACACAGCAAGCTAAGCTGCTGTGCTGGGCCCTTAATTCTGCTT